TTTTCAAGCACGATGAGACCTATTAAGCCTATCAGTCGTAAAAGCCGTGTGAGCCCTACAAGCATTATCAGACCTATAAGCCACGGAAGAGCCTTATGAGCCCCATGTTTGTTGTGTGGTTTATAAGACTAGCAGGCCTTATAGGCCTTGTAACTCCTCTAAGCCCGACGGGCCATATAAATCCCGTGCGGCTCATCGACCTCGTAGGGCGGATAGTTTTGGTAGCACGGTTTGGATGAAGATCTATATTGATGGGTTGGTGAGTGTTCATCCGTGATGGCGCGTCCACTGCAAATCACAGATGATTCCCCCGCCCCCCCCCCCAACAAAAAGAAAAGAAATGTCTTTATCACCCGAAGGGGGTCTACGAGGTACACATGTGCATGCATCGCGATCGATGCATATGGAGATGTATAAATATATATATATATATATATATATATATATATATATATATATATATATACATACATGTATAGGTATATGGATGCATGAAGATGGTCTATGGTGTTCACCCTAGGGCCAGCTCGCCTCTCCTGTGTTCGGCGCTAGGCATTGGCCTGCTGGCAGTGCCCGCTGCCAGCAAGCCCCTGTCTCCTCATCATGTTCCCTCCTTCTCCCTCATCCCGTGTCCTCCCTGCTTCCTTTGTCTTCGTGCGTGGAGAGCTTTAGTGCGAGCACCTCGGACATAGTCCGTTCAGGTCCGCGCACTCACGAGTTTCAGTTTCGCCCCCTCGGGCTCGAATCTCATTTGCTCCTGTCCAGATCTCCTCTTCCGCCTTCTCCTCCCGTCCCCCCCCCTCCTCTGCCGAATCTGCGTGGTGTTTTGTTGCACGCCCGCGTCTTGTCTCAGGCCGCGGTTCACTGCATGAGTTTGCTCATTGCCGGTCGGCTCGTCCAAAGTTCCCAGTTTGTTTGGCGGTCTTTAGGTTCGCATTGTGGCGTCAGCCCCAGTGGGTCGAGGTCATGTGGTCGTGCGCTCCATTTACTCAAGCACATGTGTGTACATGACTATTTGTATGTACGTGCATAAACTACATGCACGCAAATGTAAACGATGTATACATATGTATGTATGTATATATATATATACATGCACGAAAGAAATGGGCACGGAAAGAATGGGTACAATGCCCAACAGCGGATCCTATCCATTTTGAACAGGACTCGCTGTCCACGCCGCCGCGGCTTGTGTTCAGGCGAGTGCGACAAATATCATATCCAAATTTACATTCACCCCTAACAACACATCCTTGCCACCCAGCGGGTGGTCTTAAAGGCACGCTGTTGCCAGTTCGAGAAAAGAACAAACCTTCTCTATATCCCCTCTTTGCTCTCATTGTTGCTCCCTTCCTCCCTGCTGCCTCCTCTCTCAAGGCTCGCATTGCTTTCCCCTCGCAAGGGCGTCAGAAGCGCTACAGCGCGCGAGCGCCTCCCGTTCACTAGGTGGTCACGCCAGTCTCAGTCCCAAGATGTGCCACTATCAACTCTTGCGATGCTTAAGAAAACTTAAATTTTCGGCCAGGGTCTCGATTATTCTTAATGTTTCAACGTAAATCCTAAGATTTTAATAGAAATGTTGGGTTTTTAGTCAATTTCTGAGACCATGAATTTCTTAACCCATGATTTCTTAACCGTTTCGCATGGTGTATCAACTCTTATCCTATGCAAGGGAGGGGAGGGTGGGAATGAGTAGGGCCGCTGACTCGCTCGACCTGGCCAGCTTCAGCCCCTCCTCCCACTCCCTCTTCCTCCTCCCCCTTCCCTCCGCGAGCCCGAGGAGGCGGCGAGAAACGCCTCTAGGGCCCGCCTGGTTCGTGGCGAGCCTCGCCTCGGCCGCCCATCCGCCCCGCGCTCCTCCCCCCCCCCCCCCCCCCTGAGCGCCCTCTGCCCCGAAGAGGCCGCCCCCCCCCCCCCCTGGTAAGGCCGCGGGCGCGGCGGAGTCTGCCAGCCGCCCAGCCGCCAACCGACCCTCGGCTGAGATCGCGGAGCGCCCGGCTTTCGGCCCGTCCCCGTAGACCCCTCGGCGGCTCCAGGCCCCGCGCGTGGCCGCTCGCCCCCCCCCCCCAGGGCCTCCGCATCCCCCCCCGTCCTCCTCCTCCTCCTCCTCCTCCTCCTCCTCCTCCTCCGCCTCCTCCTCCGCCTCCTCCTCCTCCTCCAGCCTCCTCCCCCGGCGCGCCGCCCAGGAGTGCCGGAGCTACCTCCAAGAGTACGCGGACACAGCCGCCGCCGCCGCCGCCGCCCGCCGCGACCGTCGTCGGCTGGTCGCCGGTCGGCGGCCGACGGGCTCGCGCGGCGGCGCCGGGGCCCCCCCGCGGCATGCAGAGCGTGGCGTGCCCGCCGGCGTGCGCCCGACGATCGCCCACAGGGTTTGGGAGCCTTTGTCGGGGTCTGGAAGTAAGTCGGGAACGCTCCTCTACAGGAGGAGTGTTCCAAAGTAGTGAAACATTGTCTGGGGGCAATGTTTTTTTGGTGATGATATGAAAACTTTGTTTGAATATTCGTTGGATTCTTTTCAAACATTTTTCGTCCAAAATCATGCCCGACCTAAGTCTGGGGGCCCTCGCCGGGCCGCGGGGCCGTCCCAAACGGCTGGGGAGGAATGACCGGCCCCGAGGGGAGGGTCGGGATGTCGGGGGGGCCCGTCTTGCATCAGGCGTTGTGTGTCTGGGCGGCGTGTTCCCAACGGTCGGCCGCCGCCGTCGTCGTCGTCGTCGGTCGCCCTCATCGGCGCTAACGGACGGGTGCTTTAAAAACCCGACGGGGGGGTCATTTTTGGTCCTTTCCTTGGCATTGCAGCACTGCCTGCTTCGGGGAGGGCTGTGTCTGCCAGGTCGCGGACCAGACGACCCTCGAGCGGAGTCCCAGTCAGGGGAATGGTGAGTTGGCGTCGCTCGCCATGAAGCATGTAGGTTTTGAGGGAAACAGGTCCTCGAGTTTTTATTGTTTCGGTTCTTGGCACGGGCCCCGGGATCGTCCGAAAACCACGCAGGGCAAGAAACTGGTTCTGGAGAGGCCCCGGGGTCCAGGTCCCGTTTCCCGCAGGACACGTCATGCCGAGGTCGGTCGTGGTTGTCATCGTCACTCTGAAACCGCCGCGGCGCCCGATACATCCTCCAAACCCGCCGAGTCTCAGAGATTTCCGACTTACGTACATCGGTCCGACTTTGTCTCGATTCTATATTCGTTTGAATGTCCTCCAGAACCTTTTGGGATTTCCAAGTCCCTGCGCCCGCGGGAGAGCACGCAGGGCAATTGGGCAGACAGAGGGACGCCGGGGGCCCGGTGAGGGCCCCCAGGCGCCGAAAAATTGCCCAAGTTGTCCCGTCGAGGTTCTTATTGGCGACGCGAGGATGCCTGGGATTTTGACGCGAGCCGGCGCGCCACGCCACCGTGCTGGCTTCAAGTCGGGCGTGTCCCTCTGCAGGAGCAGTATTCGAAAAGAGTCCAAAAATCTACTCTGGAGACTGTTGTTCGACTATGTTTGACAATGCTTGACTATTTGTTGTGCTGTTATCTAGTTTCCCTCGAAAATCCTCCTGCAGGGGAACATGCCCGACCTGATGCTGGCTCAGGGCCTCCCTGCCGCCGGGCAGCCCTGGGGGCGGCCCCCGGCCCCCCGCACGGAGAGCCATCAGCCCCCTGGGTCCTTTTTCTGTCCCTCCCTGCGCCCCCTTGCCGCTCCCGCTCCTCCAGGATGGGGGGCCCCCAGAAGTCCCCACCCTTTCCCCGCTGGGATGACCGTGGGGGGTTCTTAGTGGATAGGGGGGGTTACGAGTGGATGCCAAGGTGGGTTATATCTGGCCCAACCTGGCTGATAAATGGGCTACAAGTGCCCCGACTGGCTTAGGGGGGTTAGATAACTGCGCTAAGTGGGCGGAGCCCACTTAGCCTGGATCGTTAACCCCCCTAAGCCAGTCGGGGCACTTGTAGCCCATTTATCAGCCAGGTTGGGCCAGATATAACCCACCTTGGCATCCACCCGTAACCCCCTATCCACTTAGAAACCCCCACGGTCATCCCCAAGGCCATTAAAGCTCATCTTGCTGCATTTTCACACGCATCTCTCCCATTATCAGGCGATCCCGAACATGGATCAAGGGGGCGTGGATTCGCGACAGGTCCCGTTTCCACTGGAAATCGCGGATTTCCACCACCGCAGAACGAGGAGGCACCGGCCGCATTTTGGGAAGGGCACCTCCCCCTGATCCACGGATTTGGCGACCGCGCGCCAATTCCACAGATCGCTAATCCATGGTTGCGCGCCCCCGACAGAAGTCCCCACCCTTTCCCCAGGGCGGGTTGTCCATTCCGACGGCTCGAGTAGTTTGGTTGGCGGTGCTGGGGCTGGAGGCCGAAAACGGCCCAAGGACGCCCGTCGCCACAACTATTGTCACGACGCGAGCAAGTCTGGATCCCTCCAAGACAGCCCCCCCAGGTAGCTAGTCCCGGTTGACCTCGAGAGGCCCCCGAGTAGTCCCAGCTGGCTTCAACAGGCCTCCCGAGCAGCCTAAAGCGGTCTCGGCACCTCAACCCCTGGGGCGCGGAGCGCCCCAGGGACGCCGCCTCAGCAAGGGTGTTAAGACTGCCCTGGGCCACTCGGGGGGCAGACTGAGGCCAGCTGGGGCGATGCGAGGGCCTGGTGATCGTTTTCCTATTCATTGTTTTGCCGATCGGCGCGGGCCCTCGCATCCCCCCCCCACCATGGAGCAGATCTTGGCTGTTTTTGGCGCCTGTCTCGAGCAGGCGGAGGCTCCCCCAGAGGGCGCACTGCTGCAAACAGTCGCACCCAGCAGAGGTCTGGAGCCAGAACCCCCCCCTCCCCCCCCCCCTTCTGCCCAATGTCGAAACGCCGAATAAAAAAGACGTTCGCCTGTTGAGCCCCCCCGGGGTATACCCCCCGGGGGGGGGGGGGGCTGCCCGTGCGCCCTCCGGGGCCCTTTTCTGCCACTCCCTCCGAGCGGGCTGACGCGGCGCGCGACCGTGCCGGCTCAGGGCCGCCCGGCCCGCCGGCCCGCGGGGGGCGGCCCGCCCCGCCCCCCCCCCCGCTCGCGCCCTCTCGCGCGCCGGCCGCTCTGGTCCCTCCCGGGCGCGGGGCCCCGCCGCGCCGCCGCGATCGAGGGCTCGAGGGGCCGAGTTCCCGAGGAGTTGAGCAGTGGCGAAGCGTCCTGGCTCGCCTATAGCCCTATACCCAACACTGTTCCAAGAACCTGTCTGTGGTTTCCACGAAGTGTTCTTGGAACATGTCTGGCGGAGGCTGTCTTGTTTTATCACATCGGGCTCATGTTCAAAGAACACTGTTGGTGCCATTTGAACATGTTTGGGGGTTCTAAGAACATGTCGTGGTAGGGCTACAGGAATGCTGGGCCGGTCGGTCCCTGCTTACAGGAGGGTGTCGAGGGGTTCGAGGCGCGAGGCCTCGAGGGTCGAGGGGTTCGCCGCTCGAGGCTCGGGGGCTCGAGGGCTCGAGGGGTCGACGGCTCGAGGGCTGCCCGCGCCGCTGCGCCGGCGGGGGGGGGCGCGGCTCCTCGGTCGGGGCGCTCGCAGCCAGGCCTCCGACGGTGTTCCATCTTTTGTCGGTCCCGGCCTCTGTCCTCCAGGTCGGCGTCGAGGGCTCGAGGGGGCTCGAGCTCGGTGGGTCGAGGGCTCGAGGGTCTGTCAGAGTGCGAGGATCGAGGGCTCGAGGCTCGAGGCTCGAGGGCGGCCGGAGGGGGCCAACAGAAACGGATTGGGGGGGAGGGGTTATGTTGCTCCCCATCGTACTGAAGGACCACATCCCAGAAATGATTTCGAGCGCCCAGGAGAGTGTCGAAGCAGTGTCGAGCGAGTATCGCCTCCCAGGGTCCGACACGTGAAAACCCTCAAGCTTCGGTATTTTCTGGGTGCTCGAAATTCTTTCTGGTGATCAAGGCTACGGCAGGTTGGAACAACACAAGGGGAGGGGTCGGGAATGCTGGGGCCGCGCATCGAAGAGACATCTCGTCGCCGGACGCCTGGGCACGGGGGTCCGGCAGATCCCCTCCGATCCCCGCTGGCTGACCCGTGTGTTGGGAGCCACGTCGAGCCTACGCCTGCCCCACCTCCCCGCCCTTTCGGGTCCAGTGTGGGGTTGCTCGTGCTAGACCTGGGTGCGAGACCTGCGAAACCTCCCCACCCCCCTGACGACCTGGGCTTGGGAGTCTGGGAGCTGCCATGCTGCTGGCTGGGGCTGGCGAGGTGGCTCTGCATTAGAAAAAGGAAAAGCAGCATAGGCATGAACTTTTGGCGCTCCGCGCGAATTTCTTGGATCTGCGCTGGAGCGCGCCAGGGGCGGCGCCGGAGGCGCAGCCGCTGGGGCCTGGCGGGATCCAAGAAATCCGCGCGGAGCGCCGACACTTTTTGTTGCATGGCGTTTCTTGTTTCTAATCTTCTTCGGTGGATGGCCCGGGTCAGCGCTGGCCTGAGCCAGCGCGCCCCTTGCTCGGAGGGCTGCCCCCGAGCAGAGGGGGGCATCGAGGGCTCGAGGGCACATCGAGGGCCGCGGAGGGCCCGCACCTCCGACGGCGTCATTGTGTGGAATCTGCCGGCGTTCTGCGGTGGAGAAGGTCGGCCCTCGGAGCCGCCGCCGGGCTCCCAAGCGAGCGTGGATCTGGCACGCGAGAGCCATGGAGGAGAAGGGAGTTCCTGACCTTATGTCGGGCCTGTCCCTCAACAGGAGGAGTATTCAAAAGTAGTGAAAAAAAATAGTCTGGGGACGATTTTGTTTTATTCTTGTTGCCCATTGGGGGGGTCTTTTTGAGTATTTTCGGTTTTTCGCCCAAAGTCCCCCTGTAGAGGGACACGCCCGACTTAATCCGAATCCTAAGAACACGATGAGGACGTAGCCACACTGAGGCCCCCGTCTTTGCAAGAGGGATAGTAAGCCTGGGCGTCGAGTTCGATACATCTGCAGGAAAGCTCCCTATCCCTAATGTTTTTGGCCTTCCTAACTTAGGTCCCCTCCCAGAGGGTCAGGCGTCTTTTGGATATTCAATGGATCTCGGACGACAGGGCATCCCCAAGGGAAGGAGCCGGAACCTGTGGGGCCAGCGGAGCGAGCAGAGAGCACACCGTCGGATGTCTTGGGAGGACTGGGCGAGGCTTCGAGGGTGCGAGGGATCGAGGGGCCGACAGTTGAAGTATTGCCGGCTCCACTGGAGGCGGCATCCTGTCGGGCAGGCACAGGACAGAGGAGCCAGAACATTCTGGAACGCTCTGAGTCGGAGAGGGACAAGGCACCGACACCGCTACCCTACTAGTCGTCGCCACGGCTGGAAGCGGAAGGCACCACGGGAGAGAGCCGCGGAGTAGTGGTATCTTTGTCGAAGACGCCTACTGCGAATCACCGCCGCCCCCTTGCCCTTTTCGGATACGCCTATGGGACCAAACGTTCTGGCAAAGTTGGCCACGCCATTCAACGATACGAGACGATACGTTCCCCCAGCCGTTGTGGAAACCTTTCGGAGAATACCTGGGGGAGGAAGAGGAGGATGAGGAGAGGTAGGGAAAAGGAGGATGAGGAGACCTCTTGGGAGCCTCTTCGGAAATTCTTGTTGCCTCCTGGGAGCTTCCCCAGGGGTTCTTGGAAGCCTTTGGGGGCCTCCTTGGGCCTCTTGGGGGCCTCTCGGGGCTTCTTGGGGGGTTCTTTGGCCGTCTTGACGACTTTCGTGGCCCCTCTGACGCCGTCGGAAGCCGTTGGGGGAGCCTCTCCGGGCCGTCTTGGCGACCTCCCTGCAGAGCAGGGAGGTGGAGACGACGCGTGAGCGGAGAAGGGAGTGGGCGAGGGAGGGGAAGGGGCATCCATGGACCTCCCTCCACCTCCCTCCCACGCTCTCGTCTCTACCGTCACCGGCCTCATTCTCCACCCTCCGTCCCACCCCCTCCTGGCCCCCTCTCCTACGCCTCCATGCCCCCATTCCTTCAGACCCCCATGTTTTTCTCCTCCCTCTCCCCGAGCATCCCCCTCCTCCCGCCTCCTCCGGAGACCGTGGGAGGAGAAACTCCCGAGATCCCCGATGACCATCGGCCATTGCAGAAAACCTTGGGACACCAACTCCCTCAATCGCGGGAGGCCTCCGAACATCGCAACCCTTCCATTCCTTCCCTCGCAGGCCCTCCCATTTTCGCTTCCCCCACTCCTAATCCCATGTGTCCGCCTTTCTCTGCCGAGCCTCCGACTCTGGCCGTGTTCAATTTCCGGCATCCAACCCTCTGGGAGTCTTCATTGCAGCAGAACCTCCAAGGGCCGACTCCCAGCCATCCCTTTCCGCTGCCCGGCGCTTCTAGGGACGGCCCGGTGAGACCGACATCGTTCGCTTGGCTTGTCTTCCTCTGCAAGAGCACATTGGCGCCGCACGCAAGGGGCTGGTGCGAGGGGGGCGACCTTCAAAGAAGGCGAAGGGGTCTTCTCAGAAGGCCTCCCATCTTCTGAGGAGCCTCCTGAGGGAAGCTTCTGAGCAGACCCCGCCTTCTCAGAACCCCCCCGCTTTCTTGTAGCAGTTACCAGTTTGAAACATGTCCCTACGTATCCCTATGTTTGGCATCACCTTACCTCGATATCGATCTTCGGGATTCCCTCAGTTTCTGAGGGCCTATCCCTCAGATTGCCATCGCGTTTGGCTCACCCATCTCAGGGATAGGGATCACTTCGAGGCTGGTTAAGCAGGCCGCCTTGCCTCCTCGCGCCGCTGCGCACCGAAGGAGGGCCAGTTGAGACGACGGCGGCCCTCCCGCCCCGCCCGTGGATCGGACTCCCCGACCCCCTCCCGGGGTCCACCCAGACCCTCGGGGGCCCCCAACCGGTGCGGTGACCACACCGTGTGGTGAGGCGGCGGGGATTCGGGATCACCGCACGGAGCCGAAGCCGACCGCGCGAGGCGGCCCCCCAGCGCGCCCTGCCGCCCGCGGCGGCGGAGGGGACTTCGGGGGGCGGGAGGCCGGCGGGGGCAGAACGGCGGCGGGAGGCAGGGGGGGCGGTCGACTGCACGTGAGACGGGCCCTTCGCCGAATTGGCCGTTGGTGCGGGCCCACTGCCAGGGGCCCCCAGCGGTGAGTCGGCGGGGATTCGGGAGCGCCGCACGGTTTTGGGGCGCGGGCCGTTCTCCGAGGACGTCACTGGGGCGACGGGGGCCTCCGAGGCCCCCAAAACCCGCGAAGGGACGGACCCGGCGGTGAGGTCTCTTTGCGGGTTTCGAGGTCACCGCCGGGCCTGTCACCACACGGTTTTGGGACCCCCAAGCCCAGACCCCCGACGTCATGATTGTTTCATGACGTCGACCCCCAGAGGTCTCGACCCCTTTCCCGGGACCGGTTGCTCATCCTGAGTCGTTTTGTTGACGGCCCCGAGGCCCAGTAAGGGCCCCCAGAGGCCGAAAGTAGCGAAAAACCCTCCGTTGTGATTTTTTCATGACTCGAAGGGGTCTGGGAGACTCCCTTGTCGAGGCGGTGGTCTCGATCGGCCTTCCTCCGAGGTCTGTCACCACACGGTTTCGGGACCCCCAAGACTCGTTTGTCGAGGCGGTGGTCTCGACTGGCCTTTCTTGAAGTTGGGCATGTCCCTCTGCAGAAGGAAAATTCAAAAATCGTCAAAAAAAAGTCGGGGGACTATCTTTGTGACCATTTCTGATGATTTGGGGTGTACTTCTTATACGTTTTAAGAATTGTTCGTCCAAAATCCCCCTGTAGGAGGACGCGCCCGACGCAACCTTCCTCCGAGGACGGCAACAAAAACAAAAGCTGCGCTCGCCCGCGCGGCGCCCAGGGGCCAGGGGCGCGGCGGGCGGCAGCCACGCCGGCCCGGGCGAGCGCCCCGGGCCGGGGGCGATGGTGGCCCACAACAGGCCGGCGGGGGACGCGCGCGGGAAGGGGAGGTCGAGCTGTGGCGAAGCGTCCCGGCGTGCCTATAGGCCTACCAAGCAATGGTCTAAGAGCCTCTTGTGGTTTCCACGGAACGTTCTTAGAACACTTCTGGCTGGGACTGTCTCGTGTGAACACGTCGGGTGGATGTTCTAAGAACATTGTTTTCGTTCTTGGAACAGTTTTGGGTTCTGAGAACACTTCGTGGTATAACTATAGGAATGCCGGGACGGTCGGTCACTGCTCGATGAGGGCGGATCTGGTTGACCCATAACCCAGACCCCATCGCGCAATTAAAAACCATGACGGGAGGTTGTTCCTAATTTTCGGTCTCCGGAGGCCCTCACCAGCCCTCGGGAGCGTAAAACAACAACTCAGGATGGAAAACCGGTCCAGGGGAAGGGGTCGAGACCTTCGGGGGTCGACGTGATGAAAAAATCATGATGTCGGGGGTCTGGGAAGGGGGCCTAGCAACAAGCGGGCGGCTCAACAGACCCGACGCAACTGATTCGCGGGCTGCAAGAGACCCGTGCGCGCAACACACCCCGGGGCGCCAGGGTACTGCTAGATAGTCGCGCGCCATACACGAGTTGCAGTACAATGCAATACACGTCGTTCATCTTTAAAGATTCGAGAGTTTTTTTGATTTTGGGGGGGCTAAGATCCTTTCATTTCTAATTGTTCTATCCTGGGCCTCTTCCTGGCCACTGGGGGGCCAAGAACAGTTAGAAACGAACACAATTAGAAATGAACACGATTAGAAATAAACGACGTGTACATTCCTCTGGCGCAGTACATTTGCAATACGGCGAGGGCGATGGTTAAGGAATGTGCCCAGGAGGCCGCAGACCCTCGAGGATCCCTGATCTGATGAGGGCGGCGGTGATATCCATGGCCGAGCTTCGATGGGAGTTCCACCGGCCTCCAGACCCTGGATTCCGTATCCAAGGGTTCCTTATCCAATGCTTGGCATCGCTCGGACGTGTGCATTTTTCTTGTGGCGAGGACCATCGAGGAGCATCCTTGATCATTTGGCGAACCAACCACGCACGAAACCGAAAAAAACACAGGGAATGGACGTCCGAGCGATGGCCAGAATGCCCCCACCGTACACTTGCCCCAAATCTGTTGCACCACCCCCTTTCAGCTGGACCGCCTTGTGGGCAACCGAAATCGGGGGAGGGCCAGTCGAGACCACAGTGGCCCGCCTTGACGCGTTCCCCCCTCTTCCCGGAAGCTTCGCGGCACCACGGCTGGGTCCGCCTCGAGACACGGGTCTGGGGGGGCAGAGTTTGAGCGTATATGGGCCCTCGTTCAAGGGGGGGGAGGAATGATGGGGGGAAGGAGGAGGGGACATTTTGACGAGCCGGGACGGTTTTGAGGACTGCTGGGGGCGGAGGAGGGGGGGACACTTTGACGAGCCAAAGCGGTTTGCGGCTTGTTCTCCAGGGCGGCCTTCGTGTAGGCGTACGCAGGCCTACAGTACAATTCCACTCAGTCGTAATAGTCCTGGCTGGCTACTCAGACCGTGCAACGAAGGCCCCTCCTACACCCCGAGTCGTTCTCGTTGGCGTGAGCAGTCCTAGCGCAACTTATGGTAGCCGTGCTGCCTGTTCAACACGAATTGAACGAGTGGGGCGCTCCACCTCCAAGGCGAACATGATAGGCGTAAGTACGTCTACTGACACTACCTGGGGGAGTTGTACGTGTACGAGCACGGCTACTTCGGACCTAAGAGGGGGGCCCCGCCACCCTCCCGAAGCGCGCAGGCAGGCGAAAACAGATGTACCAGAACGGCATGGGAGAATCGCGTTACGAAGGGTACTTGGGGCAGACTTGTAAGTGGGTCCCTCCCACATCCCCATTGGCACCATTGGGCGTATGTAGGCCTGCTGGTGCGAGCTCGGGCAGTCGTACTAGTAGGCGCGCGCAGCCTCTACGATTAGGGCCCCGCCGCCACAGTTCGAGTTGCACTAGCAGGTGGGAGTTGGCTTCCTACGATGGCGCAATCGGACTCCCCCTGGTAGTGAGTGACAGACGTAGTGGCAGTGGTAGTCGCACAAGAACTGTTGGACACCGTTGCAGTGCTACAAGCGTGCTCCTTGCTCACTTATCAGATCGGGGCCGCAGTGTTTCTATGCTTGTCACGGACGCGCCACGGGCCAGACCAACAAAAATGACGTCTTCCTCCGCGCGGAGTGGTGCGCGCGCGAGCGTCCGCCGCCGCAGCTCTGCGTTGCTCGCTCGACCTCTCGGGGCCTCGCCCAGTGGTTCAGACCGCGCCCCCCCCCCAACCACGTCCGCCGTGCGCTCGCCCCTGCAGCGGGCGCGACACCCCGTTTGGGGCAATGGCGCTGGCACTGTGCTGAGATTCGCGCGCGCTCCCCGCCGCCCTCCCCCCCCTTTCCCCCTGAGCTCTGATTCAACAAGTTCTTAACCCCAGACAGGGTGGCGTGCCTGCGCCGGTAAAAACCAAGGGCCGGCGTGCCTGCGCCGGCGCCTGCGATGACAGGGCGACGCCTGCACCTTATGATTTGAGGTGCTGGTGTTGCCTGCGCTTTACCATGGGCCGTGCTTGCGTTCATACAAGCCAGCACCCGCGGCGAATTCGCCAACAGCGCGATCACAAAGATCTGCTCGCGCCCTATTATTTGATCGCGCCCCGCGGTGCTCGCGCCTGGCCGCGCGCAGCCCCCGTGCGGATAAATCGACAGTCCCCGCGGCGCTTGCGCTGACATCTCGGTGGCAAGGCGACGCCTGCACCGTATTATTTGACGCGCGTGTGGTGCCTGCGCCAAGTCATGCGCGTCGCTGCGCTGATGCAGCGGCAGCGCCCGCGGTGCGCGCGATGAGGGCGCAATGACGGGGCGATGCCCACACCCTATGTCTTGACGCGCCTGCAGTGCCTGAGCCGAGTCGCGGGCCTTGGTTTCCGAGCCATGGCGGGAGCGGAACGGCGCGGTGGTTGGACCGCACGTTCTCGGCGCGACGTCGCTGGTCATGCGCGGAGCAAGCCGTAGCCACCTGGGCGCGGAAGGCACCGAAGTCTGCGCTCAAGAGGTCGACCATGCGACGGTTCACAGGCGCGCCCAGCTCGCCCACAAGGTCGCGGAGCCCTGACAGGGCGCTCCGCTTCCAATCTTTGGTTGGCGTTCCGTATCGGAATATGGAAATCACGCCCGAGACAAAACACGGACGGCATCGCCGTCGATGCAAAAAAGAAATGCGACAGGCAGTGACGGCGATGGCGACGAGGCAACCCTCGCGGCCGCGGCAAACGATCATCTACATTACACCCCGCCACGCGGTCCAGCGCCCCATCGGGCATCCTTGCCTCGTAAGGAGAATGAGATGAGATGGGAAAACGCCTGTAGCAGCCCGCCGTAACACGAGCGATTGTAGTTATAACAGTGGCGGCAGCAGTCTTAGTCGCAGTCACACTCGCAGCAGTAGTAGTAGTAGTAGTAGTAGTAGCAGCAGTGGTAGCAGTAGTAGCAGTAGTAGTAGCAGTAGTAGTAGCAGTAGTAGTAGCAGCAGCAGGAGTAGTAGTAGTAGTAGTAGCAGCAGCAGCAGCAGTAGTAGTAGTAGTAGTAGTAGTAGCATGAGTAGTAGTAGCAGTGGTAGTAGTAGCGATAGTAGTAGTAGTAGTAGTAGTAGTTGTTGTTGTTGTCGTAATAGTCGTAATACTGGTAGTAGTAGTAGCAGTAGTAGTAGTCGTCGTAGTAGTAGTAGTTGTTGTTGTAGTAGTAGTAGCCATGATAATAGGTAGTAGTCGTAGTCGTACTCGTAGTCGTACTAATAGTGGTCGTCGTAGTAGCAATAGTAGTCGCAGTCGTAGACGTAGTCGTAGCAGGAGTAGTCGCAGTAGGACTAGTAGGAGTAGTAGCCGTAATAGAAGCATTAATATTCGTAGTCGTCATGGTAGCGATCACGGTAGTAGTAATAGTAGTAGTAGTAGTAGCAGTAGTAGTAGTAGTAGTAGCTGCCGTAGCCGAAGTAGTAGTAGTAATGTCAGTAATAGCAGTAGTCGAAGTAGTAGTAGAAAGGAGTAGTAATAGTCGCAGTAGTAGTAGTTGTAGTAGTTGTCGTAGCAGGAATCATAGAAGGCGGTAGTAGTAGTAGTAGTAGTAGTAATACAGTCGTTTGTTTTGTAGTAGTTGTAGTAGTAGTAGTAGAAGTAACACTGGTCGCAGTAGTAGTCGCTGTCGTAGTAAGAATGGCACTAGTACCAAGAGTAGTACTAGCGGTAAACGTAGTAGCTGTAGCAGTAGTAGAAATAGTAAGAGTAGTTGTAGTAATGGTTGCAGGAGTACGTTATAGTAATCGTAATAGCAGTAGTAGTCGTAGACCTACCCGTAGTAGTAGTCTCCGTAGTAGTAGTATTAGTAGTAGCGGTAGTACTAATAGTATTAGTAGTGGTAGTAGTAGTACTAGTGCTAGTGGTAGTAGTGGTAGTAGTAGTGGTAATAGTTGTACCAACAGCAGTCGTAGTAGTCGTGGTAAACGTGGAAGGCGTGGCCGTAGTCGTTAACGTAGATTGGCAGTAGGCGTAGTAGTAGTAGTAGTAGTAGTAGTAGTAGTAGTAGGTAGTCGTAGTAGTATTGGCAGTAGTAGTCGTATGGTAGTCTTGGTAATAGTTGTGGTAGAGGTAGTGGTGATGGTAGAAGTAGAAGTAGTAGTAGTAGTAGTAGTAGTAGTAGTAGTACTAGTCTTACTAGTAGTAGTAGTAGTAGTAGTAGTAGTAGTAGTCGTACAGTAGTAGTAGTAGTAGTAGTAGTAGTAGTAGTAGTAGTAGTAGTAGGTAGTAGGTAGTAGGTAGTAGGTAGTAGGTAGTAGGTAGTAGGTAGTAGGTAGGTAGGTAGGTAGGTAGGTAGGTAGGTAGGTAGGTAGGTAGGTAGGTAGGTAGGTAGTAGTAGTAGTAGTAGTAATAGTAGTAGTAGTAGTAGTAGTAGTAGTAGTAGTCGTAGTAGTAGTAGTAGTAGTAGTAGTAGTAGTAGTAGTAGTGCTTCTAGTAGTAGTGGTGGTAGTAGTGGTAGCAGCAATCGTAGTAGCAGTCGTAGTAGCAGTGGTAGTAGTAGTGGTGGTGGTGGTAGGGGTAGTAGTAGTGGCAGTAGTTGTAGTAGCCGGAGCAGTAGTGGTAGTCCTAGTATTAGTATTAGTAGTAGTAGTAGTAGTAGTAGTAGAAGTAGTAGTAGTAGTAGTAGTAGTGGTAGCAGTAGTGGTAGTAGTAGTAGTAGTAGTAGTAGTAGTAGCAGTCGTCGTATTCGTACTAGTACTAGTACTAGTGCTGGTAGTAGTAGTTGTTGCTGTTGTACCAGCAGCAGTCGTAGTAGGCGTGGTAAACGTGGAAGGCGTGGTCGTAGTCGTTAACGTAGATTGGCAGTAGGCGTAGTAGTGTTAGAAGGTGGTCGTCGTAGTAATATCAGTACGAGTAGTAGTGGTAGTATTAGTAGTGGTGGTGGTAGTATTGGTAGTAGTGGTCGTGGTAGTGGCAGTAGTAGTGGTAGTTGTAAGGGTAGTGCTAGTGGTAGTTGTTGTGGTAGTAGTAGTAGTAGTAGTAGTAGTAGTAGTAGTAGTAGTAGTAGTAGAAGTAGAAGAAGTATAAGTAGAAGTAGTCGTGGTGGTAGTAGTAGTAGTAGTAGTAGTAGTCGTAGTCGTAGTAGTAGTAGTAGTTGTTGTTGTTGTAGTAGTCGTAGTAGTAGTAGTAGTAGTAGTAGTAGTATAGTAGTAATAGTAGAATATGTAGTAGTAGTGGTGGTAGATTTGGTAGTAGTAGTTGTAGTAATATTTGTAGTAGTAGTTCTAGTAATAGTAGTAGTAGTAGTAGTAGTAGTAGTAGTTGTAGTAGTAGTAGTAGTAGTAGTAGTGGTAGTAGTAGTAGTAGTAGTAGTAGTAGTAGCCAGAGCAGTAGTAGCAGTAGTAGTAGTCGTCGTAGTATTACTAATGTAGTCATAGTAGGTGTAGCAGCGTTGGTTGTACTGGAGGTTATAATGTCATCTTATCGTCCTGAAGAGGCAGGGATGCCCTACTGGGAGCCGTTCTACGCGACGGGTGCAACGTAGATGATCGTGACCGCGGCCGCACAGGTTGCCATCGCCGTTTTCGCCGTCGCCGGGGGGAGTCATCTTCGCATCCACGGCGATGCCATCAGTGGCCACAACCGCTCAAGCCTGATTCCCATGTTCCGATACGGGATGTCAGCCAAAGGCAGAAACCAGAGCGCTTTGTCCGGGCCCCGCATCCTGCAGTCGAGGCAAGTGCAACGGTGAACCGTCGTAAAGTCGTGTTCTCGAGCGCGGACTCAGATGTTTTCCGCGCCCAGGGCGGCTGCTGCCTGCTCCACGCAGGACCAGCGCCGAAGACGAGCGGTCCAACAACCGGTCCGTTCTGCCCATGCCATTGCTTGGAGCTCAGGGCGCGCGATTCGGCGCAGGCACCGCAGGCACGTCAGATACTGCGTTGCAGATGCCGCCCCGTCATAGCAGCATCATCGCGCGCACCACGAGCGTTATCGCTGTGCGCATGACCCGGCGCAGGCACCGCAGGCGCGTCAAAGAATGGGGCGCTGGCATCGCCTCGCCATCGGGTTGTCAGCGTGGGCTCCGCGGGGGGGGCTATCGGTTTATCCGCGCGGACGCTGCGCGCGGCCGGGCGGAGGCACCGCGGGCGCGACAAAGAATAGGCGCCATCATACCCTCGCTGTCGCGACGTGGGCGCAGGCGCCGCGGGCAATGGCTGCTACCCGCACAGGCACAGCGCAGGGTAGAGCGCAGGCACCAGCGGCACGTCAAATGATAGGGAGCGCGCGTCGCCTTGTCCTCGCCGGCGCCAGCGCAGGCACGCCGGGCCTGCCTCTGCATCGGCGCAAGCGCGCCACTGCGGTCGGGGCGGCAAAGTGTTCAAAGCTCGGGGGGGGGGGGGGGGGGGCGAGGGAGCGCTCGCGAACCTTCGCGTGGCGTGGGCGCCGAGGCCTCGGGGGCTCGAGCGAGCCACGCAAAGTCGCGGCGGCGGGAGTTCGCGGACGCACCGCTCCGCGCGCAAGGGAACGAATGTCTGATGTGGCCCATGGCGCGTCTGTGGCACACATTGGAACACAGCGGCACCGATCCAATAAGTATCTCAGGAATCCGCCTGCAGTAGCAGGCCTGGGTCATGCTTCGACTCCATCTGGGCCCGGCCGGCCCGCGATCCCCAGCCGCACGAGGAGGCGTGAGCATGCCCACTACCGCGACCCTCCCCCCGAGTCGCACTAGTAGACTGGCTGCGGCCCCGCCAGGGAAACCAAACACCCTCTCTCTTCACCCACGAACATGGCAGGGTTCTCACCGCCGTCGCATGGAAGTAGGAAGCCTCCAAATCGCACAACATCGTAAATAGGGCGGATGTGGCCAAGGTGAACAAAAATGAACTGGACGATGGTGGCGAGGAGGAAGAACGACCGTTTGTGGTGCTGGTAGCCTGTGGCGGCTAAGCTCGGTGCCGCCAAGTCTGCCGACCGACCTGCCGAACGCGCATCCAGCATGCGTGCCCCCAAAGCCGGGGGCGGGGGGGAGAGCCGAGTGAGGAGGAGAAGCAGATGGAGAAGGAGCAGGAGGAGCAAACAAAAGAGAAGGAGGAAGGGGGAGGAGGAGGAGGCGGCAGAGCGGGACAGGGAGGAGGAGGAGCAGGAGGGCAGTGTGCCATTTTCGCTTCGCCGTCGTAGCCTCGAAATCTTGGTCAGAGAGCACTGCACACAAATCCCATGCGATCAAGATTGAGGCACGAGGGTGACGAGGAAGGAGGTTGCGGAATGTCCTAGAATGTTCTGAGAAATAGCGAGGGGGTTCTTGGAGGTCATGCGAAGAAGGGATCGGGAGCGCAGGATGAGGAGGAGGCAAGGGCAGCGGAGCATGGAGACTCGAGCACCCGCACGCATCGCCAGGCGTCAGGAGGAGGAGCAAGGGCGGCAGCAGGAAGAGGAGGAGGGCTAGGAACAGGAGTTGTATCATGAACAGAAGCAGCAGCCGCAGGAGGATGAAGAGGAGCCCCAGGAGATGGAGAAACAGCAACAACAAACGTGCCGAGGAAGAGGTTGCCCCGCCCCGCCCTCCCTTCCGTAGAGCGGAGTATGTATGTGGCCTGGCCTCGCTTGACGAGTGCGGGCGGCGCCCAGGTGGCAGGGCCATGTCTTCTATCCCCTTGCACTTCTTTCTTACCCCCGCCCGCCAGCGGCGCTGTCCACATGGGGGCGGGCGGGGGGGCAGCAGAGTCTTCGCACCCAGTGCCAACAGCAATATCAGGAGCAGGAGAAGCAGGTCTTACAGAAGGAGGAGGAGGAAGAGGACATGGTGGTCTTGAAGGAGCACTGGGGAAAGGTAAGACTCGAGGTCGTCATAACGGTGGGGTTGCCGACTCTGTTTGAGGGGCCCGTCCTGAGTTCTAGCGGTCTAGTCTTCGTGGGCCGTCTGCAGCGGGAGGTCGCGTCAAATTTCAGAAGGGGTCTCGTCATGTTTCTGGCGGCCTCGTCAGGCCAAACCGAGACCTGCGAACCCGAGTCCTACGCCTCTCCGAGAGCAGCAGCAGGCGGAGGTCTAGGAGCGGGAGGAGGAGCAGCAGCGGGCGGGCGGGCGGAGCACGCGAGAGAGCGCCGTGCACGCAGGGTCCCTGGCCAGTGCTGCGTCTGCATACCATTGAAGCTGGGGGCCGCGCTCTCGGCAATGCCTCCCTCGGGCCGCCGCCGGCATCGCCGAGGGGTGGGAGGAGGAGGATCGAGGATCGAGAACCGAGGATCGAGGAGACTCGGATGCGCACACCTTCAGCCCCAACATGTTTTATGTCTTCCTGAGTGCTCGACTCAAATATCGACTTGCAAAACAACTCGCACCACTCGCCAGAATACTTCACGGTGCTAGTGGGTGGCAACTGGAGCGGTATACCTCACACGTTGGAAGGGAGTGCAGATGCCATGCTCTACGCACCATGGCCGTTGGCTGGGGCCCCGAGTTAGGGCCAGAATGGCCCCAGCAGCCACCGACGCAATAAGTTTTCACGAGAAGCGGAGGGGGTCGAAGAGGGGGAGAAGGAAGAGGAGGAGCAGGAGGAGAAAAATCGAGGTGCGAGGATCGAGGGTCGAGGGTCGAGGATCGAGGACGAGGAGGGCAAGGGGGGTGGGACGAGGGCCGCGATCCGTTACACATCCATGCGCCCTCCTTTGCAATACGAAGGGCCTCTCATGGAGCCCCCCAATACCACCTCGGGAAACCTCTGCAGGTCTCTAGGGAAGAGGGAGATGAGCTGGTTGGAGGCAGGAGGAGAGGGTGCATGAAGAGGAGGGGGAGGACGAGAAGGAGGTCGAGGGAGGGAGGGAGAACGAGGAGAGAGGGAGGAAGAGGAGGAGGAGGCCAGCAGGAGGAGGAAAGAGGAGAGAGGGAGGAGGAAGAGGAGGAGGAGGCCAACATGATGATGATGATGATGATGATGATGATGATGATGATGATGATGATGATGATGATGATGATGATGATGATGATGATGATGATGATGGTGGTGGGTGGTGGTGGTGGTGGTGTGATGATGATGATGATGATGATGATGATGATGATGATGAGGAGGAGGAGGAGGAGGAGGAGGAGGAGGAGGAGGAGGAGGGAGGGAGGAGGCATGGGAGGAAGCACGTGAGGACGTCGCGAGCGGCCCCGAGCTCATCCTCGGGAGGCCCTTTGTTTCGGAGATGGGCTCTCGGCATTCGCTATCGGGCCCCCTCTCAGGGAAGGCCATCTCTTCAGAGGCGCACCAGGAGAAGCATCGAGGTCCAGGTCGTTCTCTCGGTCCTCTTCGAGACCCCTCGGAGGCCTCCGGAGGCTTCGATGGGACCTCCGCAGACCCCCCGAGCCCTGGATCCGAGGACCCCTGGGGCCTCCAGAGCAGGAGCCCCGCCGAGGGAGGGACCTCCAGAGCAGTAGCCACTCCATAGGAGGGGTGGGGCACGCCGAGATCTCCTCCTCCTCCTCCTCCTCCTCCTCCTCCTCCTCCTCCTCCTCCTCCTCCTCGTCCTCCTCCCTGGTGGGAGGCCAGCGGAAGGGCCGCGCAGGTCGGCAGAGGCTCGGCGCGCGCCCCGCAGCGGTGCGGGGAGCGGCCCCCTCGGAGGACGCAGGCGCCGCCAGCGCCGCTGCACCCCGCATCTTCGAGGCCACCCGTGCGAACGCAGAAAGATCGGCGCTTGCACCGGCAGGAGAGGGAGTGCTCGACCGATGGGCTGGAAGCCGTGGCATCGCGTCTGCTGGAGCATTGCATGCAGCATGGCTGCAGGCCCCGCCAAAGCTCGGGCGATCGCGAACATGGATCAAGGAGGCGTGGATTAGCGACGGGCCCCGTTTCCATCGCAGGTTTCCTCCGCCGAGCGAGGCGACACAGGCCGCATTTTGGAAAGGGCACCTCCCCCGATCCATGGATTTGGCGACCGCTCGCCAAATCCACTGGCGCGGAAGGATGTCCACACCTGCTTTCCCAAAAGAATGGTGGAGCCTGGGGACCCGTGGATCGGAGATAGGGAGCGGAGGAGGGCGGGCCCGAAGGAGGCGGAGGCTCAGCGCAGGGCAGAAGGGGGCCGATGAGGCAGACGAGGGCGGACGAGGAGGATAATGCGGAGGAGGATAAGGAGTAGGACGGAGGAGGGCGGAGGAAGCAGAGGCGGAAGTGGGGCAGGAGAGCAACGAGTCGCCGGCCTAGGTCACCCTCATAGCGCTGTACCAGTTTGCGTACGCGTTCGTGTGCATCTTCGGGTTGTTCGTCGACGACGTCCGGTTCCAGGCCGCCCGTGCCCGCGCTGGAGAGTACCCTCTCGGCTCGATCTGGCTCGAGGGATGCCGCAGGGAGTTGGCGTCGAGGGCTCCAGTCGCAGTGGTTCGCGATGTCGCCTTGTCTCGCGGCGCCGGATCTCGAGGTCGGAGCCCCCCGCCCAGCAGGGCGCGCCCCACTGCAGGGGCCCTCCAGGCCTCCCGGACGAGGCTGGAGTGGGCGATCGCGCCCCCTCCGCTCCTCGCGTCCGCCGTCAGCCTATAGGCATGGACGACGCCGCGGGCAGAAGCGGTTTGCCGGAGCAGACGATGCAGCAAGAGCAAGGAGCGCACCGTCATGCACGGTGAGGAGATCCGCAGGTTCAGGAGGGCCCATCTGAGGCAGGTCCCATATGAGGCAGGTCTACATCCTTGAGTTCCCATCTGAGGCAGGTCCCATCTGAGGCAGGTCTCCATCCCTGATCCCCTCTGGGTTCCCATCTGAGGCAGGTCTGCATCCCTGGGTCCGTGGCTGGCACCCGCGGGGGGTCGGCCTACGGGCCGAGGGGTCGGAGGCTCGCGCCGCATCGCCAGTGCATCGACGATGCGGCTTTCCGTCCCAACGTCGCCGGGCATCGTCGATGCATCGGCGGTGCGGCGCACGCCTCCGATCCCGTATGCTCTGGCCCAATGCGGGAGGCCTCCTGGCAGGGGCCAGAGGCGGGGGGGCCCAGTGGCGGGCGGGGGCCTTCGAATCCCGCGCGCCGAGGTGTCAGGCCCAGGCGGGGCGTGCCGGAATCGTGAGCTGCGTGTGCATTTGCAGACCCCCTCCGCGTCGTGGCAAGGATCACATCACTCAGGAGGGAAAAAACACAGACACAATTAATCGTCGACCTTCCAGAAAATATTGGAAAATATGGGAATCGGGGGGGAAGACAAAAACCCAAAATATGGGCAGAATATGTGGAATCTTGTTGATTGCATGTATTTATTTGTGTGTCCCAGGGCCCCTTCAATCACAGGAGGTTGTTGGCAAGCTTGGGCCTCTGGGGGCCCTCGCCGGGCCCCAAGACGGTTCGGGATGGCACGAGGAATGTCCTCTGGGGGAGGGAGGAGTCGAATCCTTCGGGGAGCCGCGTGCTGGAAAGGGCCCGTCGGGTGGGTGGCTCGGCCCTCGCTTCGCGAGGAGCGCTCTGCCGATGGGCTCGTCCAGGCGCGGCCTTTGCCTGCCGCGCCCTGTGCGAAGATCAGGAGGGGAAAAAACAGACAGACACAATGAATCGTCGATCCCCAAGAAAATATGGGAAAATATGGGAATTGGGCGGGAAGACAAAAAGCCCTGAAAATATAGGAAAAGATGGGGAATCGGTCTATTTGTGTGTATTTGTTTGTGTGTCCTTGGGCCCCTGTGCGAAGAGTGCTGCTGCTGGGAAGCCTGCCAGCCTGAGCAGCCACGGCGCCTGGCATGCGAGCGGCAGCCTGCGGACGGCATCTGCTCGCGCCGTGCCGACCCAGCGGCGACCCCAGCGCGGGCGTTCTCTAGGCTGAACGCCGCGACTGCCAGCCCAGAGTCGGCCCGCAGCGAACGAGCCGCGCTACAGTCGGGGCCCTGAAGAAGGAACCCTCTTCGTTGGGGAGGGGCTCCGTGTTCCTTAAGTGTTTCACAGCTTGCCTCAGATTTTCCTTCTGTTTTCGATCGGAAATCGAATTTTAACTTATGGAAAAAGGGGCCTCGTTCTTTATTCAGGGTTCCTTAACTGTATCGGGAAGCCGCGATCGTTCAAGGTTGAAACATCCACGCGGTGTCAGAGATCAGCGTGCAAGCCTCCACGGCACGAACTTGCCGTGCAGGCACTGCTCTTATCATGGCACACCGCTGCAGGACCCCGCATTTCGGCAAGGCTGCGGCCAAGTCTGATGTCGGGGGCGCTCCGACGTGGCAACGGACGTGCACGAGTACGACAATGTGCTGCCTGCCAGAGGGGTCGTCGGAGCAGGCGTTGGAAGAGTTGGGATCAGGGGGCGCTGGCCCTGGACCTCAAGGGATGAAGAAGCGTCCTGGCCTCTGCACAAAGACCCCCAGCGGACAGACTCGTTCGTCCACAGCGCGCCATCCCTCAATGCGGCCCTCCTGGGAACCTTTCTCGGACCTCTCAGGCGGCCACCCGGGAACGGGTCCGGGATGGGAAGCTTGCTCCAGTCGGGCTTCCGCAAAGCGGTTGTGTGGGAGTGTGTGTGTGTGCGTGTGTGTGTGTGTGTGTGTGTCTGTGTGTCTGTGTGTCTGTGTGTCTGTGCGTGTCTGTCTGTGTGTGTGTGTTTGTGTGTGTCTGCGTGTGGGTCTGTTTGTGTCAACGTGTGCCTGTGTGTGTGTGTGTCTGTGTGTGTCTGTGTGTGTGTGTGTCTGTGTGTGTCTGTGTGTGTGTCTGTGTGTGTGTCCGTCTGTGTCTGTCTGTGTCTGTGTCTGTGTCTGTGACTGTGTCTGTGTCTGTGTCTGTGACTGTGTCTGTGTCTGTGTCTGTGTCTGTGTCTGTGTCTGTGTCTGTGTCTGTGTCTGTGCTTGTGTGCTTGTGTGCGTGCGTGCGTGCGTGTGTGCGTGTGTGTGTATGTGTGTGTGTGTCTGTGTGTGTGTCTGTGTGTGTGTCTGTGTGTGTGTGTGTGTCTGTGTGTGTGTCTGTGTGTGTGTGTGAGCGTGCGTGTATGTGAATTCGATCGGTTTTTGCACCGAACTGCGGACAGCTCCCGATGGTTGCCGATAGGTGGGGCCTGCTGGGGGGCATCTGTTTTCGACAGTTCGGTACACCAACGGATCGAACTCATGCCCCTCCTCCTCAGGGTCACCCCTTTTTGGCGGATCCCGGCCCAGGGCAGGACCTTGGATTTGTCGGGGACGGCAAAGACGGGGGTGCTGACTAGGGGGGGGTGGACATCATAAAGGGGGCCATGATAGCTCCCCAGATCTCATGGCGACTCTTCTTATTTCACTACGTCCCAGGCCCCCCCCTGGACCGCGCACATGCCGCCAGCCATGATTTCATGATTTGCAACCCCCCATCTTGGACGCCCCCGATCTTGGATGTCGCACCAAAAGACGCGGCGGCAGACCAGTCTACGTTTTCGGCCTCTGGGAGCCGCGTCCTGGCCCCAGAGCCATTAGAAACGGCCCAGAATGAAAAAGAGCAAGCGGGAAATAAAGAAGTAGAGAAATGGCCATTGTGATCGTGTTCGTGTTCATTGTTTTGCCAATCGGCGCGGGCCCTCGCACACTCCCCCTGCCCCCCCCCCCGACCTGGAGTAGATCTAGGCTGTTTTGGGCGCCTGTTTCAAGCAGGTGGAGTCTCCCATAGGACAAACTGCTGCAAACAGTCGCATTAAGCAGAGGTCCAGAGCCAGACACCACCCCGTCCCATCTCCCTTCCGCTCAGTATCGAAACGCCGACTAAGAAAACGTTCACATTTCTCGGCATGGGTCGCTTGGAGCCGAAAAATTGCCCCAAGCGACCCAGGTAGGCCGAAATCCAGGCGGCCGAAAGCACGAGCAAAACATGCTACGTCGGAAAAGGGGGCGTCGAGAGGCTCAGGACCTACGGACTGAAAAAAGTAATCCGCCAGAGGTCATGAGGCACCCGCAGCCAGTTACCGGGGCAGGCGCTCGAAGGCTCTCGCGCCGGCTCGAAGGGGGGGCCATGAACCGACTCCCAAGCGGCTTGCCTGGAAGGGTCTCATATATTTCTCGAGCACCCAGTGGGCGATGCTGGGCCCCCGACATCAGCAGCCCATCGTGCCCCCCCATCGTGGCCAGCGTAAGGCTGCTTAGGGCATCCTGCCGTAAGGGTGCCATTGGTTCCGGGGCGTCTCGCTCCTGGCATCGGTTGTGCGCCAATCATTCCCGTCGTTCGGTGCTACCAGAACGGGGATGGAAAGAACGAGGACGAAGTCCAACAGCAGTTACGACTCTTGAAACAGGATTTGCCGTTTGTGTCGCCGCGGGCTTTGTCCGCTCGGGGTTGCTCAACCTTGGCCATGGTTGGCTCGTTTTGTGACAAAAGTTTGTCGTCTCCATTCTGGGCGTGCGGAGGTTACGGTATGCTCCACGCCCCCCACCCCCCTCCTTGCAGTCCGAACGTCTCTTCTGCTTCCACTGTCATCATCCGCCTTGGCACCCGCTCTCTCACTGGTTGTGCCCGCCGCTTGCGCCTTCCGGTCGCCGTGCTTCCGAGCCTCTCCTGCTGTTCCTCCGCATCCTCATCACCCTCCCGCTCACACCCCTGGGGCACACGCTGGCAAACGAGATGGTTCTACCATCCTGGCGGCCAGGGCGACACAGCCATCACGCTTGCCAGCCGTGTTCCCTCTTTTCCCCGCGAAGCCAGCGGCCCAGCTGTCAAGGATTGGCCATTGCGTTCCTCCCGCTCCTCGCCCGCTCCCCTTCTAAGCAGCCCTAGCTGTCTCTCCCCCCCCCCCCCCCGCGGCCCCTCGCGGCACAGCGCCCTCGACCCGACCCCTCTTCCCGGGAGGAGAGAGAGAGAGAGAGAAAGAGAGATAGAGAGAGAGAGAGAGAGAAAAAAAAAAAGAGAGAGAGAGAGAAAGAGAGAGAGAGAGAGAGAAAAAGAGAGAGAGAGAGAGAGACAGGCGGCGAGGCGGCGGTCGCGTCGGCAGCCGCTGACCTGGCTGTCACGCCTGATGCTGTGCGTGCTTGGTGGGTGCAGTGGCAGATGGTGCACCGAGGGCCCAGCAGGTACTGAGGCGCCGCGTCGCGTACTACTCGGTGAGTGGCTGCGAGATCTCACGGAGGAGGGCGTGGAGCCGCATCCGGGTCCTGGCCACGACTTCCTGGCGCAGGTCCGCGCCCTGGTTGACGCTCATGCGGCGGCTGGCCAGGAGGCTCGATGGAGAGGTCGCCCACCCGAGACCCTTCCTGAGGTCCAGCGCGACCTTGCGGAGCGCATTCTGCACCTGGAGGTCGCGCTGGGGGAGCGGTCGTGCCCTCCCACTCCTGTGGCGCCGCCCAGCGACTATGCGAGCGCCGCCGACGACCTGGAGGAGGATCAGGAGAGGCAACGAGGAGGTGGTGGTGAGATGCGGCAGGATGAGCTGGAGAACTCCATCTTCGGATCAGCCCGGGGTAGCTCGCCAGCAAGCCCGCGTCCCGCGGACGGGCGCGACGGCTGGGTCTGGGAGGAGCGGCTCGAGATTGCGCCTCAGTCGCCGGTGGGCGCCCTCACTCTGCACCCAGCGCCCGGTGGCAACCCTAGGTGCCCTGGTTGCGGCTCCACGTTGAGGAGGGCGCGGCCTGAGCGAGGCAGCGCCTGTGCATGCTGCGGAGGTGGCTGGGGCCGCGGTGGCTGCGCGCTCAGGTGCGAGCCGTGCAACGCGGCCGTCTGCCGGTCCTGCGCGGTGTCAGTGGAGGAGGTGGGGGCTGGTGGACGTACAGGTGCTATGGAGGAGCTTGTGGAGGACGCGGAGGTGGAGGACACGCAGGAGGCGGATCCAGCTGTTGCTGACGCAGTTCATCAGGTCCTACACGCCGTCGGGGAGGCCATGTTCGTTCCTCCTCCAGATGCGGACCCCGCTGCTGTTCCACATTCGGCCCGTACGCGGAACAGGTACTACATGTGCCGTGCGGGATGCAACTGCGTACTTGTACCCGTATTCGTTTCTACAGCTGCCGGCTATGATTGCGACCGCTGCCACACTCACCGCCAGACCCGTGCACGCATGTGGAAGTGTGCTTCATGCGAGTCGATGTTTTGTCCCTCGTGCCGGAGACAGGGGCAGCTGGTCTCTCAGGGAGGTCCCGGTTCTAACGGTGTTGCTCCAACTTGCCAGCACGACTCTCCTAGCATTCCCGTCGGCGACTCTGGGCAGCACAACTTCCACATGGGGCCGGTTCCACCACCTGAAGTTCCAGCGCATCACGTGCCACCACCTGAAGTTCCAGTGCAGGACCGCACAGCCTGGGCTGGCCAAGGAGGGGATCATACTGAAGCATTTGTCGCACGTCTGCTTGAACTCCTGCGAGGCCTCCCGGCTGTGGCCCCTCTGTCCTCGCACCTGTTCATCCCCAAAGGCTTGGTGCTCAGGTACACCAGGGTCGCCACTTGTGCGCTGGATTGGTTCGTGTCCGAACTGCACCGTCCTGAGACAGATTTGGCGCGTGCTGAGTGCGCATCGCTGTTTCTGCGCCATTTGGATTTCCTTGTTGCGCGGGACCTCCGGGATTATGATGGAGCGCGCGGCCTCGGTGCCAGTCCGCCTCAGGATTCTTGTGGCGTTACGCCGATTATTCGACATAGGCTGCAGTTGTTGGAACGAGGAGAGTGGCATGAGGCGGTACTTGCTGCAGCAGCTGATGCTACGACGGCGGCCGTGCGAGCTGCTGAACGGCGCGTCGCCGCTGCTTCGGAGGACTCCGAACAGCTGCAGCGGAAGCAGTTCGAATCCAGCGTTTTCAAAGTTCTTCATGGGGATGTCCGGACAGGGCGGCGGATCTTAGCGAGCAGCGGCGTGCACCCCTCCTGCAATGACACCGTCGGCCTCATGCAGGGCAAGTTCATCACCGACCCGGCCAACGACTCTATGGGGCACCGCCCTGGCTTGTCGCGCAAGGCCGCTCGGTGCAAGCCCCCAGTCGTGCAGCCGAAGACTGTCAGCGCGGTCGTATCGCGGACAGCTGATTGCAAGGCCTCCGGCACCAGTTCTTGGCGGAACTCGAGGTTGAAGAACATTGCCTCCGACCCCTCCGGCCTCGCGGCGTTGACGGGCTGGGCTCAGGCATGGGTCGCTGGCTCTGTGCCTGAAGTCATGGCTGCGCCGTGGAGGTCTATCTTGGGAGTACCTCTCCGGAAAGGCGCCGACGGCGCAGACGTGAGGCCCATCATGATAGGGGAGGCTTTACTCTCGCTGCCTGGGGCGTGCTTGCAGGAGATTTCACAGCGCAAGGTTACGAAGCTTCTGTCGGACACCCAGCTTGGCATAGGTGTACAAGCAGCTCCGGAGACCATGTTGAGCATTGGCAAAGCGCTGGCCGTGCTGTGCCCTGACGATGCATTTTGCGCTTTTGACATGCACAACGCTTTCGGGGAGATCTCCAGGGCAGAGATCATGGAGGAGGTGCTCAACGAGGTTCCGGAGATGGCGCCGTACTTGACCAATTTGTGGGGCCCGGCCGGCACGCCAGTCTACATTGCATCAGGCCCAGCCTCCTGGAGCTGCTTTTCAATGGTGGATGGTTTATTTCAGGGGCATACATTGTCATCTCTGCTGTTCTGCTTGGGCCTTCGCCGGGCTCTCCGGCGATTTCTCCAGGAGTACTCCGCTTCGGTCTGCGCTGCTGCCGGCGTGCCGGCGCACTACGAGTACATGGACGACATGTTGATGAAGTTAAAGCCGGACATGGCCGACACTTGGCTCCCGCTCCTCGTCCACGCCCTCGCCTCGGTGAACCTCCGCCTGAACCTTGCCAAGACCAAGGTCTGGGTACCGTCAGCTGCCGCTGGTCAGTTCCACCCGGTCCTGCGGCAGGCAGGCCTGCCGCAAGTCTTCGGCAGTTTGGAGCTGATGGGGGGCGCTCTCGATGGCCAGCACGCGGCGTCGATCGGGTGCTCAACGGCGCCGGCGGCGTCGACGAAACGGCTGGAGCAGGCGGAGGCCCTGGCGCAGACGCTCCAGCAGATGCTTCGCACACCTCTGGAGAGGCCCTCTCGTCGTGCTGTCTGGACGCTGCTAGACAAGGTCCTCAACAAGGCATTGGACTACGACGCCCGCATTCTTCACCCGGAGTCTTTCTCCATTCTTGCGGAGCGATTGGACCGTGCCGTGTTGGACACATCTTGCAAAGCAGTGCGCGTGGGCAGGCTCACGGTGGAGCAGGAATCGTGCTTGAGGCTGTCTGCAAAACTCGGTGGGTGCGACATGGTCAGCTGTGCTTCGAAAGCGTTGTTCTCCCACCTCGCCGGGGCGGTGCAGTACTTGCCTGCAGTGGCGCGGAGGCTCCTGGATCTCGGCTTTGAGGAGGATCGCGTCGCGGGGGTCGTGGACCTGGGCGGCGTTGCCCACTGCCTGGACGCTCTGGCCCAGCGCGGGGTGCACGTGCGGCCCGACGGCGAGGTGGTCACCGGGGCCCCGCCCGGGAGCAGCATGGCGCCATCTACGTTGCTCTGGGGCCAGGCTCGCAAGATACACGGGGCACTTCTGGAGGCGCTGCAGGGCACCTTGCACGAGACTCTTCGCGCCCGCTACTCCGGTTCGCAACGGAGTTCGGCGCGCCTGCCCAGCTGCGCCGTCTCTGTGTCCAGCCGGTGGCTCACCGAGTTCCCGACGTCGTGGTGGCCAGAAATCACGGACGACAAATTCGTGATGGCAGTCAAGTTCAGGCTCGGCTTGCCCGTGTACCTGGCCGGCCTGCAGTGCATGCACGCGAAGGCCAAGGACCAGTCGGACCACTGCGGGAAGAACTTGGATATATATATATGGCGACCATGCCGTATGCTGCAATACTGGTCCGTATATTTCAATGCGGCATGGTTCGCTGAACGGCATCCTGGCGCAGGCGGGCCGCGACGCCGGGTACTCGGCGCTCCTGGAGCAGACGGTCCCCGAGTTCGGCCTGAAGAAGCGGCGCCGGGACGGCAGGGAGGCTCTGGAAGAAGCCATCTTGGACGTCGAGCTGTTCGGGCATCCGACGGCCCCAGAACGCCTTCTCGACGGCACGGTGCGCCACCCTGGGGCCAGCCACATCCTGCCGGCTGCTGCCGTAACGCCGGGTGCTGCCGCTGCCGAAGGGGTCCGCTGCAAGGAGGACCGGTACCCGGACACGGGCGGCAAGTCCGTGGTCCCTTGTGCAGTGGAGACGTGGGGCCGCATCGACGGCCGCCTGTCTTCCCTGCTGGGCGAGCTCGCGGTCCTCGCGTCGCAGCGGCAGCGTGATCGCGGCGTTCTGCCCACACGCTGGGGGGCGCGCTGGCGGACGCTCATCAGCGTCAGGCTGGCCATGGGCGTGGCGCGCGCGCTGCTGGACGCGGCGCCCGTCCAGTGCCGGCCCTGCGGCGTTGTGCGGAGCAGGGCCCCTGGGGCCCGGGCCGTGGGCCAGGCGGGCAGCGCTGGTGCGGCGGCGGCGCCGGGCGGGTAGTCCCCCGCTCTCCCCCTCCTCCTCCGTTTCCTCCTGCCACGTGTGCTTTGTGGGATTCATGCTTATTGTTCGAGAGAGAGAGAGAGAGAGAGAGGTGGCGCCACCACCCCCAGGGGGAGGGAGAGGACCCCAGACCGCAAACGTCCAGGTTCGAGCGCCTGGCAGGTGCTCTGCTTGCCCCTGCTGGGCCACCGGGCGTCTCGCCGCCGCGGCCGGGGTGCCCCTCCGTTCCTTTCGAAGCCCTGGCCCGAAGGAACCCCGGGATGTGTCTGCGGATCGGCTTTCGACTCCCGGGGGCCCAGGGGCCTCCAGCGCCACCAGCGGGCCACCTCCAGCGAGGGGCTCCACGAGCTGTCGCCGAGCTGGGGACAGGGGGCGTCTCGAGCGGGGAGGGGGCACCGCACCACCAGGAGGGCACCCCCTCTGGCTCCTCGCGCTGGGAGGAGGAGGAGGAGGAGGAGGAGAAGGAGGAGGAGGAGGAGGAGGACGAAGGAAGGAAGGAAGGAAGGAAGGAAGGAAGGAAGGAAGGAAGGAAGGAGGAGGAGGGGGAGGAAGAGGAGGAGAGAGGAGGAGGAGGAGGAGGAGGAGGGGGAGGGAGGAGGAGGAGGAGGAGGAGGAGGAGGAGGAGGAGGAAGAGGAGCAGGAGGAGGAGCGAGGAGAGATGGTGTCGCTGTTCCTTGCTCCTCCCCCCCCTTGGCCAGTCGGGCGGCTACAACACCCACACCTACCGGCTGCAGGCCACGACCTCAGAAGGGCCCAACCTCGGGAGGATCGGACTGGGCGAGGAAAGAACGGGGCTGAAGACCGAGAGCAGTTCCTGTCCACTGGAAAGGGATCGCTGTCGATGCCGCCGGGGGTGTTGTCCATCTTGGGGCAGACGTTGCCCAGCCCAATTGCGGCCACTGTCGGTGATAGACAAAATGTGCTGCAGGGTATTGTCCAGGCTTGGCGTGCGGAAGTGTTCTCCTCCACGCTCGCCCCCCATCCTCGCCGTCCGCATGCCTCTTCTGCCCCCCTGTCATTGTCTGCCTTGACACCCTGTCTCCTCAGTGTTTCAGCCTGCCACTTAAACCTTCCTGTCGTCGTGCGTCTGAGCCTCTCCTGCTGCTCCTCCTCCGCAAACTCATCACCCTCGCGCCCACACCCCTAGGGCACACGCTGGCAAACGTGATTGTTTTATCACCCTAGTCTTCTCATATTTCTCCTCCTTCTCCTCCTCTTCCTCCTCTTCCTCCTCCTCCTAGTCGCACGCTCGATGGCAGGAATGGTGGAGGAGGGAGTCTCTGGAGCAGGAGATCAGGGAGGCGTGGGAGGTGCGGGACCAGGCTAGAGTAGGTAAACTTGTACGCCTTCGAGCTGGTACCAGGATGGGGCCCCGTAACAGGTGCTACCTCGCCCTCCCGATGAGGCGCCCCAACTCCGCTGACATTCGAGAGGCCCTCCAGAAACCAGGGGTGGACGGAGGGCTTACGGCCGTCAACGCTATCCTAGGCAAGCGCATGAATCCAGATAAGATACTAGATCTGGTCAATACTCCCTGGGACGAGATACCACCCTATGGACCCAGAGGCCTCCCCCTACCCACGAGCGAGGATTTCGAGCTGGCGGCTGAGGATCTAGAATACTTGAAGACATGATTACGACATTGTCATCACTGCCGTTATGCCCCGCCGTGGTCGTGGCCCGTGGAGGTCACGACGTTGCTCCTCTTCCCCACCCACCTCTTCCGCCCAGGCCTCTCTCGCGAGGGCCTAGGCTCCACGTGGCGAGCACGCGACCCCGACCTTCTGGACTTCAAGGCCCAGGCAGCCCGACCCCGACACCGCCAGCTGGTGGTCGATGATGTCGAGGCGCGCGTGGGATATGATATGCTACTACAACTCCTTGCACATATCCGAGCTAGGCAGCTACTCCCACAACAGGCACGCACCAGCCACGCCATAGTTATAAGCAAGCCAGGCAAGACACCTACGGGCAACACGGTCACGGATAGCACACGGTGTCTTAGGCTATTGCATTGCTTCTGTCACTGGTGGAGGCTATTGCTGCGTGTTGGCCTAGTGGATTACGGTAGCCCCTATGAGCCCCCCCTGGGCGCACGGCGGGATCATTCATCGGAGGAGGGAGGGGCTCATGATCATCATTAAACTTGTCATGTGGAAATTGCGCCGTTGCAAACACTACTATCTTGTCAAATCGTATGACATGAGAAACGCGTTCGGCACAGGACATCACGCACGCCTACACGACGCCCACAGGTCTCGAGGAGTGGATGAGCACTATGATGAGCTACTCACGCACCACAGGAGCACGGGCACTCTCTACCACGAGGCTAGTGATGGCGACGTGGCGATGACACCGACGACAGGAGGGAGGATGGGCGATTCGAACGAACCCGAGCTGTTCATGGAATCCTTTTACCCGATCGTGAGTGCCTGGCAGCGTGAACTCGGACAGGTCGTGGGAGACAGCCTGGCATGCAAGAGCTCTCTGTTCGACCGCTGGGATGACCTGGCGTTCGGAGGCTTCATAGACGACCTGATCAGAATTGTTATTGTGCCGAGTGGAACTGCACGCGAGGCCCTGAGCCTCGATCATCTGGACAATAAGATACTCGACAAGTACTTGACTGAGGGCGGGTACGCACAGCACGTGGACAAGCAAGATACACTAGTGCACCTAGCCACTAACAGGGACACCAAGGAGGCGGAGGAGAGAGTACCGGGGAGGACGGTGATGAACATGATACACTTGGGCGGGTACATTAATATTAACTGTCGCAACGGGCATGAGGTCAAGGCACGGATAAGAGCTGGCTCCATAGGGTGGAGTAAGCTTCGGAACTACCGGAACTACTAGATTGCGCCAGGTCCCTGGAGGAGCAAGCGAAGCATGTTCTTGGCTAGCGTTGCAGGCCGTGTCTGGTCAGGCATGGAGGCATATGTGCTAACCCCCCTGAAGGTGCGGGCCCCCGATACCTCTCTCGCTAAGAAGCTCAGAGCGATGATGGCAGGCGCGGCACACACGGAACACGAGGATGGCAGACACACGTCGTTGACCACCAGGGCCGTGTTCGAGGAGTGGGAGATCCCACCCACGGGGGTTGAACTTATGATAAGGAGGTTGGGATGGTGGCAGTCTATCATGACAAAACCCGAACATCACCGCCTTTTCCTCAGCGCCTTCCTCGGGGAATGCAAGTTCGAGTCAAGAGCTCGCTTTGCGGGCGCAGCTGTAGCAGTTATAACTATACTTGGAAACGGCGAGCTGAACCCCCCCCCCCCCGCCGCGCGTTCACCCCTGGGCCCGCCAGCTTCATGAGGACCTCCAAACGATTCTTGGGCATCCGCATTCCAGGGAACTGAGGGGCGTCTGGGAGCCCCGTACGTTAGGTACCCTGTTCAGCGTCGACTCCGAGGCCTCCGAGGTTTTCCGCAAGTGCGACTTCAGAGCCCTGCGCACGACGCTCCAGGGATGCGAGTGGGCCCCCCCGGAGCATTTCGAGAACCAGCTTCCCACTGACGAGGTGCTGGGAGAGACCGATAGTGAAGATGAGGAGCTCGCCCCCCTATTGCGCGGGATCAAGGAATGCCGCGCCCGATTCTCGACGAACCGCGAGCTTGTCAAGCACCAGATCAACGCGACAACGCTCGAGGGCCACGGCGCTCCCCCCGTCCTCTCGCAGGCATGCATAGACAATCGGTGCATCAACTGCGACGCAGTCTTTGCAAGTATTGATCATGCTCGGCGGCGCTGGTCTCGAGCGTGGATGTCGGGCAGATGCATCGCGGAGCTGACGAGACACACACATACCTGGACCCCCTCCGAGGTAACCGAGTGCCCACTGGGAGAATACAGCGACCAGCCTGAGTGCCACATTCATTATCCTGATGCGCTGGAGCTGCGAAGACACATTCGCACGCACATTCCCCCATGTCCGTCAGGATCTCGGCTCAAAACATCTAAGCCACGACCCGCCCACAGCGCTCGAGGCCCACTCGGGCGCGGGGCGCTGCCGCCGCCGGCTTGGCGACCAGAGGACGCCCCCGAGGAACGAGAACGGCTCCGAGCGGGCTATCAACGGCTGGCAGAGCTTCGAGAACAACGCACTGAACGACTACGACGGCAGCCACAGGGACATCGGCTACCACGAGTGGATCCAGCCCCAGTTGCCAGCCCCTTGAGGGCAGAGCGCGTGCTTGAGAGCACCACATCGCGGGTAACAGCCGCGAGCGCGCCCCTACTCCTTCGACAGCCCCCAGTTGCGGCAGCAGCTGAAGATGGCGAGCTCGGCGGCAGCGGCGTCGGCGGCGGCCCGGCCGCCCGCGTGGCTCCTGAAGGGCTCCTGCCCTGCCCCCAGTGCTTCTGGGGGCGACGGTTTGGCTCCGCCGCCTGCCAAGAACCCGCGCAAGGGCGACAAGGGCGGCGACCAAGTCATGGGGGGGCGGACACGCTGACGGAGAAGGGCGGCAAGAGCAGCGGCAAGGGCGGCAAGAGCGGCCAAGGGCGCCGAGGCGGCAGGAGACGCAGACGCGGCAACCACAGCGAGAAGAAATTGACATCGAAAGACCAGAATTTGATGCAGTGCCTGGCGACGCTGACGAAGCTCACGCTTCAAACGGCGTTCAGGCAACGACTATCATCGGCCACGACGATCGACACGTTCACGATCCCCAAGACGCACCGCGCGGTCCAGAGGCTCGAGGCGGCGATGATCGAGCACCGCAAGAAGGCGGAGGCGGCCCGCCCGAGCGGCGCCGAGGCGCTGCGAGAGGTGGGTTCGCCAGTGGCGAGCCTCGCGGTCGGCCTTCTAGAGAGTCTGATGGAGTGCGACATAGGTGGACAAGCGAAGGTCGACCTCGGCAAGTACGTGGAACAAATCATCCCAGTCAATGGAGAGGAGCCGCCGATCACGAGAACGCACCTGGAGCTGGACGCGGCGGCCATCCGCATCGAGAGATGCTTCGACGAGGAGAAGGTGAAGCTCCAGGTGGCAGCGCCAGCGTGGCCCATGCGGGGCGCGGTCACGAACACCTTCATCTCGGAGGGAGTGGCCCAGCGCCACACTGGTGTAGCCCCGCCTGGATGGCTGGAGGACGAGATTGCGTCGTGGCTAGAGGTGCTCACCCAGTAGTGTTTGTACAGGGAGAGACTATCGGGGGCACGGCACCCACCCCTCCCGCGCCCCTGCCTCCCCCCGCCACTGACCCGATCGGCTCCGCATTCGAGTTCGATTGATGTGTGGCTGACAGCATTGGCTGCCTGGCCAGCTGAATGCGTCTCCGTCCCTTTTCCCAGCCTCCTGTGCCGTGAATATGTGCAGATGGCTCTATCCCAGAGGCGTGCATGCCTCTCCCCTCGTGTGCAGCCTGCCTCCGCCGCGTTTCGAGTTGCAGCATCGATCGAGCGTGCGCACCAGCCTGCATAGCTGACCAGGACAGGATCCGCAAGAGTGCGGTCCAGCGACGGGCTCCCAAGCCTCACATGTACTCCCACCAGTCGGCACACAGCCCCACTCGTCGAGTAAAAAAAGTGGGGGTTCCTCCTCCTCTCCTCCTCCGCCTTCTTCTCCTTTTCCCCGCGTAGTCGACGTCTCGCCATCCATCCAAGTCCACAAGGCAGATTTTTGTTCCGGAGCCCGCTCCAGCGTGCCAGCAAATTGTCCAGCATCTTCCTCCATTCCCCCCCCCCGAGCGCGCTCCACGTGCGCCGGAGCGCGGGCTCGCGAAGTGCGGAGGGTGCAGGGACGGAGGGAAGCGAGGCCTCCGGGAAGAAAGAAACGCAAACACCATAGAACGTGCGACGGCCCGCGCGGATTCCTTGGATCTGCGCTGGGTACCCGTGGGAGTGCCCCCAGCGCCGCCCCTCTCCGCGTGCCAGGGAGGGGGCCCAGCGCAACTCCAAGAAGTTCGCGCGGACCGTCGAATGTTTATATATATATATATATATATATATATATATATATATGTATATACAATTCACAAATACATGTACGTGTTGTGCCCGGTATGCTTCTTGCAAGGGAGGGGTGTTGAAGTTGACGTTAATGTTGTTGGTGATGATGATGATGATGGTGATGATGATGATGCTGATAACGAGGATGATGATGATGATGACATTGATGGCGATAGTGATAATGTGATGGTGAGGATGAAAATGAGGATGAGGATGGGGATGGGGATGAGGATGAGGATGGTGATGATGATGGTGCGTATGATGATGATGCTGATGATGATGATGATGATGCCGATGACGATGACGATGACGATGATGATGGTGATGATGATGATGATGATGATGATGACGAGGAGGAGGGAGAGGAGGAGGAGGAGGAGGCGGAGGAGAAGGAAGGGGAGAGAGAGGATCGCAGGACTCTGCGGCTCCCCCTCGTTGTGGAAGGCCCCCCGGGTGGCGGGGCGTTTGCGAGAGCAGCCTCCAGGCCATGGGCCCTTCGGGCTTCGAAGCCCTGGCAGCCGGCGCGCGCAGCGCCCTGCCAGGGCTGCCGTGGACTCCGGGGGATCCCGAGGAGACCCGGCGGGGCCAGGACTAAGTCGGGCCTGTCCCTCTACGGGGGGAATCTTCAAAAATAGTCAAGAAATAGTATGGGGAGCATTTTTCTTCTATTTTTGGCTATTTGTTTTTGCATTCTTTGACTATTGTGTTTATCTTTCGTCCAAAATCCGCCTGTAGGGGACATGCCCGACCCAAGGCTAGGACACGAATACATCGTTCCGGAGCGTTCCGGAACGCTCTCACAGCGTTCCAGAGCGCTCTGGAACGGCCGCGGGCCGATACATTTTCAGAACCGCGGGATCTCAGAGATCCCCGATGTGTGTTTCGATCCGACGTTGTTCCCGTTTTGGCGTCGTCTTAGAAGGGTCAAACCCGTCTCCACAGGCGTGGGAAGAGAGAGCTCAGCCTTTTGCTGTTCCAACCTACTTTAGCCTTGATCACCAAAAATCAGTTCGAGCACCAAGAAAGTACCAAAACTGGAGGGCTTTCACGTGTCGTGCCCTGGGAGGCGATACTCGTTCGACACGTGCTCGATACTTTTCGAGGTGCTCGAAACTGTTTCTGGGAGGTGGTCCTTTAAGCACGATGGGGACAACAGAAGCTCAGCCACGGAGGCCCCGATCCCGCCCGAGAGCAGGCCGGCCCGCCGATGGGCGGGCGGCGGTGGTTGCCGATCGGCTCCCTCTCGATCGGCGGGGTGCTCCGCGGTCTTGGATGAGGTCGGGCATGTCCCACCTTACAGGCGGATTTTAGACGAACAAAAATGTCCAAAAGTGCACAGGAATAATCACAAATTATCGAAAGATCGTCGCCTTATCATTCTTTATTTTTTTGAATACTCCCCATGTAGAGGGACACGCCCGACTTAAGGCTTCCATGAGTCGGGTCGGCATTCGCGCTTGAGGCGTGCAGTTAACCCGCATAGTAAGGATGGGCGAGTGTCCTGAGGGTACCCTTGCATCCTCGCCTCCTCGGTCCATCATTAGCCACTTTCGCCGGCCGCGCCCCGCTCGGAAAGCTTCGAGACCGCCCTACAAGCCCTTGCATCGTCATCGTGCATCCTTATGGTACGGGTCGACTGTATGCAATGAACCTTGGAGCATGCATGGAGACCACGAGGCAGCACGCAGCTACACTCCGGTGCTGAGATGTCTTCAAGCTCGGAGTACGTGCGCGGAGGAGGCGCGAGGAAGAGGAGGGAGGGGGGGACGAAGCCGGGAAGGCAAAGAGGAGGCTTCACCTCGGCGAGCCTTGTGGCTCGGCCGCGAAGCGTCTTGCTGGCTTGGACGACATGCTTGAGGTTAAATCGAGGAGGGGAGGGAGGGCCTGAATCAGGATCAGCCCGCGGGCCGCTACGAACCCAGACCTCTGGCGACCAAATGTTGTCCAGTCGCGGACTGGGTTCTGTTCCTTCATTTCGGCCCCGGGGGGTCCACTTCTGGGCCCCTATGACTAGCAACATAAAAAATCCAGGACGCAAACTACTCCCCCGGGTAAGAAAACGGGAGCATGGGGCCGCAGATTGAGAATCCATACTGGGCAATGGGGAGATGGGTCCTCAGGGTTTCCGCCAGGTTGGGGTTCTTGGAGCTTTCCACAGGCCCCGGGACCAGCAACAAAACATTACGGGATGAAGAACGGTCAGGGTGGAAGCCCCTCTGGGGCCACGACCCGTTTCCCTCCGGAACCGTCACAGGCATTGTAAATACGTAGCACCCCGCAATTGCGGATAAGAGTGAGGGGCGGGCGCGGGCGACGCGGGCGTCGAGCCGGCGGACCTCGTGGTCCTCACTTTCCCTGTCGATGGCGCCCTCCTCCTCCTCCTCCTCCTCCTCCTCCTGCTGCTCCTCCTCTTCCTCATCCGCGTCCTCGTCCTCATCGTCGTCGTCGTGCGCCCCGAGGCCCCTTAATTGTGGGCGCCTTGAGGCAGCTTCCCCTGGACCCAGGCTTTGGGCCCGGATACCGAATAGCAGCAGGCAATTGGATTGTCAATGAACGTGTTCAGACACAGCCCCGCCGCAGGCGCCGATGTGCTGTTGTAGAGTCAACGTGGGCCTGATCGGGGGAATGGCACGAGGGCGCTTCTCGCAAACCAATGCGAGCAAGCCCGCCACAGGCGCCGATTTGCGTGCTCTGACAAGTTCAACGCGGGGGGGATCGCTGGTGGGCCACCCGGAACGAATGCAAAAACAGCCCGCCGCAGGCGCCGAATTTTTGGTTTGTTCAGTGAACGTATTATGGGTCGCGGGTGGGTCGCGGGCTCTCCACCTCCACCTGGAAGGAGTTCAAAAACAGCCCGCCGCAGGCGCCGACAATTTTGATTTGTACACTGAACGTGGTTTGGGTCGCAGGTTCTCCACCTGGAACGAATGCAAAAGAAACCCACCGCATGCGCCGTAGTTTTGGCGTGTTCAGAGAACGTAGTTTGGGTCGCGGGTGGGTCGCGTGCTCTCCACCTCCACCTGGAAGCTCTTGGAAGGAACTCAAAAACCGCCCGCCACAGGCGCCGAAAATTTTGATTTGTACAGTGAACGCGGTTTTGGTCGCGGGTGGATCGCAGGTTTTCCACCTGGAACGGATGCAAAAGAAGCCCGCCGCAGGCGCCGAAAAGTTTTTGGTGGGTCGCGGGGTAGGTCGCGGGTGGGTCGCGGGTGGGTCGCGGTGGGTCGCGGGTGGGTCGCGGGTGGGTCGTGGGTGGGTCGCGGGGTGGGTCGCGGGTGGGTCGCCCAAGGGTCGCCCAAGGGTCGCGGGTGGGTCGCCAGGGGGGGTCTCGGGGTGGGTCGCGGGCGCGTCGCGGGGTGAGTCGCGGGTGGGTCGCGGGTGGGTCGCGGTGGGTCGCGGGGTGGGTCGCGGGTGGTTCGCGGGTGGGTCGCGGGGTGGGTCGCGGGTGGGTCGCGGGTGGGTCGCGGGTGGGTCGCGGATGGGTCGCGGGGCGGGTCGTGGGTGGGTCGCGGGGTGGGTCGCGGGTGGGACGACGACAACAACAACACCAACAAGAAGAAGAATCCGCATCGCGGTATTCCACTTCAGCCACGCACCCAAGGACAGTGAATGACCGTTCGGTTCAGCCCCCTCACTCTGATTATATGTTATTTATTGTTGGGCGATCCGAGGTCATGGTAGGCTCCGCGGGCTTCTTTTTCGCGCTCGCCGGGCTGATGGGCGTGGCGGACGACAAGGCCGTCAAGTCAACAAGCCATTTTTGCACGAACCGATTCACTTTCTGAGGGTACGGATGGGTTCCAATGCGCATTCGGGATCGCCTTCACCCGCCCTCCTCTCTCGCAAGGAGTGAGGCAGCGAGGTATTCAGTTTTTTGGAGCGTGTACTCGTAGGGTCCAACCAGTCGATTCGGTCCCATGCAAAGCGCTTTGCGGATCCGTGCGGAGGTTGATTGCCTCTAGCATTTTTCGCCGACCAAGAACACACGCACGCGAAAATCGCGTTCGAGCGACGGCAAAAGTGTGGTAGAGTGGAGTGAGCGGGCGGGATGGGAGGAGCACTTGTGCGTGTGACGGGTGTATCCGATGTTTTGGCAAGTGTGTTTTAAGTGGTTCTTCGTGTAGTGCCTCCGCTGTCCCTGCGGATTCCGAGCGCTCGGTCCTCTCAAGTATGCTGCAGGCCCACGGGATACTCCTCCTCTTCCTCCTCCTCCCCCTCCTCCTCCTCTTCGTCCTCCTCCTCCTCCTGCTGCTCCTCGTCCTCCTCCTCCTCCTCCTCCTCCCCCCTGTCCTCCTCCTCCTCGAAAATATTGTGCCCCTGCGGAAAAAACATAGCAACCATGTGGCGGGATGCTACTTGATGACATTAGTGGTGGGAGTCGTACCTTGCGTGCCGATTCGGAGACGGGTCACATGTGGCCCACAGGCAGATGAGGACAGTATTTCTCTTTCGGTTCCTCCCACTCCTCCTCCTCCTCCTCCTCCTCCTCCTCATCATCATCATCATCATCATCATCATCCCCCTCTTCCTGTTCATCACCTTCTTCGCAGCCAGTGTTGTTTTTGTGCAGCGTGCGATTTGCCATTGCTGCTCTAAGTCAAGTCAATGCGTAAACCCTCTCATAGCACAGCTATCTTGTCGCGAAGCATGCTTTAGCAGCAGACGCAGCTGCGACTCCATCAGCTCGTCTTGGTTTTGGTCCGAGTGCAGCTTCTGCGTATGAGTTGCGGTTCCTGTGCCCAGCGGTGTGCGAGGAAGTTGGGGGGCCCTCGCAAGCCGGCCTCTCGCGTGGGGCTCGACGTCTTCTAGAGGTAATAAACCACCGGCCGAGAAGTCGTGTGCGTGAGTATTCGGACCATGCTGCAGGTCTCCGAGCGCTTGCTGTCAAGCCGAGGTCTGGCCAGCAGACGCGGACGGAGTCTGGGGTCCACATCGCGTTCTCTTCCTCGGACACGGCTTTCTCTCCCCCGGCCACGGGCTACGAGCAGCGCTTGGTGGCCAGTAAAGATTGGATCAGAGCCCGCTACGCCCTGGCCGAGGAAGTGTAACTTGCAGGGTTTGGGGGGGGGGCGGGATGGGCGCCCTGTGGTTCGCACAGGCGGAGCTCGTCATCCCCTCCCCCCTGCGTGCAAGACGGCCCCGCCTGATGCACGCCACTCCACAACTCCAGCGCTGCCACTCGCGACAGTATTTCCCCTCGGAGCTGCTGTCACCGAGCCCGTTCTCTCTTCTTCCTCTGCATAGTACAAACATCTAAACTGTCGGAGGTCAGCGCGGATTGCTTGGATCGGCGCTGGGCCCCCGTGGCGGCGCCTCGGGCGCCGCCCCTGGCGCGCTCCGCGCGCCAGGCAGGGGGATCTAGCGCCGATTCGACACACCCGCGCGGACCTCCGAAAGTTTCTCACTGGCGGCTTACGACCCCCTGGAATAAAAAGTCCGGACCGCAGAGGTCGGGGAATAAGCCTTGAGGTTCGGCTCCCGTTAGGCCACGGGGCCCCGGTACAATGTTGCAGGGGCCGCCATGGTTAAATTTCCGGTCCATCTTCACCCCCTCTAATATTATAATCGCTAAATGGGGTGACGACCGGAAATCCGCATTCCGCCGAATACTTCCTCCAAAAGAATTTCCGGACGCTTTCCAGGCGACGGAAATTCTCAGTGGCGACCAGAAATTTGCGATTTCGCTTCGGACTTCCTCGCAAATGAATTTCCGGTCCCAGTTATGTTGCTTGGAAGTTGCGACTCTGCTTGGTATTTCGTGCCAGTCATGTTTACTTCTCGGGGAGCGACGATGCAAGGGGGCCTGCAGTGCCGATCCGGACTTTTTAATCCAGGGGGTGGTTGCAAAAAATGTCGTTTCCAAGCCAACATGCGTCGTTCGAGTAAGGCGTTTCCCTTGCCAGCGCTTGCGGATCATCATTCGTGAAAAAAGTGGAGTGGGGGTGGGGCGATCATGTTATTGTGAGATCGCGTCAAATGGAATCACGTTTCGGCCGCGTCGCTCCTACTGGCGTCGCTGCCCCAAAGACACCGCGCTCGCGCGCTTTCGCAGTTGTGCGAATGTTTAATGTTGCGTTCTTTTTTCCAGTAGGCACCCGCCGAGGGCGCGCGAAAACCCCCCCTGGGGCCTTCAGCAACTCGGGATTACCGACGCCACGGCCCGAGCGGCAAGACAGGCGGTCGGGATCCCAGTGGAGGCCGAGGGGCCTCCCAGAGTGTTGAAGGTACAGACACCTAGCAAATGCGCGAGCGGTGTCAACCCCCTGGAATAAAAAGTCCAGACCGCAGAGGTCGGGGAATAAGCCTTGAGGTTCGGCTCCCGTTAGGCCACGGGGCCCCCGTACAATGTTGCAGGGGCCGCCATGGTTAAATTTCCGGTCCATCTTCACCCCCTCTAATATTATAATCGCCAAGTGGGGTGACGACCGGAAATCCGCATTCCGCCGAATATTTCCCCCCAAAAAATGTCCGGACGCTTTCCAGGCGACCGGAAATTCTCAGTGGCGACCAGAAATTTGCGATTTCGCTTGGGACTTCCTCGCAAATAAATTTCCGGTCCCAGTTATGTTGCTTGGAAGTTGCGACTCTGCTTGGTATTTCGTGCCAGTCATGTTTACTTCTCGGGGAGCGACGATGCAAGGGGGCCTGCAGTCCCGATCCGGACTTTTTAATCCAGGGGGTGGTAGTGCGTGGTTTGCTCGGTGTGGCGCATTCCGTCCCCGCAGAGCATGTTGCTGGCCACGGGGAGCTCTGCGCAGCCAGGTCGATGCACGCGTTAAGACGTGCGTTCGTAGAGCGAGCTTAGTACGCATCCGAATTCGTGTCCAGCGTGTTTCAAGTTGCCTTGTGGGTCGTTGGTCCGGTTGCTGCGCTGTTTCCTCTTCCAATTTAAAAATGTCGGCCAGCGTGGGCCCCAAACACTGTGGCTCCAGCAATTTACGCGGTGCATTTTACGTGGTGCTATACTTGTTGCGCCATATAATGTGTGTGTACAGAGTCTATGCAGCGCAACCTATGTGGTGCACCAGATACGGTGCAATACATGCTGTGCAAGCTATGCTGCGTGCCACCTGTGTGTCGCCGCGCCGTTTGTTCTGACGCGCGGCCTTACGTCTTGGGGGGGCGTCTCGGCCGCCAAGACAAACGCCGCCTCGGGCACAGGGTTTGCCGTGGGTTTGCTGTGGGATTGCCGTGGCGTCGGTTTCGCATGCTTGGGCACGTCGAGAGACGGCGCGGCGACTTGCGATGTTTGCGCACGTGGTGCAACTTACGTGGTGCAATCTAGGTTGCGCAATCTACGTGGTGCAATCTACGAAGTGCAATTCATTTCTGTCCGCCTTGAGTTGTCAACTCCACTGCTCGCGCAATCGCCCCACCCACCAGCCCGGCAACGTGGTTTGCAAAACCCATGCGGCGGCGATTGCGATGAGTGCTTGGTGTTGGCTGGTGCACGTTTGCGGCCGCGCTTGCCCGCGCATGCTCGCGCGCGGCGCGACCAGCTAGTTTGGCGCGACCGACGCGGCCGCGGTGGCGCTGACCACAGCGGCGACTTGGGCGGGCGCGGCACGATGGCAAAGTCGACAACGGTAGACACGATGATGATAACAGTGGCGTTGGTGGCGACGATGGCAGCGGCGACGGCGCAGCCAGTGACTGCGCCGATGCTGATCACGCCAACGTCGATGGCGGCGCCCTCGCGTCAGATGTTTTTTTTGCATGGTTTCGGGACATTCTGCTTTGAACTCCTCACACATCCTAAGGTGTTTGACGGATGTCGGCATGCGCTCGCGACGACGCGCGCGCGTGCACTTCGCCCCGGCGTTTGCAAAAGGGTTCTTGCGAGCGCGCCCTTTTTGTTTTGAAACTCCGCGCTCCGAAACTATGCGAGTTGGATGCGTTTGTTCTGGACGCTCGACCTTCAAATCCCTGCGAAGCGCAGGGCTTTAAAAAGGATTCTGGCATGCGCGCGCGACGACGCGCGCGCGTGCCTTCGTCATCGTTTTTCGCGAGTGAGCATTGACAACTGGTGGTTGTTGATAGAAAAGCGCGCGTAACTATTTTGCAGAGGGCGGCGGGGGGCGTCGATGCCGGCCTGGCTGGGATTGCGCGAACTCGAATTGCGGATGGACGATGGGGCAGAATTATACGCGAACTGCAATGTGAGAAGGGGAGCAGGCAATCCCGGGGGGTAGAATCCAATACTCGCACAGTAGGTTTACTCGGTTTTTACTTGTGACTTGACGAGCCCCCTGCCCTCGCAAAATTCCCGCCCACCAGCCCGCAACTTGGTTTGCAGAACCCATGCGGCGGCGATTTCGATGGGCGCTTGGCGTTGGCTGGTGCGTCTCTGCGGCCGCGCTAGACCCCCGCGCGTGCTCGCGCGCGGCGGCCGGCTAGTTTGGCGCGACCGACGCGGCCGAGGTGGCGCTGGCCGCCGAGCGCTTTCAGTGCGAGCCGGCGACTTGCACGGGCGAAGTGCCACGGCGACGCCGACATCGGCGGACGCGATTAAGAGAGCGGCGATGACGGCGACGACGGCGGCGACGACGACGGCAAGGCCAGTGGCGACGCCGACGTTGATCGCGCCCGCCGACAGCGACGACGACGTCCCCGCGTCGGCGGCGAAGGTTTTGAAGGAGTTCGACGCGCGCGCGCGGCCGACGCGCGTGAGTGGCCCGCGCGGTTTTCTCCGGCGCGGATCGCCCCCCACCACCCCCGCCGCCCCCGCCCCCGCCCCGCGCCCGCCCATCCGCCCACCCGCCCCGCTCCGCCCCACCGCGCCCCGCCCCCCCACCCCCGCGCCCCCGCCCCCCCACCCGCGCGCCCGCTCCGCCCCCGCCCCGCCCCGCCCCCCCCCCCCACCCCCCCGCCCCATGCGCGCGCAAGCGCTTTCAAATAGGATCAACGCGCGGCGCGGGCGGCCCGTCTGGCAGAATGCGATGGCAACGTTGAAAAACCAATGGTTTCTGCAAGGATTCCGCATGACCGCGAGCGCGGGCCTCTTTGGAAAGCGAGGTTGCAAAACCACATGTTTTCACGCTTTCTGGGGCGCCCGATTTAAAATTCTCGCGAACCCCAAGGTTTTCGAATGATTCCCGCGCGCGCGTTCCCTTTATGTTTTATGCGCGGGCGGGGTGGGGGGGGGCATTTGATTTGCGATAAACGATTGCGCGCGCATTTTTCGGAGGGGGGGGGGAAGGGGGGGCGACGCCGGCCCGCCAGGGGTCGCGCGGGCTCGCGCAGGATGGACGACGGGGCGGGATCACACGCAAAGTGAAATGCGGCAAGGTGAACCGTTATGCGGGGGGGGGTCCTAATGTTTTTGTAGAACAGCGGATCTACGCGGCGCAACTCACCACTGCTCGCTGCGAGTTGCCAACCCCACTGCCCGCGCAATCGCCCCGCCCGCCCGCCCGCAACTTGGGTTGCAGTACCCGCGCGGCGGCGATTGTGACGAGCGCTTGCTGTTGGCTGGCGCATCTGCGGCCGCGCTAACGCGCGCATGCTCGCGCGCGCAGCGGCCGACTAGTCTGGCGCGACCAACGCGGCCGCGGCGGCGCCGACTGCCGAGCACTTCCAAGCGGCCATTTCAGCGCGAGTCGGCGACTTGAACGGGCGAGGTATCACGGCGACGCCGAAAAGGGAAGACATGATGAGAGTGACGACGACGGCGGCGATAACGACGGCAGGGCCTACGGCGGCGCCGACTCCGATCACGCCCGCCGACAACGATAACGACGCTCTCGCGTCGGCGATGGCTCTGGAAGGAGTTCGACGCGCACGCGCGGCCGACGCGCACGAGTGGCCCGCGCGGCATTATTCGAAGCGGATCGCCCTCCCCCCCCCCGCACCCCCACCCCACCCACCCACCCCCACCCCACACGCGCCCCGCCCACCCACCCACCCACCCCCACCTTGCCCCACCCCGCGCCCCACCGCGCCCCCCTCCCCCACGCGCGCGCAACGGCGTTCGGGCGAGTTCGACATGCGGCGCGAGCGGCGGCCTGCTTAGCAGAATGTGATGAGCGATGACAATGTTGAAAAACTCCTCGCTGACTCAAGAACGCCCAAGAGCGCGCGCGCATGTTTTTTTTGAGGGGGGGGGGGGGGGGGGGGGGGGGGGTGGGGGGGGGGGGGGGGGGGGGGGGGGAGGGGGGGGGGGGGGGGGGGCAACGTTGCAAAACCATGCGCGTTGTGTTGTCGGGGGAATCGTTTTTGAAATTCTGACTAAATCTCAGGTATCTGATTCATGTTGGCACGCGCGCGCGACGGCGCGCGCTTGCACTTTGTTTTTCCTTTGGTTGCACGGGGCCACTGCGACCGCGAGCGCGCGGGACGATTCGACACGCGCGCGCGAGGGTCACGGCGTGGTAGCATTTTATGAGCATGCTGAAAAATGGATGGATATCTTAAGATTCTGCGAGAGCGCGAGCGCGGGCTTTTTTTGTAGAAAAGATATATATATATATATATATATATATATACATGCATACATACATACACACATATACACATACATCTACATATACATACACATATACATATGTATACATACAGCACCAAAAGACTTGTTTAGTGAAAACATGCTATATATTTTCAGGACGCTCTGTTTTTGTTTGAAATTATCACAAAATCTAGAAGTGTTTGAAGAGTTACGGCGCGCCGCGCGTGCAATTCGACCCAGCTGTTGCAATGGATTTTTGAACACTGATGGTTTTGGATAAACGAGCGCGCTCGCGTAGTTCTTCTTCTGAAGATGACAGGGGGGGGGGCGGAGGGCATCGCTGGCCTGCCTGGGATGGCATGAGTGAACATTCAGGATGCGATGTGGCAGACCATATATATATATATATGTATGTATGTATATATATAGATTGTGTCACGAAACACGGCACGGCCAAATCCGTGGGGAGGGGCGGGGAGATCCATGCATTTTGTTTAAGAAGGGTTAATTTCTGTTCGCGGTGAGTTGTCAGCTCCATTGCTCGCGCAATCATCCCGCCCGCCCGCCCGCGACTTAGTTTGCAAAACCCACGCGGCGGCGATTGCGATGATTGCTTGGAGTTGGCTGGTGCATCTCTGCGACCGCGCAAGCCCGCGCATGTTCGCGCGCGCAGCGGCCAGATAGTTTGGCGCAACCGACGCCGCCGCGGCGGCGTTGACTGCCCGGCACTTTCCTGCGGGCACGTGAGTGCGAATCGGCGAGTTGGGTGGGCGCGGCATCGCGGCAAGGTCGACAGCGGTAGACGCGATGATGATTGTAGCGACGCTGGCGACGGTAATGACAACGATGGCGGTTAGGAAAGTCACGGTGCCGATGCCGATCACGCCGACAAAGATGACGGCGCCCTCGCGTCGGCGATGGAGGTTTTGTGGGGAGTTCAACATGCGCGCGCTGCCGACGCGCGACAGTGGCCCGCATGGTACGTTTTGACACACATCGCGCCCCCCACCCCACCCCACCCCACAGCACGCGCGCATGGGCCTTCGAATGATTTCGACGCGCGGCGCGAAGGGCCCGTTTGCCCGAATTGAACAACAATGTTGCAACAAAAAATTTGGTGGTCTTCAGAACACGCAAGAGAGTAAACGCAAGCATATGGGGAAACTGATGTTGCAAAACCATACATATGTTGTTATAGGTGTTCAGGGCACCCGATTCAATCCGTGCGAAACCTGAGAGCTGTCAACAAGTTCCGATATGCGAGCGCAACGACGCACGCGCATTTCGTCTCATGTGTTGGAAGAGGTTCTTGCGACAGCACGCCCGCAAGGGAATTCGAGGAATTCTGACACGCGCGCGCGAGAGGCCCGTTCGGTGGCAAGATAAGAACATGGTGAACATTTGCGTTTTCAACATTCGCCAAAGCCCGGGCACACATTTTCTGTTTAAGAGTTCGTGTTGCGAAACCATGTGTTCTCATATGTGTCCGGGGCATGCGATTTTGAAATCATTGCGAAACCATTTTTGGCTGTTAAAGGATGTCTGCATGCGTGGGCGACGACGCGCGCGCGTGCACTTCGTCCTGTTTTCTCCAAGGGATTGTTGGACATTGGTGATTCGTGATCAACAAATGCGCGCGCATAATTGTTTGGCAGAGAACCGTTGCCAGTTTGGCCGGTATGATACGAGCTCATATGTAGGATGGGCGATGGAGCAGAACCATTTGTAAATTGCATTGCGAAAGTGGCCCGTTTAATCCGGGGGGGGATTCCAACATCAATGGAGAAAAGAGAATTCACCCTGCCGAGTTCGAAATTGCCAATTCCAACGCTCGGGCAATCATCCCACCCCACCCATCCACCCGCCATTTGGTTTGCAAAACCCGTGCGGCGACGATTGCGATGACTGTTCGGCGCTGGGAGGCGCAACGCTACGGACGCTCTAACCCGCCAGAGCGGCCAGATAGTCTGGCGCGACCGACGCGGCCATGGTGCTCGCTTCGAAAAGCGCGAGGGACGGGCCATGACACGAAGGCTGAACGACGAAACTCGCTCGATCACGGTAAATGCGGGAGGGGAATTGTCTCCACGCATGTGAGTACCAGGAACGCGCGCAGCTGTTATTCGTGACATCGTGGCTGGAGCGCGGTGTTTAGCACAAACCGCCCTCGACGGTAGGCGCTGCACTCCCAAGGAAGTGTATCCGAGCATGGATGTTGGTGTTGTTAACGCGAGAGCGCGAGGAGAGCCAACTGGCATCCTTCTGTGCAGTCCCTGGGTTCTGTGAGCTTCTGGACAACACGCAAGGAAGTCTCTGGTTGCACCGCCGTTTCGAAAGAAGGCCGACCGACAACCGTCCAGCCGTTTGCAGCCGCACGCTTCAGGAACATGCGTCGCTGTAGTGTCCCTGGCGAGTGCAAGGTTTTGAAAACGAGGCCCATCCATCCATGTAATTGTTTGGGTTGCAAAGACATTGGATAACGAGTTGTAAGAGCATCCATGACCCCAGGCGAGAGCGCGAATGCGAATACGAGCCACCAGCCGTCATTGTGAGTTCTTGACATGATGCGCGATGGGGGCATCAGTTGTGAGAGGACCCTAGGCAAGCGCACAGCCCGCTCTACAGACATACCCGGCTGTGAGAAGAGAAGGTTTTAGCCATAATGGTAGAGAACAAGCGAGCATCAGGAGTATGACGAGGACGAGGAGGATGACAATGAGTAGCATCTAGAAGAGAGGAACGAGAGGGACCGAAGGAGGATGAGTGACACGGGGACGAGGACGTCTTCTTTTACGTCGCATTATCATCGCGCAGATTCTCAGCCGTTGAGGTCAGTCGGCAATTCGCTTTTAAGGTGCAGGTCGAAGTTGTGGCACGAGGGAGTTTGAAAAAACAACGTTGAAGCGGCTCCCAGGTAGAATGGGTGAGACTCTTCAACCGTTTCCAGTACGTGAAGATGCCGAGGGCTTCGCCAATTCCGTGTCAAGTTAGTACATTGTTGCAGTATGCGTGTGTGCTATTTGCACGCAGGCCCAGAAAAGTGGTTTGGTCTCCACGGCAGCCAAAAAATGGTGGCGAAGGGAATCACAAAACACAGGCCGCGAGGTATGGTAAGTACCTCATGGTGCGTTGACACGAGACTCTAACGGAAAAGTCAGGACCCCATGGCCGGAACACCACCGTTGCGGTCTACGTCCTCCCAATACGCCGTTTTTTTCCCATTTTCTGATTTCTGGTTTACTCAGAAGGGGGTCCAGCGGAAAGGGGGGGTGCAATCGATTTGGTGCAATATATTCGCTGGGATGCAATAGGTTTGGGGCGTGCAACACATTCCGGTGCGCAAATGCATTACTGGGTTTTCGCGTGATATACGATAGGTGTAATTCAATGCAACACAATTCTCTGGTGCATTACATGTGCAGTGCAACTGCCCCAAACCGATTGCACCACCCCCTTTCAGCTGGACCCCCTCTCAGGTCAGCCGAATACTCTGAAAGAAAAAATGCTTGTCGGGATCGCTGCGGGGGTTGCCCACCTGAGAGGCGAGCAGTCGCCTGCCCAACATTGGTCGCTATCGGTCTCGAGTCGGCATCCCCAGGGGCGACGCGCGCACCGAGAAATCTTGTAGTATATGCGTCGTGGCGGGCGCTTTCTGGCCACACCGCTCGAGAAACGATATACTACAAGATGGGTATACTATATGTTCGGGTCGGACGCGCGCCTCCAAGGCGGACATACAGTATTAGTATGTCTCTGTGCGTCCCATCGAGCCACATCTGCTGCTGGGCAGCGCGTCGGCGTGTCGGTGTCGGCCGCGCCCGTGCGTCGGGCGTGCCGGGCGGGAGGCCGCTCTCTGTCCCCCCATGGGCGCGTCGGCATCCGGCCGGGGCGGAGAGCTGGCTCCCTCCTCCTCCTCCTCCTCCTCCTCCTCCCCCTCCTCCTCCTCCTCCTCCTCCTCCCACTCCTCCTCCTCCTCCTCCTCCTCCTCCTCCTCCTCCTCCACCATTTCGGAGGGGGAGGGTGGGGTTCACTTCGTTCGGGAGGTCACGAGCGAAGCGAACCCCACCCTCCCCCTCAGAAATCGTGGGGGGTAGGTGTGTAGGGTTCGCATGTGGCCCCCCAGAGAGGTCCTGGAAACGAAAACCTCGGAGACGTGCGGGGCGCTCCAGAGGACCTCGCCTTCGAAGACCGAAAGCGGTGATCTTCCCCGGCGGCAGGTGGCGGAAGTAGAACGGGGGTGGCTCCGCTGGCGGGAGCTGGCGGAGACCAGCGGAAGGAAAAGAGGAACCCCCAAGAGATGACTCGTGTTTCACATGCAAGGTTTCCGGAGCCCGCCGCCTTGAACCGCCAGATGTGTCTGTTGTTTGTTGCGTGTGTTCGGCTCGCTGGCAGGCTCATCACGATGCGCGCAGCGGCTCTGCGTTCGGCAGGAACTTCGGGCGGCTCTTTTGTCTTTTCGCGGTTGCCAGCCCACTGGCCATGAGTGGTCTGGCTTGGGGCAATTTTCGGATCTTTTGACATGCCGGGATGTGGCCTCCCATGGGCACGCCGCTTGAGCGAGGCGGCAGTCCAAAAATACAAGAGCGTGTTCCTCCCCCTTCTTCATTCTCTCCTTCCCTGATCCCCCGCGCCCAGCATCCTCATCATCATCACCATCACCATCACCATCACCATCATCATCATCATCATCATCATCATCATCATCATCATCATCATCATCATCATCATCATCATCATCATCATCATCATCATCATCATCGACAACAACAAAACACCACCATCATCAGTATCATAAGCATCATCATCATCATCATCATCAGAAGCAGCATCATCATCATCAGCAGCAGCAGCCTCGCCCTCCTCGTCCTCCCTCCTCGTCCCTCCTCAATATCCTTGCGCCCCCTCTCTCCACCTCTCCTTCCCCCTTTTCCCTTGTGCCCCCTTCTCGTCCTCCCTCTCCTCCTCCTCCTCCTCCTCCTCCTCCTCCTCCTCCTCCTCCTCCAGTAGGACTGACGGGTAGCAGCATGCATCCCCCCACCCCTCTTCCCCCTGGCTTCTCAAATACCGCCCAACGTGTTGGAACTGGCTTTGGCTGGTAGGCTTCCTCCTCCTCCCCGTATCCCCCCCTCCCAGTGCGGTCCCAGTCCTGACTTTCTCGAGCCCAGCGATGCTTAGACAGTACCTCATTCACAGCCCCCCTTACACCGAAGCCCGAAGGGAGAAGGGGAGTCCAGGGGTAGGCAAGGGCAAGGGCAGAGGGGGCACGTAGGGTGGCAGACAAGTTTAACTTAGCGTGTGCTAGCAAGCCCCGACCCTTCCTGCGTGGAGACAGAGTGCGGTGTGGGCCGGATCTCTGGATGGCGACAGCAGACCATGGGCACGACGTGACGGATCATCTAGATCATATCGTCCAGATCCTTGGGGCAAGTAGTATGCCAGGTAGCGGGATCCGAGGCTTATTCGTTCGTTCCGTCTCCTCCTCCTCCTCCTCCTCCTCCTCCTCCTCCTCATCATCCTCATTCGGCATGTTGGCTCCTCCTCCTCCTTCTTCCTCCCCCCCCTGGTCATCCCTCCCAGTGCATGCCCGAGTCTCGCTGCTGCAGCAGTCGGAGGCCTCAAAACCTGGTTTTGTGCGAGGGTCGGCGGCTCGGGGTCATGCTCCTCGTCTTCGCGATGGACCAGCTCACACTCGCGAGGCGGGGAGCGGGGAGAGCGGGCGAGGAAGGGACCGAAGGGGGAGCGAAGGAGCCGGTGGTGAAAGGACGAGAAGAGGCGGAGGCGGAGGTGGAGGCGGGGGCCGCGGCGGAGGCGGGGGTGGAGGCGGAAGGCGGAGAAGGAGGGGGATGAGAGGGGATGGAGATGCGGGAGGAGTGGGGGGGGGGGGGGGGGGGGGGGCAAACGGAGGAGCAGCAGCAGGAAGGAAGGAGGACGAAGAGGAGGAGAAAGCAGACGATACATAGAGATGAGAGGGGAAGCGACAGGAGGTGGAAGGACGAGGAATTATAAGGGAGAACGAGGAAGAAGAGGAGGAAGAGGAGGAGGAGCAGGAGGAGGAGGAGGAGCAGGAGAAGGAGAAATATCTAGGGGAGGAGGAGGAGGAGGAGGAGGCGGCGGAGGAGGTGGAGGAGGAGGAGCAGCAGCAGCAGCAATAGCAGCAGGAGGAGCATCAGGAGGACGACGCAGGACGAGGGAACGGGAGAACAGGGGAAGGAGGAGGGTCGAAAAAGAGGCGGAGGAGGAGGAGACAGAAGCACCCACCGTTTGGTCCGCCACCGTTTCTGTCGCGCATGTCTTGTTGTTTCTACTCGCTCGTTTGCTCTTCGTGCTCCTGCTCCTCCTCCTCCTCCTCCTCCTCCTCCTCCTCCTGCTCCTCCTCTTCTCCGCTTCCACTCGTCCTCATCCTCCGAGCGGGGGATGGCGACGAGGACGAGGAACAGTAGGAGGAGAAGGAGGTAAGGCTTTCGCGATATATCTGGGAATGGTTTCGTGTAATCATCACGCTGCGCGCCCTGCACGAAGCCAATGTGTTTTTTAATGTCCTGGTGCTTCGTGTCATTGACCGCCGTCCTCTGCTCGCCTCGCCCTCGCCAACTGCAGTCTGGCAGGTGATCAAAAGAGCTCCTCGCATGGCTCCTGTTTACTCAACCCTACATCCAAGAGCCCCTTCGGCGCATCCAAGGCTGGCTCAGTCTGGCTGGCGATCAAGAAAGCTCCTGGCATGGCTCCTGTTTACACAACCCTAGATCCATGAGTCCCTTCGGCGTATCCAGGGCTGGCTCAGTGCAATAGGTGTGTGCCACGTCGACGCGGTGGCGACCCCAGCGCGCGCGTTCCAGGTTGAACGCTGTCTGTGAGCTGCAACCGGCCGATATCTCCGACGGACGGAGGGGCACCGCGCCGATCAAGGCTCGGCCCCTAGGAGGCTGGGTCGTGAGCCCCGCAGCGCTCAGACATCTTTGTCGCCATCTGGGCAGATCGCAGCTTCCATGTCATGCTACGCCTCCGTGTCGAAAAGCAAGGCGTCGCCAAGTACTGGGTGAGTCTGAACTGCTTCAAGCAAACAAGAACGCCACAACATCATCGATCCATAGTTTGCTGAGTTTGCTGGGTCTCTTTGCCGGTCTGCCATGCCAAGCTGAGTCGAATCTGCTTCCCACCAGCACATGCACTGAGTCTTTTTGGGCACCGCATGCAGTCACCACTCGCGATGCGCCCCGCTTTCTCCATGCAGCCAACCAATTGTATATACAGAGTTTCCCTATCTGGTCCTCACAAGTGTGCTTTTCAGGAGGAGAGAAACACACAGACACAATGAATCGTCGATTCCCCAGAAAATGTGGGAAAACATGGGAAGTGGGGGGGAAGAACAAAAAAACGAAAATATGGGAGAATATTGTGAATCCTGTTATTTGTGTGTATTTATTTGTGTGTCCCAGGGCCCCTTCAGTTCTGCGCACCCGCAAGCCTCGCGACTCCAACTCGCAGTGGTCACTGCTGGTGTCTTCCAGAGTTTGGCCGCACGCGGAGCATCGCTAGCAACCTCCGTGCTTGGACCTGCGCGCGGTTGCCGCCTTGCTCCCAGCATGGTTCGCAGACGTACACATTATTCATTTCTAGTTCTTCGAGGGTTCTTTGGTTTTTTGGGGGGCCAAGGTCATAACGTTTCTAAGTGTTCTATCCTGGGCCTCTTCTTGGCCACTAGGAGGCCAGGAACAATTAGAAACGCGCACAATTAGAAATGAGCACGATTAGAGATGAACGACGCGTAAATTCCTTTGCCATGCCTTCGATGACCAGATGCCTCTTGGGGGCCTCTTTGGGGCGTCTCGCGTCTCGGGGGCATCTTGGAAGCCTCTTGAAGCATCCTCGGGGCCGGCCTCTTGGGTTCGGTTCTTCTTAAAAACGCCACGGGCTTTTCTGTTACCGCTTCGCTTTTGGGGGGCTCTCAACTAACTAAAACGCTGAACAAAGAATATGTTCGTTTTGCGTTTTCTACTCTGTATTTAGGGTCTTTCAGGCTGCTCGCTGTGGATCTTCATATTTTGCTTGTTTTGCGTTATTGTTCTTCACTGTCGTCTTCGCTCCCGCTATCCCGTTCCTGCCGCCTCCCAGTCTTACGCAGAGCGCAGAGCGAAAAGCGCCATAAACAAACGCCTTGGCACCCGTCTAACACCGGCGCGGGAACAGGCCTGGAGGCCCGGCGACCAGCCAGCAGCGACGACCAGAGACGAGCAACATCTCAATGATAGAAATATAGGGACGACTAAAGACGCAAGGAGAAGGAACTGAGGACGTGGTAGACGGCGATGGTAAACGACGCAATCAGTTGATCTGCAGAAAAGCCCCAAGAGAGTCCAATTGCCACCAACACAACGATTTGTTCGCATGCTGAACGCTCTTGTCGGGACATCAGAGCTCGAAAACAATGACTTCCAACACGCCGATGCACAAACGAGAAAACCGCCCAAGGCAGACTTACCAAGTTCCTGGGGGCCTCCAGAGATCTCTTGAAGGCCTCTAGACGGCCTGGAGGCGTTCTCGGGGCGCATGTTGGGGTGGAGAGCTCCGATTTCCAGTTCGAGTTCCCCCTCTTGGGCCTCTCCTCCGGCCGTGTTGGGGGCCTCTTGGGCCCCTCTTGGCGGCCTTGGAGGCCGTCGTAGGGCGATGATGGGGTCTCTCTGTGGCCGACCTGGATGTTTCTTATAGAGTTACAGACAAGCATAACGTACGTGTGATGTAGGCCTCTTAGGCCAGCCCCTGGGGCCTCCAAGATAACCCAAAAGACCGCTAAGATCGCCGCAGGACGGTCCCACGCCAGAGTAATTCTGTCGAAGGTTGGGGCCTGCGGTCGCGCGGGGATTCCAAAGTAGCGAGCGAGAAAAACGAGAGCAGACGGGAGTCAAGGGGGTGTGAGCCTTGAGGCCTTGAAAAATGATTGCAATATTCACTCCACTGTGCGCCTGCGGCACGGTGGCATGTATAGCTGCTGGGTAGTGATACTACCAAAGAGGCGCAACCTTGATGCCAAGCAATATCTCTTACACGTGGATTCGGACTTGATGGCCTTTTCTCACTGTAGTGGAATAGGTGTATATAGACGTCTATATAAACATACAGATGGCCTTGACATACAATAGAGTCCTCGCAAGCAGCAGCAAGTTGCCTGCGAAGGGCAGAGTTGTGAGCATCAAAAGCGATGTCGCCCCCAGCGCTACTCCCGCCTTCCGCATGATGTATTCGAGGAGGCAGTGGAAAACGGGCGGGCTCAACGCCGACGCCGTCGCGAAGTCAACCCGCCGCATTTGGAAAACAGACTGCCCCGCAGGATGGCCCAGGCTTCCACGCCCGCTAGTTCCTCAATCGAGATCCCCGCTGCAGGGAGCTCGCGCTCTGCAGACTGGCGCGGTCCGCGCCAGCATCCTTCCCCTCGCCTCCCAGGGGTGAGGGTGAAAGAGGCAGGGGGAATAGTTGGCGAGGCGTCAGGGAGCCCCTTCCACCGGAGTGCTGGCCCAAAGGGCCGCCCCCCAGCATTTGTTCGCGCACTTGCATTTGCCCCCCCCCCACGACCCCCGCCAAGAAGCCCGCGACCCAAGCTCAAGCATGCAGACTTGCACGCACGAGATTGCCGGTGCCCTTCGAGTGCACATGGTGACCGACGGCGCCTCCATCTGTCGCGTACCTCCATGACCCGAAGACGGTTACGAAGTGCCGATGGTGGCAGCTGCGGCGGCGGCACGAAGGGGCACACTGCGCAGCTCTCGTGCCCACGGTTCGTCTCGCTCGAGGGTACCCGACTTGCTGGCCCTCACACCATTTCTGCACTTCCCAACGTCGACACAGAGGAATGCGAGGATAGATGGTTCAGGGGGTGAGGGTAGCGTAGTGGCGTTAAGTTTGCCTCTCCAGGCTGCGTCGTGTTGAGGCGCCCGCCTCGTATCCTCCCCCCCAGGCTTCGCTGAGCATGAAGTCATGTTGGACCCAACCTCCACAGAGGATAGGCACACGACAGCCGAATGGGGACGACCGCTAGACTTGGCAAACGAGCGCAGGACGGATCAGATGGTACGCAGGCGGATGTTCAGCAGAGGGGCTGTTGAAGACTACAGGGAGGGGACGCGGAGGACAGCAGCTGGTGTTACTAACTCTTTGGGGGGCAGGTGTGATGGTTGGTCGCAGAGCATGGGGAATCAGCACGACTTCAACCCCGCGTTAGACACGATCTCCGCCAAAGGTGTGTGCAGGATGGCTTGGCAGTGCTACGCAGCGGCCTCAGCTTCGCGAGGTGATGAGGACGGAAGAGTGTTCAGGCCTTTCCTCACTCCCTCTCTCTCTCTCTCTCTCCCTCCCCCTCCCTTTCTCTCTCACCATCAATGTTGCTTCTCTTACTTCCCAGCAACCTCCGCCGCCTCTCCCTTCTCTCCCTGCTCCGCCTTTCCTCCCACCAGCCCCCATTCCCCCTCCATTCTCATCTGCCCCTCCCACCCGTCGGGTGCTGCTGCAGGTGGCCCTGGCCCGAGGGGTCCGCAATGGAGCAACGGCTGCCTGACCGACCCCTGGAAAACCGCCCCCGTCCAATGACGACCATGGCCTCGCTCCAGAACGTGGGCAGGCGGCCCGACGGGCGAAGGAAAAGGCGGGGGGGCGAGGTGGTCGTGGGAGGGGGACTCCTCCTCCTCCTCCTCCTCCTCCTCCTCCTCCTCCTCCTCCTCCTCCTATCGCGAGGGCGACGACGAGGACGAGGAGGAGCCGCGAGCCAGGAAGCTATGTTAACCGAGGGGGAGCGCCCGAGGAGGGCCGTCCGAGGTCATAGGCTTCGTGATCGACTGGAGCCTCCAGCAGTACTTCGCCATGGTGTCGGGCACGTACTGCACCAGGCCGGCCCGCCGAGAGCTGCCTCCGGCGCCGCCCAGAGCGCGCAGGAGGAGCGGGGGAGAGCGCCGCCGCCCGACAGGCCCAGCCGGCTACGCACGAACCTCGCGAGCTCGAATGCCGCCCTAAAAACAGACGGCGGAAGGCGTTGGACACAGAGCTCGGCCTCCGGGGGCCCTGGCTCGGCCCGAAGGCCAGAAAATAATGGCCCTCCTCCTCCTCCTCCTCCTCCTCCTCCTCCTCCTGGTTCCTGATGGCCTGAGGGTCCGTCGAGCGCGGCCTCCCCACCCCAGGGGCAGTTGCCCCTGAGAGGGGGTGAAACCTTCAGCATATCTGTAGATGCCGTGGCGCCCGGCGGCGGCGGTGGGGGCAGACGGAGGCAGGAAGGCGAGGGACTTAAAGGGTGAGGGCGAACGGGGCCCGAGCCGAAGCACGAAGGAGAAAGGCGAGAGGAGGGAAAGAGGGCCCCCATCCAAGAAAGAACACGGAGAAGCCGACACAGCCTCCCCGAGGGGGAAGAGGGGGAGAGGACGGCGGGGGGAGGGGGAAGAGAAGCGGAACAGAGAACGGTGGGGGGGCGAGCTCCGCGCTGGGGCTCTCCTCCTCCTTCTGGTTCTCCAGCTTCTCGTTCCGTCCTCCTCCTCCTCCTCCTCCTCCTCCTCCTCCTCCTCCTCCTTTCTTCCTGCTCCTCCTCCTCCTCCTCCTCCGACGCCTCCTCCTCCTCCTCCTCCTCCTTCCTCCTCCTTCTCCTGGTTCTCCAGCTCCCCCCTCCCCCGGCGCCCCTGGGGCGTGGGGCCCGTGGAGGGGACCCGCTGCTCCCCCCGGGGGCTCGCTGCAGCCGCGGGCCCTGCCTCTCCCCCTCCCCCCCCTCCGAGGGCTGCCGCCAGTCCCCCTCCCTCACATGGGAGGGCGGCGAGTTCACCCCGCGGGGGGCGAAGACAGCGCTGGCGAGGGCGCGGGTGCCGTAGTTGCTCTCGTGGCCGCTTGCGCAGAGGAGGAGGAGGAGGAGGAGGAGGAGGAGGAGGAGGAGGAGGAGAGGAGGAGGAGGAGGAGGAGGAGGGGAGAGGAGGAGGGGAGGAGGAGGAGGAGGAGGAGGAGAGGAGGAGGAGGAGGAGGAGGAGGGGGGGGGGGAGGAGGAGGAGGAGGAGGAGGAGAAGGAGGAGGAGGAGGAGGAGGAAGGAGGGGGAGGAGGAGCGGGAATGCCGACGAAGAGAAGGAGGAGGAGGAGGAGGAGGAGGAGGAGGAGGAGGAAGAGCGGGAATGCCGACGAAGAGGAGGAGGAGGAGGAGGAGGAGGAGGAAAAGGAGGATGACGAGGAGGAGGATGAGGCGGCGGAGAGGTTGTGCAGGCTGTGCTCGAGGGCAGCCGCGTCCTCCTGCGGCTTGAGCGGCCCGCCGTCGTGGTTGAAGATGCGGGTGCGCTTCACGTGGTCGATGTGGAACTCCGTGACAGCGGGGTTTATGGTCTCGCCGTTGACGAGGTGGGTGATTCGGTCGTCCTCCATTGTAAGTTCTGTGTGGTCGTCATCCGCGTCAATGAAGACGGCAGCCGCGATCCGCGCGGCCTCGTGATGGGCCTGCAGACAGCCAATTATCGCATTCATGATGTCGGCCTTTCCCTCGACCCCAGGCGGGGCCCTCGGTCATCGGCAATGTGGCTGGCCCTGCTGGGCGCCTCGTCGATATAGGTGAGCTTCAGGTTTCTCGGTGGCGTCCTCCGCCTTCTCGGCGCTGCAGGTGCCTTTGTCGGTGTAGGGAGCCTCCTCGGCGCTGTAGGGGGGCTTCTCGGTGTGGGTGGCCTTCTCGGCGTAGGTGGCCTTCTCGGCGCTGTCGGTGGCCATCTTGGCCTGGTCACTTCGACGGTGTAGGGGACTGAGTTGGCCCTCCCAAACGTCCAGGATGGTGGCGCCCCGCGCGAGGCCAGGGATGAAGTCCTCGGCACCTGCGTTGAAGGTAAGCTGGTTGCGGTCTTTGGGCCCTTGGGCCCTTTTGTTCGTTTGGCTGTTGCCTCTTCGGGCCAGCGCCCTGGAGGGCACCTTGGGCCCCCCTCTCTCGAGGTACTCTTCTTTGACAGAGCTGCTGGTGCAGCGCGGGCCGTCCTGTGGCTGCCCTGCGCTTGTGCCTCCACTTGTTCCTTTCGTCGATCTCGTCCTGCAGCAGCTTCTCGAGGGTCCCAGCCTGTTCCGCCAGCTGTTCGATGGTCACGTGGCGCGCGTGGGCCTGCATGCCCTTCTGCGCATCCCGAACGGCCTTGGCCCACGGGTCGTGGGCCCGATTCTCCGGGAGGTTGTGGCTGAGACCCGTCTCTTGTTGGTGAGAACCCGCTCCACGCGCTGCGGGAGCGCGCCCCGCCAGTGCCAAGCCATGGCTGCAGTCTCGGCGTCGGTGGCCGCGGGCCTGCGGCAGCGGGCAGAGGCCCCCTGCCGCGGGCGTGGCCCGCAGCGGCCGTTGGGCATCGCGGGCGCCACGGCCGCGCGCAGCGCTGCCTGCCGCCCCGGCGCGCTGCCGGGCCCCGCGCCTGAGCACCGCCCGTGGGGGCCCTGCGGCCACTCCTTGGGCGCGGGGGGGGGGGTCCCCGCAGATGGCGCGTCTCCTCCTCCTCCTCCTCCTCCTCCTCCTCCTCCTCCTCTTCCTCCTTGCCATCCTCCTCCTCCTCCTCCTCCTCCTCCTCCTCCTCCTCCTCCTCCTCCTCACCCTCCTCCCTCACCCTCCTCCTCCTCCTCCCCTCCTCCTCACCCTCCTCCTCCTCCTCCCTCCTCCTCCTCCTCCTCCTCCTCCTCCTCCTCCTCCTCCTCCTCCTCCCCCTCCTCCTGGTGCCAAACGAAGATCCCGAAGCACCTGCCAGCGGTGGCGTTCGCGCTGCGGCAGGGCGGGCGACGAAAAAGTCGCGCTCCTCCATCACTCCTCCTCTCATCCAGCCCCGCCCCCCGAGTCCCGATCACTACGGTCAGCGGCGCGGGCGAGGCGGGCCAGGGCTGCTCCTCCTTCCTCCCTCCTCCTCCTCCTCCTCCTCCTCCTCCTCCTCCCCCCTCCTCCTCCATCCTCCTCCTCCGCCTCGTCTCCTCCTCCTCTTCTCTCTTCCGTCCTCCTCCCTTATCCTCGTCTTCCCTCCTCCTCCTCCTCCTCTCCTCCTCCTCCTCCCTCCTCCTCCTCCTCGTTTCCTCCTCCTCCTCCTGCTTCTCCTCCTCCTCCTCATTATCCTTCTTATCCTCCTCCTCTCCTCCTCTTCCTCTCCGACCGTACGAATGCACGTGGCTGTCGGTGCTAGCATATCTAGCCCAGTTCTTCTTCTGTGCGAAGAGATTCGGCGCAAAGAATTGCACGCTCTCCACCAGGTCTTCCGCCTCCCTCCCTGCACGTTTGCCCTGTGGATTTTCTGAGCATCAGGAGGTGGTGGGAAGCTGCGACGCCCACTAGTGCACGAATCGATGCTCTAGCAAGTGCATGGGGAGACAGCGTGTGCACTCCCCAAAACTGGGAACCGACCTTCGAGTGGCGGTGGGAGGGGGTGGCTTTGCACGGACTTCACATGAGAGTGAAGCAACAGTTCTGTTCCGGCGCCATGCAGCACCACTGGTACTTTCCAATGCAATCGCGAGCTTCCCACCTGTCGTGATCTCCCCTGCCCTGTTTCCTCTCTCCTCGCCGCCTGCGCGGGTGCCAGAGCCGCCATCCCGACTTCCGCCGCCGCCGCCCTGCCAGGAAAGACCAGTCTGCGTCGGTTCGGCATTCCGCGTGGACCCGCACCACTGTCGGGGGGAGGGCGCGGGCGAGGGTTGTCGTCGTCGTGGGAGAGGGGAGAGACCCCAGGCGTTGCTTGTTCTGCTTATCCAGACGCTCGCTGCGAGCGCATATCCTGACAGACTCCACGAACTCATCCTCGAACGAATTCGAACGTGGTTCCCAGGACAAGAAGCGCCTGATTTAGCATCCGTGCATGCTCGCTGGCTTGTGCTTCGTGCGCTGCCAGCCGAGTCAGCCCCAGCAAAGGTCAGGGACCATTTGAAAACCTTGGCCGGGGGGGATCACTAGCCATAGGGTCAAGATCTGGTTTTTCATTGCCGAGTAGGTTTGGACGTCCTGCTTGCCCTGGTTCATTTTCTCGTTATCTCTCCTGCCTCCGCTTCTTTTCATTCCTACTGCTCCCCCTGTTTTCCTATGACCCGGTCAGGGGGCGGAGGAAGAGTATCAAGATACGGGCTTGCCTGCGAAGGTAGCCTGTGATCTTGCCGCTATTGCGCAATCGAAATTCCATAAGCCCCGTGTCGAGTTGACTGAAGACCCACATCCGCTCGGCAGCTATACCTTCCAACCTCCTATCCGCCATGCGGCGTTCACGGGCACTAACTCATGGCTCGATAAAGGGCATGCGCCCAACCTCGTCCTCGTCCCCGTCATTTCTGCGCAGCGTTGCACCAGCTGGTATGTTTCTTGGGCGTCCTCAGGATATTGTTTGTTTGGTCACCGCCTTGATCGTGCGCCACTGGTTAACTGGTAACTCGTCGGGAGTGAGAAGAAGACGCTCGAGCAGCAGCAGCAGCATCATCAGTGGGGAGGACCAGAATGAGGGGAAGGAGGAAACGAAGAAAGAAGAGGACGAGCAGTAAAAGGAAGCGAGGTAGGAGGAGGGGAACGATGAGAAGACCACCCCTGTTGCAGAGAGCAGACGCGATTAATACCATCCCCTCATCCCTTCTTCGTCATCGTACCCGCATCCATTTCCTCCCCACGCTGACGCCAAGCCCCTCTTCCCAAACATCTCCCTCTCGCTCTCTCTCTCTCTCTCTCTCCATCTCTCCTTCTCCCCTCCTCCCGGCCATCCGACGATCCCCCCTGCCCCGCAGCCGTGATCACCGCAGGCTCGCCACGATGCCGCCGCACGTCATCCGGTTCCTCGACCAGGACGCGAGGGACCACTCGCACATGCCGCTGGTCGACGAGCAGGCCGGCCGATGCCCTCGGGCGCACGGTGCCCTCCACGCCGACGCCCCTCCCCCGGGGGGGGCCCCGGGGCCCCGCGGGGCGGAGAGCGGCGCGCCGTGCCCGGCCCGAGGAGCCGAGGCTGGAGGGCTCCTGCGGGGAGCGGCTGGCGGGCGGGACCAGGACGTGGATGAGTCGTTCCAGAGCGCTCTCCTCGTCCCCCTCCTCCTCCTCCTCCTCCTCCTCCTCCTCCTCCTCCTCCTCCTCCTCCTCCCTCCTCCTCCTCCTCCTCCTCCTCCCCTCCTCCTCCTCTCCTCCTCCTCCTCCTCCCTGTCCTCCGCCTGCTCCTCCTCCTCCTCCTCCTCCTCCTCCTCCTCCTCCCTCCTCCTCTCATCCGCCTCCTCCTCCTCCTCCTGCGCCTCCTCCTCCTCCTACTCCTCCTCCTCATCCTCCTCCTCCTACTCCTCCTCATCCTCCTCCCTATCCTCCTCCTCCCTATTCTCCGCCTCCTCCTCCTCCTCCTCCTCCTCCTCCGGAACGCCCCCAGAGCGTTCCAGAATGTTCTGGGGAGGACGCGGCACCCGAGGCGTCCTCCAGATCTGCCGGATTTCAGATACCTCATTTTTTTGTGTCCTTGGCCGATGTTGCTCTTGTCCCGCCTTCGTCTTACCGCGGGGCAGCGCGGCGTGCAGTCTAATCGTCACCGCCCCGTCGCCGCCGTCCCCGCCCCGTCGCCGCTTCGTCGCCGCCCGTTGTCTGGGCTCGTTTGTCGGATCCGCCGCTTTGTTGCCGTCGTCGCCGCCCCGTCGCCACCTCGTCGACGCCCGTCGTCTGGGCTCGTTTGGCGAGGCCTCCGCCTTGTTGCCGCCCCGTCACCGACATAGGTTCTCGTTTCTTTAAAGGAATTAGATTATACCCCCGTACCCCTTTTCGCATTGCAATTTATTTGTGATTCTGCACCATCGCGAAAATTGAACTCGTACCATCCAGCCCAACCAGTATCGACACCCCCCGCCATCCTCTGCAACAGATAGTATGCGCGCACTCGTTTATAAAAGACATCAGTGTGCAAGAATCCCTTGCAAGAAAAATGAGAGGAAGTGCGCACGCGCGAGTCGTCGCGCGCGCATGCCGAAGTCCTTCGAAAACCTTAAGATCCTCAATAATGTCAAAATCGAGCGCGAAAAAGCATGGTTTCGCAACACGGGTGTTCAAACCAAGCTTGCGCGCGCGCTCACGAATGTTTAAATCCTACCAAACAGGCTTCGCGCACGCGCATGCCAAAATCGTTCGAACGCCTTTGCGCGCGTGCTGTCGCGAGAATCCTTGGCACAAAACGTGGCGAAGTGCATGCGCGCACGTCGCCACGCGCATGCCGACATGTTTCAAAAGCCGATTAGGCCCCGCAAGGATTTCAAAACCAAGTGCCCCGAAACCATTAGAATAAAGCAAAAATGGGTTCGCAAAATCTGCGTTCACAAAAACTTGCGCACGCGCTCTTGCGAATCCTTCCGCAAAAAAAAAAAAAACATCGGTTTTTCAACATTGTCATGACATTCTGTCAAACGGGCCTCTCGCGCCGCATGCCGAAATCATTCGAACGCCCTTTCGCGCGTCTGGGGGGCACGATCCGTGCCAAATAATACAATGCGGTCACTTTCACGCATCGGCCGCGCGCGCATGTCGAACTCCTCCCAAAACCTGCATTATCGACGCGAGGGCGCCGTCATCGCCGTCGGCGTGATCAGCATCGGCGCCGCCAACATCGTCGCCAGCATCCCTACTATTATCATCATTGTGTCTACCGTTGCCAACGCTGCCATGATACCGCGCCCGCCCAAGTCGCCGATTCGCACTGGAGTGCCCGCTGGGATGTGCCCAGCGGTCAGCGCCACCGCGGCCGCGTCGGCCGCGCCGAACTAGCTGGCAGCTGCGCGCGCGCGCATGCGCGGGCTGGCGCGGCCGCAGAGATGCGCCAGCCAGCGCCGAGCACTCATCGCAATCGCCGCCGCATGGGTTTTGCAAACCAAGTTGCGGGTGGGAGGGCGGGGTGTCCGCAAGATCATGGGATGTGTCAACTCGTTTGTAACAACCAATTGCACCATATATACATATATATATATATTCACCATTGCATAGATATTCGGGCCCTCCCTGGACTTAACGGCCCGCCTGTTAGGATTGCGATGTATGTCCCGATCGCCCATCCTAAACATGACCTCGCACCATTTCAGGCAAGGCAGTCCTTTGTCTCCCCCCAATCACCATTCGCAAGAATGTTACGCGCGCGTTTGTTTATCAAACATCACAGGTTTCCGAAACTGCCTCGCAACATGTAGGACGAAGTGCACGCGCGCGTCGTCGCGCGCGCGCATGCGGACACCCCTCCGAATGATCGGCGCTGCGCGAAACAACAACCACAAAAAGCGACCGGCGCTGCGCGAAACCGAGCGCCCCGAAAACACCACAAAAAAACACATCGCTGGCCGCGCAGCACAACATTTCGCCCGCGTTCCTGCGAATTCTTGGGGGGGGCCACCAGTGTTCATAATGTTCACCAAATGTTACCAAACGTGCCTCTCGCGCGCGCGTCGAAATCATTCGGGCGCCCGTTGGCGGGCGCCTCCGTGTCGCAAGAAACCGTGGCCAGCACGAGGGGCGAAGCGCGCGTGCGCGTCGTCGCGCGCGCATGCCGAAATCCGTCAACAATCATAGGTTGCGCAAGGATTTCAAAACCGAGCGCCCCGAAAACATGGCTCAAACTATACGGTTTCGCAACATCCGGTTTGAAAAGCTGTCTGCGCGCGGGCCCTCGCGAATTACGGAGAGAGCCATCGTTTTTTTTTCAACAGTTCACCAAATTCGACCGAACGGGCCTCTCGCGCCGCATGTCGACATGAATTGAACACCCTTTCGCGCGTGCTGGGAGGGCACGATCCCTTTCAAAGAACACCATGCGGGCCACTCGCGCGCGTCGGTCGCGCGCGCATGTCGAACTCCTTCCAAAATCTCCACCACCGACGCGGGGGCATTGTCATCGTCATCGGCGCACTCAGCATCGGCGCCGTCCTTGGCCTTGCCGTCGTCGACGTCATTATCGCCACCATCGCCGCTACTACCTCATCGCGTCTGCCGCTGTCGTCGTCGCAATGGCACCGCGCCCGCCCAAGCCAACCGATTCGCATTGACACGCCCGCTCGGCGCCTAGCGGCCCGCGCAACCGCGGACGCGTCGGTCGCGCCGAACTAGCCGGCAGCTGCGCGCGCGAGAACGCGCGGGCCTGCTTGGCCGAAGAGACGCACCTGCCAACGCCAAGCTCTCATCGCAATCGCCGCCTGATGGGTTTTGCATACCAGTTTGCGCGCGGGCGGGTGGGATGATTGAGCGAGCCGCGGAGCTGACAACCCCCCGCGTGGTCATATTGAACAAGGACTCGCGAATAACATGACGTTGGGATCAACGAATGCATACCGCATGGAATTTTTTGAGAGGGAGGAGGGAGGGCTGATAACCACACTGCCTGGGGCGCTCTGAATTCAGACTGAGGATGGACGAGTGCACAGCACAAAACCACGATCGAAACTCGCTACGAAAAAGAAGCGACGCGCTAACCAGGGGGCGGGGATGAAGCCTCATATTCTTGAAGAAAAAAGGTCATGCACAACTTATGTGGTGCATTCAATGTGTGACCTGCGTGGTGCACTTGGTTTTGACAAGCTTGCCACACGCGCGCGTCCGCTACGCGAGCACGCCAGAATCCGTCGAAAACCATTGGTTGCTCAACAATGTCACGTCGTGTTTCCAAGATCTACCGAATCACACCCTACTTCCTCTACAACGACTTGAATGCTGCTCGCGCGAAGTCGGTGAATCCTTCGGAAACCAATGGCTGTTCATGATTATTATCAAATGGAGCCGCGCGGGCAACTTGCGCGCGCGTCGAATTCATTGGACTGCACCCGCGCGCTGGCCAAAGCCACGATCCGTGTCAAATAAGGAAATGTCGGCCACGCGCGCGCGCCCGCCGCGCGCGCATGTCGAAATCCTTCCCAAACTTTCACCACCGACTCGCGGACACCATCATCGCCTTCGGTCTGATCAGCATCGGCGCCATCATCGGCCTCGTCGTCGTCATCACAATTCTCGCCACCATCATCGCTATCTCATCGTGTCTGCCGTTGTCGTCGTCGCCACGTCGGCGTCGCCATGATGTCGCGCCCGCCCGAGTCACTGACTCGCACTGAAATGCCCTTGCGTCAGCGCGGCTGGCGAGACGCGATGGGAAGTCCTCAGCGGTCAGTGTTGCCGCGGCCGCGTCGGTCGCGCCAGACACGCTGGCCGCTGTGCGCGCGAGCCTGCGCGCGGTAGCGCGACCGCAGCGATGCGCCAGCCAGCGCCGAACAGTCATCGCAATGGCCGCCGCATGGGCTTTGCAAACCAAGTTGTAGGTGGGTGGGTGAGACGATTGCGCGTACATGTGGTTTGACAACTCATTGCGAGCAACGATGAATCGCACCACATCTGATGCACCACATAGATTCTCATTTCTACAAAGAGAATATAGACTCTGCCCCCCTCCCACCCACCGTTATCGGCCCCCCTTTCTCGGGTATGTAAATCATATATGATTATGACCACATGTCCATCCTAAAAATGAATGTACATTACGTTCGAGAGGCTGGGATCGGCCCCCTGAGGTTCCCTTGTAAATTAAAACATAGAAAAAATACGCGCGGGCATCGTTTGCTCAAACCTAAGACTTGTTTCGCGAACCCCTTGCAACAAATGGGACGAGGTGCACACGCGCGCGTCGTCGCGAGCGCATGCTGGCATCCTTCAAAAAACCTTCGGTGTCGGAAGGATTTCGCAATCGAGTTTCCAAAAAACATACAAAAACACAGGGTTTCGCAACATTGATTTGCTAAAAAAACTTACGCGCGAGCTCTTGTGAAATTTCAAGGAAGCCGTGTTTTTTCAAGGTTTTCACAAAATGCTCCCAAACGGGCTTCGCGCGCGCCTGTCGAACGCCCTTGCGCGTGTGCCGAGTGCAGACGCGCGCGTCGTCGCGCGCGTATGCCGAAATCCTTCAAAACCCATCGGTGTCGGAAGGATTTCAGAATCGTGTGTCCAAAAAAACAAACAAAAACACAAGGTTTCGCATCACGGCGTGCGTCGCGCGCTCTTGCGTCGTCGTCGTCGTCGCCATCCTCCCTCCTCCCGCGTCGTCGTCGTCGTCGCCTACGTCGTCCTCTGTTTTTCCACGTGTTCGTCGTCGTCGTCGTCCTCTTTGGCGTCGTGGTCGTTTCCGTCGTCGTTGTCGCCGTGGTCGTCCTTCCTCCTCCTCCCTCGTCGTCGTCGTCGTCTGTCGTCGGCGTCTCGTCGTCGTCCCTCCTATTTCGTCTCCGTCGTTGTCGTCGTCGTTGTCGTCGTCGTCGTCTTCCCTCCTCCCCCGTCGTTGTCGTCGTCGGCGTCGCCGTCCTACCTCCTTTTTCGTCGTTCGCGTCGTCGCCGTCCTCCCTCCTCCCTCGTCGTTGTTGTCGTTGTCGCTGTTGTCGCCGTCGTCGTCCTCCCTCCTCCCTCGTCGTCGTCTTCGTTGGCGACGTCGTTGTCGTCGTCGTCGTTGTCGTCGTCGTCGTCGTCGGCGTCGTCGTCGTCGTCGGCGTCGTCGTCGTCATCGTCGTCGTCGGCGTCGTCGTCGTCGGTGTCGTCGTCGTCGCCGTCGTCGTTGTCGTCGTCGAAGTCGTTGGAGGCGTCGTCGGTGTCGTCGTAGTCGGTGTCGGCGGCGCCGTCGTCGTCGTTGTCGCTGTCGTCGTCGGCGTCGGTGTCGTGGCCAAGTGCCATGTGGTACCTACCGTCACGGTCTTGTCTTAAGAGGTCTTGCGACCAAGTTGCGGGTGGGAGGGTGGGATGTTTGCACGAGCAGTGGAGAGGACAGCCTCAAGACGGTAAAAGTGATCTGCACCACATAGATTGCACCACACAGGTTGTACAACATAGGTTTCACCATATTTTTATGGCCTTCGGCCCTTCGGCCCATCCCGCCACCGCGCCGGGGCTGCGGGTGTGAAGCTGATTAGATATTCGTTAAAATCTCGTGGGGGGCCTTGAAGCCTCGTAAGGGGACGTTTGGAAACCGTTTTGGGGCCTCTTGGGGCCTCCTGGGGGCCTCTCGGGGCAGAGGGCTCGGATTGTCAGTCCGTTTTCCCCCTCTTGGGTCTTTTTGGGAACCGTCTTCGAGCCCTCTTGGACCGTTTTGGGCGCCTCTTGGGCCGTCTTGGAGCGCTATTAGGCCGTCTATGTTTTTTTGTTGGAGGCTTGTTTGGCCGTTTTGGATTGGTTTGGATTTGGGGGGGGCGTCTTGGAGCGTCGGAAATCCGAAAAAGCGAGAACGCCAAAATTTTTCAACAACTTGAAGAAAATCAATGGTGTTTCCCTTGGGGCCCTTTCGGGAGGCCTCTTCGAGACCCCTGCGGTCGTTTTGGATGTTGTTTGGCCCACCTGCGGGCCATCTTGAGGGCTTGTCTGGCCGTCCGGAGGCCATCTTGCGCGTTTGGGAGCGATCTTGGGGCGACGTGGGGCCCTCTTTGACCATTTTGGGAGCCTCTTGGAGCAGTCTGAGCTCCTTTGGGGGGCCTTCCTGGGCGAGGTATGCCGACGCGAGCGATTCCGGCAGACCCCAGGCCCGTCCAGCAAACCCCGGGCGGTTGAGCATGGGGGAAGGGCTCTGCTCTCCCGAGGCCCTGGAAGACTTTCGATGGACAGGGCCTCAGAGAATTTCCGAGGACATCGTCTTGGGGGCGGGGGGATAGACCTCCGATGTCACGATGTTTACACACGTATCGTAAAGCGGGCCCCAAGGCTTCCGAGCCCTTACCCGGGGCCTGCCTTCCATGCTTGGGCCGTTTTCGACGGCCCCGCGGCCTGGAAAAACGCCTCCCGGACTCCGAGGTAAATGAACAAAAGCAGGTGCGTCTTTCGGCTTCCGGTGCGCTAGAGCTTTGTGGTGCGGGGGGGAGGTCAAAATCAAACATCGGCACCCTTGCCTTTTCCAAGGGTGCGGTCTGGCCAGACTCGTGGAGTGGACCGCGCGCCAGAAGGCACAGAGGGAGGCTAAACTTCTCAGAGCCTCGGACCTCGATCCTCCTGCCTGGGGGAGGCTCAAGCTAGTTGCGCTCAGCGTTGGTCCCCTCCAGGACTGCACCCCGACAAGCTTGTCATCCCAGACGGTCACGGGGCCCGAAACGAGCCCCAGAGTCGGAGGCCGACATCGAAGAGAAACCTCCCCCCGAAGCAACTTGCTCGAGCCTCCCTCTCCTCTTCCTGAGTGGGCCCTGGAAACGACAGGGTAGAATTTGTTTACCGCTTTCGTGTTTCAATGTGTTTGCCGCTTCGGGCACCGTCGTTGTTGTTGATGATTCCGGCGCCGTTGTGTTGCTGCGGTCGTTTCCTTTGGTGGGGGCCAAGCCATGGTGTATATAGATCGCCGTTTTTTATCGGATCCGAGCCGCTTCCGCATCGGCTCCGAGCATTCTTCGCATCTTCGGATCGCCCAGGCCGTTTCTGCGAACCGTTGCTTGACCGTTTCGGTGAACCGTGTTCGTGTTCAGGTGGCAGTTTTCGACAGCGGTAAAAACATCCCTGCCGTTTCCAGGGCCCATTTATTCGAAGAAGAAAAAACGCCATAAACATAAACTGTTGACGCTCCGCGCGGATTTTTCTGATCTGCGCTGGGCCCCCCCAGCGGCGCCTCTGGCACCGCCCCTGGCGTGCTCCGCGCGCCAGGAAGGGGGGCCCAGCGCAGATCCAAGAAACCCGCGCGGACCGTCGAAAGTTTATGTGTATGCTGTGTTCTCTTCTTCTACTTGCGTCCCCTTCCCCCCTCGAGCCTCGACCCACCTCCTGGAGTCACCGAGCGCGCTCCACTACTCGCCAAGTGCCCGCTCGCAACATGCCTCGGTGTAATGGCTCGTGAATCCCCCGCGGCGGATCCAGGCCATTTGCGAATACGGTGGGGGCGGTGGTTAAGGAATGCGTCCAGGAGGCTTCGGAACCTGAAGGATTCCTTATCCGATGAGGGCGGCGGCGATATCCATGGCCGAGCCTCAATTGATGTTCCACAAGCGTCCAGACCCTGGATTACATGTTCCAACCTATTTCAGCCTCGATCACCAGAAAGAATTTCGAGCACCTGAAAAAATACCGAAACTCGATGGTGTTCGCGCATAGGGCCCTGGGAGACGCTCGTCCGACATTGTTTCGACACTCTTTCGACACTTTTCCGGGTGCTCGAAATTATTTCTGGGATGTGGTCCTTAAGTACGATGGGCGCAACATAAATATAAGCGTTCCTTATCGGATGCCGCCCCCGTAATCGGCTATTTGTGCAAGCAGCGGCGAGCGCGAATGTCTATGGAGGCGTGCCCGCGCCCCGCCCGGGGCGCACGAGACGGCGACGACCACCACCATTTCCTGCGACGACCTCGACGCAGGCGGCGGCGTCGACGACGACCACGGGCACCACGACAGCAACGGTGGCGGCGGCGGTGTCAGCGGCGACGACGACGTCGATAGCAACAACAACAACAACAACAACAACAATCATTGTAAGACTGTTCGCACCTATCTGCACAAGCGCCAACCAATGCTTATATCCCAGACCCTCGGTACCCGGCCTCGTCGTCTTCGATCGTACCCCCTTGGGGGTATATCTTTCTCACGTGCCACCTGGATGTCGTGCAGCCCCTGAAAAAAAGGGAAGAGAAGACGGGTGGAAGGGGGAGGGAGAAGAATGGAGCACGAGAGAAGTTGAGGGGCAAGGAGCAGAAAAAAAGTGGTAGAACCAGACGGGCAGATCGGGTGGCCAGACCCACAGCGGGCAAGTCGGAAAGGCGGGCCCAGGCGACCAGATCGAGCAGGCGGGTTGCTGAAGCGTGGGTCCTCCATGAATCACAAGGAAGTCTCGAGCGATAGCGCGATTCCTGAGTAAATCGCGAGAAAAACCAAAACGAGAGCGTGATTCCTGAGCACCGAGGGCGCATCGTCTGAATAAATTGCTAGGAAGTCTCACGCGAAAGCGCGGTTCGTATACACATTGTGAGGAGGTCCCGCGCGAGAGCGCGATTTGGGAATACACTGCGAGGACGTATCAGGTGGGAGCCGCTGTTGTTGCAAACCGGCGGCCAGGGGCGCAGTTTGAGCCGAGTGATTTTTCCCTGTTAAAACACAGGGTGCCAGCCCCGGGAGAATCGCTTCAATTGAACAAATTCAATGGTCGCCGGTGGGGCGGGGTCAACAATAATTGTTTTTCAGCATTAAGAGTTCAACAACGACAACGACAACAACAACAACAACCAACAACCAACAACCAACAACCAGCAGCAAACAACCGACAACCAACAACCAGCAGCCAACAACAAGCAGCAACCAACTAACAACAACAGCTACAACAACACCACAGCAGCAACAACAACAACCACCTCCACCTCGACGGCGGCGGCTGACAGGCAGCGGCGTCGAAGAGCGCCCTCCAGCGGCAGCGTCGCAGCAGCAGCGCCCCCCCGCGGCGGCGGCGGCGCGGACCGCCCCCTCGGCGGCGGCGGCGCCGAGGGGCGCCCCTCGGCGGCGGCGCTGCCCTCGCGCGCCGCCCCGGAAGGCGGGCCCTCTGCTCGCCGGGGCGCCCAAGAGGGCGAGCCCGGACCTGGTCGGCGGCACCTACGGCACGAACCGGTAGGCGGTGGGAGCGGCCAGGGCCGCCAGAGGGCCCCGCAGGGCCCCGCGGAGAGGCAACGCGGCGGCGCGGCGCGGCGCGGCGGTGTCGTGCCAGGCGGCGGAAAAGGACGACGGCAACGACGACGCCGACGGCGCCGTCGCCGCCGACGAAGACGACAAAGACGCCGACGACACCCACGCCACGGCGGCGACGCCTACGGCGGCGAGGAGACGGAGGAGGATGAGAAGGAGGAGGAGGAGGAGGAGGAGGAGGAGGAGGCGATGGAGGAAGAGATGGAGGAGGAGATGGAGGAGGGAATGGAGCAGGAGGAGGAGGAGGAGGAAGAGCAGAAGGAGGGCGGGAATGAGGAGAGGATGAGCAGATGGAGGACTCGGAGGAGGAGGAGGAGGAGGAGGGCGACGGCGAAGCGGCGGAGGAGGGCGAAGAGGAGTAGGAGGAGGAGGGCAGGAGGAGGAGGAGCACGAGGAGGAGGAGGAGGAGGAGGAGGAGAAGGAGAAGGGCCACAAGAGCTCACAGGAAGAGCGCGGCGAAGAGGAGGCGGAGGAGGATGAGCACAAGAAGAAAGAGAAGGAGGAGGCGGAGGAGAGAAACGCGGATGAGGACGAAGTGAAGAAGGGATACGAGGAGGAGGAGGAGGAGGAGGAGGAGGAGGAGGAGGAGGAGGTGGGGGAGGAGGAGGTGGGGGAGGGAGAGCTGGAGAACGGGGAGGAGGAGGAGGAGGAGGAGGAGGAGGAGGAGGAGGAGGGTCCCCTCCTCCCCTCTCGTGCCCGTTTCTTCCTCCGATCGTTCGAGGCAGCTGCGTGCATGCTTGTATCACATGGTGCGCACGTATCGAAGTTGCTAGAACGCACAATCCCGAGTCCTATCCCAGCCGGTCCTGACTCCCCCCATCATGCTTCCCCCATGCGCCCTCTTCCTTTCACTCTATTATTATCATCCTCCCTCATCCGCCTCCTCATCCTCCTCCTCCCCCTACTCCTCCTCCTCCTCATCCTCCTCATCCTCATCCTCCTCGTCCCACTGTTCCGTTTCCTCCCCACCTCCACCGACTCATCCAGGAGGCGAATGAGACAGAAGAGTCAAGGAGGCGGACGACGGAGGATGGAAGACAAAGGTCTTCCATCTATTTTCACCTCCTTCGTCCTCAACAGCCGCATCCTCCTCCACATGTTCCATCGTCCTCCACCTTCTTCTGCGCCACCACCTCCACCTCCCTCGCGCCCTCCATCCTCCACCTCCTGCTCCCTCCACAACCACAGCCTCCCTCGTCCTCAGGTCTCCCTCGTCCCCCACCCTGCCTTCCTCATTCTCGTCCACGCCCTCCACTTCGTCCACCTCCCCCGTCCCCCTCCACTTCCTTGTGCTCCTCCTCCTCCTCCTCCTCCTCCTCCTCCTCCTCCTCCTCCTCGCTCCTCGCTCCTCGCTCCTCGCTCCTCGCTCCTCGCTCTCCTCCTCCTCGTCCTCCTCCTCCTCCTCCTCCTCCTCCTCGCTCCGCCTCCTCGCTCCGCCTCCTCGCTCCGTCTCCTCCTCCTCCTCCTCCTCTCCTCCTCCTCCTCCTCCTCCTCCTCCTCCTCCTCCTCGCTACTCCTCCATCTCGCTCCTCCTCCGTCGCCCGGCGAACTGCCGCGCCCCGCGCGGGGGGGCAGGGCGGGAGCGCCCCCCGCGGCCGCTCCTGAACGGCGAGGCACCACGAGCCGCGCGGCCGGCCGGCCGGCGCGGCGCGAGCACGGCGGGCCTCTCCGCCTCCCATGGCGCTCTCGGCCCTCGCTGCCTCCTCCTGCTCCTCCGCATGCTCCTCTCCCGCGTCGTCCCCCCCCCTCCCAGACACGCTCGCGTCGTGGAGAAGAAATCCGCGCGGGAGGTTTTGGGCGATGTTCGGCCTCAGGGGGCCCTCGCCGGGCCTCGGGACCGTCAAGAAACGATTCAGGACGCCAAACTGGTCACGGGGAAAGGGTCGGGACTTCCGTGGACGCCGTCCTGAAAAAATCAGGACGTCGCACGTCTGGGCCCGCGTCTGCCCCCGTTCTCCCCCCGCGTGCCCGGCGCTGCGCTGTGCGGGATGCGCTCCGGCCCTCCCGGGGTGCTGTGTTTCCCTCTCCAGCAGCTGCGCCTCGCCGAGGGCGTTCTGCAGGGGGAGCCGCCCCGCAGGGCCGGAGAGCCGGCTTCCTCGCGTCGCGTTGTGGGCAGATTCTCGGCTCCTGGGGTCCCCCATCGGGCCCCAGGGCCGTCGAAGAGGGGCCCAATATGAGAAGCCGGTCCCGGGGAAGGGGTCGAGACCTCAGAGTCAGGTTGTGGAAGCGCCACTGCGTCGGGTGTCGGCTCCTGTCCCACCTGCTCCCGTCCCCTCGCCCCCTTATTCCCATCGAGTCTCCTCGATCCTGATTCCACTCCTCCCACCCTCCCCCCGCGGTCGCAAGGATGGCACTAGAAACGATGGATGCATTGACTTGCCTTGCTTGCCCGAAGGCTGGCTAATGCGCTATACCACTTCTAACGCCCAGCGGGCACAGTTTTTCCGCACGCCAGACCTCATGACTGCCCATCTCCCTCCTTCGGCAGGCCAAGGATAATCGCCCCAGAGCGTTCAGGAACGCTCTCAGAGCGCTCCGGAGCGCTCTGGAACGACCGCGGTGCCCGATACAGTCTCCAGACCCGCCAGCACTCAGAGACTCACGATTTATGACCATCCGAATTGATCTACATTGTTAGACTTCGTGCTATCCCTCCCCCCCTACCCTCTCCATCCCCCATCGCCCTCCTCCCGGTCCTGACGAGAATTGCACAGAAGGTATACGCATACCCCTTTCATTTAGCCTTGAGCGGGTGAACTTACGAGCGTGGCAATTCGACAACGCCGGTCCTCCCGGATGGCTGCGGCCCGTCCTCGTGCTCCACTTGTGGTACCCCTTTTGCTTTGGGCACCGCATCCTCCCCCTCCCAGCCGCGAAGTCGAGAAAGTCTTGCGAGGAGGGCAGGGCCAGCTGGGCCACCGCGACCGCGGGCCGCTTGCGCGGCCCCCCGCCAGGAGGCGGAGGACGGAGACGCTGAGGACGCCCGCCCCCTCGCGGCGTTCCCGCGGGCCCGCCGGCCAGCGGCGTCCGCCGCCCTCCAGCGCCTCCTCGTTCCCCTCCCTCCCCTCCCTCCTCCTCCTCCTCCTCCTCCTCCTCCTCCTCCTCCTCCTCCTCCTCCTCCTCCTCCTCCTCCTCCTCCTCCTCCTCCTCCTCCTCCTCCTCCTCCGCGCCACGGCCCCGGGGCCCCCGAGTCCGGGGGGGCCCGGGGCAGCCAGGCCGCCCGCGCGCGCGCGCGCCCGCGCGCGCCCTGCGCGCCCGGCCGCGCAGCTCGCGGCAGCCGGGCGGGCGGGCGCCGGGCAGCCCAGGCGGGGGGCGAGCCTGTCTGGCGGCACCGCCGCCGACGCCGCCGCCGCCCCTGCCGCCGCCTCTCCCTTCCGCTTCCGCCTGCCGCCGCCGCCGCCCCCGCCGCCGCCGCCCCAGCCGCCGCCTCCTCCTTCCGCCGCAGGCCGCCGCTGCCGCCGCCCCTCTCTCCGCCCCGGGCCGCGGCCGCCGCCGCCCAAGCCGCCGCCTCCTCTCAGCGGTGTTTTCGCTGTGGCCTCGCGCCTCCTCCTCCTCCTCTGCCCCGGCGCCGGCCCGCGCCCCCCCTCGCCTTTCGCCGCCCTCCTCAGCGCCTCGCCTCGCCGCTGCCCCGCCGCCCTCCTCAGCGGAGGCCCGCCGCGTGGCGCAGCTGCCGCGCCACCCCGCGCCACCCGGCGCTGGACAGCGCAGCTGACCGCGCTGTAGGCGCGCGACAGCTCGTAGTGCTGCTCGTCGTCTGGCAGCTCGCGCGCGTGACTGAGCAGCCACTGGCGCGCCTCTGCGCCGAGCCGCCCTGCAGTCTCCACGGCGAACGCTGTCAACCGTTCGCCGGGATAGCGTTCGTGCTTCTCCCGCTCTGCGCGCCGCAAGGCTTCTCCAGGCCTCCGGGCGGCGACGCGGATGGCAGGCTCATCCCCCGCTGCAGGGTGCCGCACAGTGACGTCCACCCACCTCGTGCCATCCACGTCCTCGTACTGGACATCGAGGATAGCTCGCTCGAACACGGCGGGCCCGTCGCCTTCGGCCGGGCGCCGGGGCCGAAAACGATCCCAGGTGGGCGCGCGCTGTTCCTACAGCGGGCGGTCGTGCGTCCACCGCGCCGCCAAGGCGCCCACCGCCTTGGCCAAGCCGCCGTGACGCCGCGCCACGCCTCCTCCAGGCTGGCAAGTGGCCGCGTGGTAGCCGTCCGCGTCAAGTGGCGCCTGGCAGCAGGCCCCAGCCGCGGTCTGGTTGCAACACGTCGCAGCTGCCCGCGCCATCTCGTCGCGAGAGCATTCTGGCCGTGGTAGCAAGAGGCGGCAGCGCGTCGCGGTGGCCCACTCCACGTCTTCCAGCGCGCACGCTGCCTTTGTGGGGTACTGCAGGTACGCCCCAGATCCTGGCCCGCCAGCGGACTGAAGGACTGCCTGGTTGCGCAGGTGCACTCGCTGCCGGGAAGCAGCCAGAGTTGTCTTGTGCACCGTCGCCACCATCGTCTTCTGCCTCGTCGGCCAGCCAAGCGCCGCGGCGAGCGGGGCGGCGGGGGACGGCTCCGCGCCCTGGCGCGCCAGTTCTGCGCGCGCGTCCGCCAGCGTCGCTGCGTTGCGGGGGAGAGCGCCCAGCGCGTCCGCGAGCGAGGCGGCGCCCAGGTCGCGGCGCACCTCCTCAGCGGCGTGCGTCCAGGCGGCCCAGAAGGCCGCGGCTCGCCTCGTGGTCGCCCACTGGGCCCCCTCGCCTCCGAGCTTGCGCGGCAGGCCGAGCAGCTCGCAGGCCTCTGGTCCAAGGGGGCGGTCCAGCAGCTGCTCCCAGCAAGCCCTCAGCGCGGCGTCGTAGCGGAAGGCCTCGCCTGGCGTCGCCAGCGCAAGCTGGAGGTAGTGTTGGTTGGCGTTGCCCGCGTAGGTCGTCAAGAGCGCCGCCCTTGCCTGCTTGGAGAGGCTCCCCTGGAGCTCCTGGAGGCGAGCGAAGAGTTCCTGCAGGCGCGCCGTTGCGTTGTCGAGTCCGCAGCCTTCCTCCCCGCCGAGGTGGAGCGCGGCGTCGTCGGCGTCCCCAGGCGCCCGCAGCTTCGCGCCGAGCACTGGCAACACGGGAACGGCGTGGCCTGCCAGCTCGGGCGGCACGGCCTGCGCCCCCTCCTCCTCCTCCTTCTCCTCCTCCTTCCTCCTCCTCCTCCTCCTCCTCCTCCTCCTCCTCCTCCTCCTCCTCCTCTCTCCTCCTCCTCCCCTCCCTCCTACTCCTACTCCTCCTACTCCTCCTCCTCCTCCTCCTCCTTCTCCTCCTCTCTCCTCCTCCTCTCCTCCTCCTCCTCCTCGTCCTCTTCCCTCCTCCTCCTCCTCATCCTCCTCCTCCTCCTGCTCCTCCTCCTCCTCCTCCTCCTCCTCCTCCTCCTCCTCCTCCTCCTCCAGTAACCATTTCGATCGATCCCTTGTTCCCGTTACTTCAGCGCCCCTGCGTTTTCCTCGGGCCATGGTGGTCCACGCGCGCCTCCGTTGACTGCGCGATCAGATCGTCGCTGGAGTCGCCGCGCACCTCACCTTCGGAGCCGCCGCCATCGAGGGCCGCGGTAAGGTCAAGGTGGTCCTCGACCCAGCGCGGCCGCGTACGTCGCCCACGGCGCGGGCCGTGCTTCTCAGCGCCCTGTCGGCCCTCGAGGAGCATGGCTGGATACGCTGTCGTGGTGGACCGTGGCCACCGCTTCTCCGACGGCCGCGCGGAGGTCTGTTTCTGGTTCAGCGCACGCCCCGCGGCTAACCAGACACGGGCCCGCAGCCGCGCGGCGCAGGCTGAGTCCGATGCGATCGACCCCGACGCCGAGCAGGAGCAGCTTGGAGCTGAGGATGCGTCGGCAGCGACGCCTGCGCCAGCCCCGAGGGGCGGAGTCGTGGATGGAGTTTCAGTTCATGCTGCTGGTGTCGACGGCCATGCCGATGATCGCCTTCCTGGAGTTCATGCTACTGCTCCGGCCGTCGCTGGTCCCCCCGGAGGCGGTGATTCTCCGGTTGGCCGAGGGACTGGCGCCGCCGCCCATCCTGGTGTCGTGGCTCCCGCGGGGCCCCTGCGGGGGGTATCTGCCCCAGATGCGGTGGAGGCGGCTGCGGAGCCAGCAGTGCGGCCTGACGCTGGAGTCCCTGGCGGCCAGGCGGGTCGTGAGGCTCAGCGGACTCCTGTTTCGACCCGGTGTGTGAAGCCGCGGTTGCACTTGTCAGGCATTACGCCAGCGTGATTTGGATGCACGAGGCGTCGCTTGGCGCGCTCGTGAGGGCTTGGAAGTTCCTTGACCGAGATACGAGCCAGACGTTCACGTGGCCGTACGCGGCTGGGCCCCTGGCGGTAGCGTGCCTGCCGTCGCTCAGAGTCGATTGGTATCTGGAGTCCTCTCCCTCCTCCTCCTCCTCCTCCTCCTCCTCCTCCTCCTCCTCCTCCTCCTCCTCATCTGCTGCTCCTCCTCCTGCTGCTCCTGCTCCTTCTCCTCCTGCTTCCTCCTCCTCCTCCTCCTCCTCTCCTCCTCCTCCTCCTCCTCCTCTTCTCTCCTCCTCCTCCTCTCCTCTTCCTCCTCCTCCTCCTCCTCCTCCTGCTCCTCCTCCTCCTCCTCCGCCTCCTCCTCCTCCTCCTCCTTCTCCTCGTCTCTGGCGATCAGATCTTATCGGGCCAAGATGTTTTCTCTGCTGCAGGTGGGCCCGTGCCACCTGAAAGGGCACCTGCGAGCTGGGATGCAGCGCTGGCAGATGCATCGCGTTCAGAGTCATTCTAGCGATTGTCCCTGCCGACGCCGAGTTGTGGCCCCGCGGGATCCGCGCCTGTGTCGGGCCCTGGAGGGCCGCGATGCAAAATCCGAGGGGTCGGGCCCCGTTGGTCCGACTCTGGTGGCTCAGCGACACTGTACGACGCTGGCCCCGCGCCCGACCCCGAGTGTCGCGCGCGCTGAGGGCCCCAGAGAGGCCTGCTAACATTGGCTGTTTGCGTGCTCATCTCTGAGGCAGAACTTTTTGGAAGATGAGCATCAAGGGAGGAAAAAGCACCTGGACCCGACAATTGACGTTTACTAAACGGCCCTGGGCTTTTACTGAACAGCCCTGCCCTGTTTGATGCCTTCTTCCGGCGCGTGTGCTAAACGACTTCGCGTGTCGGGGTCGTTATTATGGGGGTGGATTGTTTGATTTTTATTTGGGAAGATGAGCAGGAGGTGGCGATCGCGGATCCGGTTGACCCAAAAGGGGGTCCAGCGACATGGGGGTGGTGCAAAATATTTGGTGCAATAGATTTGTGGGGTTGCAATAGATCTGGGGCGCGCAATACATTCCGACGTGTAAATGTCTTGCTGGGCTTTCGCGTGCAGTACGTCAGTTGTCATACACTGCAATACAATCTTCTGGCGCAATATACATCTGCAATACATTTTGCCCCAAAATCTATTGCACCACCCCCTTTCAACAGGACCCCCTTTTGAATCACCCAGAGCGGAGCCCCTGGAGCAAGTTCGCGCCTGGATGCTTTCCCCGACGGCCCCACAGGGAAGGAAGGCACGGGCACACAAGGGCCCTCGGCCCTTCAAGATCTCTCGGTGGGGATATCCTCTTCTTGCACCGGCCCCGGCCCCAGAACCCCCCCCCTCCGAGCGCCCGATTTTGCCGCGGGATGATTGGGGGGCGGCGGGTGTGAAGCGTGCGGTGTACAAGAAGCACAGACGTTCCCGGCTTCTGCGGCCTCTCACCAAGAGGGAGGGCCTCGCCCTTGTGCCTGCGGTGCGCGCCAGGCTGCTGCGGTAGCGGCTCCAGCGCGCGCGGCGACGGGGCGGAGAGACCAAGCGCCTCGGCCACGCGCGAGGTGTGAAGCGTGCGGTGTTCCACAGCTTGTATATTCATACTCTCTGCTTTCGCCTGCCCGCCTCACTCTTGTGCAGACTATGTGCTTGCTCGTCCCGAGCCATTTGTGTATCGAGCTACGGCCGTTGGACAAGGAGAGTTCCCAAGAGTCTTCAGCGTCAACGAGCACACACGTTGATTTGGAGCGGGGGATCGAGGCGACATCAGACAAGCACAGCAACCAGCCTGAGATCCGAAGCTGCGGCTGGGCGTTTGTCCAGTTCTCGGATCAGGCCTTGGCGTTGCGAGCAGGCTGCGGACCACTGCCGGGGGCCAGCCAGACGGTCGGCGAAGCCGATCGCTGTCTCGTTTTGCGAGCGCTGGAAAAGGTTCCGCGGCGGAGTTTGGAATCACTGATGTCTTCTCGCTCGTCGACGAAGTCAGGGGTGGAGCCTTGACGTGCAGGGGCCTCAGGGTAACAGCGCTGCGATGTGGCACCACATCCGCGCTTTGCTCGCACATCGGCTATGAAGGAGTCTCGGGCGCTGGCGAAGCATGCTGCTCGGGCTGGGAGGCACGCGGCTGACCTTAGCCTGCGCAGCACTGAGTCGCCGGGGGTCATCCGTCGTTGCGTTGCCGGGCCGCCCCCCACAGGGAGAACGGTCGACATGGCGGATCGCGCCAGCAGCAAGCAGAGCATGCTGCCGTATTCCGCCTGCGCGCCGGACGGTTTTTGGCTCCTCTGTCTGTATGTCTGTCTGTCTGTCTGGCGGATCCCGCTGCCCCCCCGCTCATGATGTCTGGCGGCAGCCCGCGGGAGCCGCGGCTGAGGGCCAAGCCGACGGGGCCCTCTTCCACAGCCTCGGCCATCGGAGAGCTGAGACTGGGTCGCCTGCGTTCCGTGAGCGCCGCGCGTGTTTCGTGGGGGCGTTGGGGCGGGCGTTGGCCCCCAAGGCGCCCTGTAGGGGGCCCTCGGTGGTCCCCAAGACCATCAGTGTTCAGAAGGCCCGCCTCGAGAAGTCGAGGCGATCGTGTGCCGCCTCGTCAGGCGGCTGAGGGTCCTGGGTCCCGATTGCTCTCGGTAGGGGGGGGGGAGCGTTCTGTTTTCCTGCAGGGCGCGTTCGGGCAACTTGCACGCTTTTGCCTCAGTCGCTCGCTCCTCCTCCCCCCCATCCTCATCCTTCTTCCGCCTCCTCCTCCTCCTCCTCGTTCTCCTCCTCCTCCTCCTCCTCCTCCTCCTCCTCGCTTTCCTCCTCCTCCTCCTCCTCCTCCTCCTCCTCCTCCTCTTCCTCCTCCCCCTCCTCCTCCACCCTCCCATCCTCATCCTTCTTCCTCCTCTTCGTCCTGCTGCTGATGATGATGATGACGACGATGATGATGATGATGATGATGATGATGATGATGATGATGATGATGATGATGATGATGATGATGATGATGATAATGATGCTCATGGTGATGATAGGGATGATGCAGATGATGCAGATTATGCTGATTATGATAATGATGCATGTTGTAATGATACTGCTGCTGGTGATGGTGACGATGATGAAGATACTGATTATGCTGATGATGCTGATGATGACGATGATGATGATAATGATGCTGATAATGATGATGATGATGATGATGATGATGATGATGATGATGATGATGAGGAGGAGGAGGAGGAGGAGGAGGAGAAGGAGGAGGAGGAGGAGGTAAAGAGGAAGAGAGAGGAGGAGGAGGAGATGGAAAAGGAAGGGAGAAGGAGCAGGAGAAGTAGGAAAAGGAGGGGGAGGAGGAGGAGGAGGAGGGAGGAGGAGGAGGAGGAGGAGGAGAGGAGAACGAGGGAGGAGAGGAGGAGAAGAACGAGGAGGAGAAGGAGGAGGAGAGGAGAGGAGGACGAGGAGGAAGAAGACCATCATCAACCCACTCCGCCTCCATACCCTCGGCTCCTCCTCCATCCTCCTAGCTGCTCCTCCTCCTCCTCCCCCTCCTCCTCCTTCTCCTGCTCCTCCTCCTCCTGCTCCTCCTCCTCCTCTCCTCCTCCTCATCCTCATCCTCATCCTCCCCTCCTCCTCCTCCCCCCCTCCTCCTCCTCCTCCTCATCCCATCATCCTCATCTCATCCTCCTCCTCCTCCTCCTCCTTCTCATTCTCCTCCTCCTCCCCCTCCTTATCTGACTCTCCTCCTCCCCCTCCTCCTTCTCCTCGTTCCTCCTCATCATCCCCTCCTCTTCCTGGATCCGACAACTCGCGCTACGGTCGTAGCTTGCGCTACGGTGGCAGCCAAACCACCGCATCCTTCACCAGCGGCTCCATCTTGCAGCCCGAGACCGGCTGCGCCTCCGAGTGCCTCTGCGCGGCCCCGCGTTGTTGTCGTGGAGGTGCGCGTGCCCGGATGGCGCAGCGAGACCTCGCCGAGGCGAGGCATCTGCGCCACATCTCGCACGGGACCTCCGCCCGCACGTGTGCGAAGCCGTGCAGCGAGGCGCCACCCCGGTCGCGGAGCGGGACCCTCCCACCAGTCGCGGAGCGAGAACCCCGCCGATGCGACGCATGACGCCTCCCCTTGGAGCGCGCACTTGAGCCTCCCACCCGCAACAACCCCGATGAGGGCGGGATGCGCGCGCGGTGACGGACAGTTCGCCTTCCTCCCCCCCCCTCCTCTCTCCTCCTCCTCCTCCTCCTCCTCCTCCTCCTCCTCCTCCTCCTCCTCCTCCTCCTCCTCCTCCTCCTCCTCCTCCTCCTCCTCCTCCTCCTCCCCCTCCTCCTCCTCTTTCTCCGCCTCCTACTCCTCCTCCTTTCCCTCCTCCTCCTCCTCCTCCTCCTCTTTTCCCTCCTCCTCTTCCTCCTCCTCCTTCTCCTCCTCCTGGTCGTGGAGTGGCCTCTTTACTCAAGTTCCATATCTTCGACCTCGCCCCTCGTTGCCCAGCAGAACGAGGCTGCTGCTATGGCCGCAACTTGCGAGTTCGAGGCAACCCTGACGGCAGCTGCCCAAGACCGCCAGCGCAGCAGTAACGGAACCCAGTCCCTGTTCCTCTCTCTCTCTCTCTTTTTTTGACCTCTCGCTTATATGGCTCCCATCCCCTGGAGTCCCAGCGTGGAAGAGATGAGGGACAGGCGGGAGGCTCTAGAACATGTTTTGAAACGGTCGCCCCCATGCGTGTTTGGGCGTTTTTGACGACACATTATCAGGCGCGCGTGGATCACTAGTAGACGAGCACACACCAGTGCCCCGATCATGTGCCAATGCGCCCGTAAAAATTGCCAATATTATGTTTTCCAGCATCAGGCTTGCATCCGCCTCCTTCACATCCTGACTCTCCCTGGCCGGGTGTACCTGCCGCTTGGCCCCCTCGTGTGAGTTGGTCCCGGCTTTGGTCAGCACCCCTGTTCGTTCCTCCTCCTAATTCCAGGTTCTTCCCTTCGTTCCTCCTTACATCCTCCTCATACTCCTCATGCCCCATTAGAGCTGGCTCCTTTCTGTCTGCCCCTCACCCCACCAGTGCCTCGCGTGACGGCAGACTGTCAGAAGCAGCTGTTCGATGTTGGCCTCATGGCAACGGGCCCGTTCTTGAATGATGCGGGAACACCATGTGTTCGTACCACGTCGTGGTATTAGCAGGTGCGGCATACTACCCTCCTGAAAGCTGTTTTCGGCTTTGCCCGCAGTATCAGGGTCAGGCCTCCAGCGGTGAGTGGCACCTCCAGAGAAGGGCGTTCCAGCCACCCCTAGCGGGTAGCGCCACGGGAGGTGCCCCATCACCCTAGAATTGTTGCTAAAAGTGGCCTGGCGACGCGGTCCATGGTGCTGTTGTTTTCCACAGCTTCGCACGGAGCGCAGCACAGCTTATACGATTTCTTCTTCCTCCTCCTCCTCCTCCTCCTCCTCCTCCTCCTCCTCGTCCTGGCCGCGAAGGCTCGAAGGGAGGGGCGGCGACGAGCTGTGGCCGCCGCCCACGCCAATGCCGTCTCTCTCGATGGCGTGTTTCCCACCATCCCTCGTAGAGGAGAGGGCCGGCTTCCTGGACGACGACGAGGTGCAGGCTTGCTGCTTGCTCTCTAGTCACCTCCTTGCCAGTCTTGCTTGTCTAGCTTTCCGTCTCACTTCGCGAGTGGAGTAGGATATCGACGTTTCGCATTCGATCGAACGCGATGATCTCAGCCATACCGCCAATCGACGACGACCCAATCAGAGGCAACGACAACGGTCCTCCTTCTCATCCTCATCCTCCTCCTCCTCATTCTCCATCCTCCATCCTCCTCCTCATCCTCCATCCTCCATCCTCCTCCTCCTCCTCCTCCTCCTCATCCTCCTCCTTCTCCTCCTCGTCCTCTCTCCTCCTCCTCCTCCTCCTCGTCCTCCTCCTCCTCGTCCTCCTCCTCCTCCTCCTCCTCCTCCTCCGCCTCCTCCTCCCTCCTCCTCCTCCTCCTCCTCCTCCTCCTCCTCCTCCCCCTCCTCCTCCTCCTCCTCCTCCTCCTCCTCCTCCTCCTCCTCCTCCTCCTCCTCTCCTCTCCTCCTCCTGTTCCTCCTCCTCCTCCTCCTCCTCCTCCTCCTCCTCCTCCTCCTCCTCCTTCTCCTCCTCTCTCCTCCTCCCCCTCGGCGCCCCCTCCCGCCGCCCGCGGCCGCGCGCCCTCCCGCCCCCACGGCCAGCCGACCGCGGCCGGCGCGGCGCGCGCGCGAGCTGCCGCGCCCAGGAGGCGGCGCCGGGCTGCGGCCTGGAGCAGCGGCAGGAGGAGCTGGAAGAGTACGAGGCCAGATCGGGTGGGGGGGGAGACCCGGGGCCCCCGAGGTCCTGGCATTTTGCAATTTTCTCACCACGGGCGTTTTCGCTCGATCTTGGGCCCCGGGACCCTCTCAGATCGATCTGGCGCGAAAAATGACGCATAAAGATGGGGTCGGGGGTTCTGGTCGTTACTTCTGCGACTTTGCATTTTTTGTTGCAACGTCGGATCTAAGGGTCTCCCAGACGGGGTCCGAGTAGATGGGGTCGGAGGATCGCGTCGCATCGCCGATGCATCGCCGAGGCGGCTCGATATGGAGCCCGATCTGCTTCACGTCGACGTCGCCGATGCATCGCCGACGTCGGCAATGCATCGCCGGTGCATCGCCGATGCATCGCCGATGTATCGGCGATGCGGCGCGATCCTCCGACCCATCTAGGAGGCCTCTAGAAGAGGAGGAGGAGGAGGAGGAGGAGGAGGAGGAGAAGGAGGAGGAGGAGGAGGAGGAGGAGGGGGACTTGTCAGGCTTCGGGTTGCGCACGGACAGCCCCCCCCCCATCAGGTACATTCGGCAAGGGTGCCCTGCCGTCCTGTGTTTCGCGACCCACGCCTCCTGCATTCTTGTGGCAGTGTGGCCCTCGGAAGAGGCTTGTGTCATCTCGCGTGCCCTCTCCCATCAAGTCCGACTGCAGTCCTGGCGGGCTTCAAGAGGCCCCCCGAGTAGCCCCAGCTGGCCCCGAGTAGCCTGGGGCGGTCTCAACACCCCAGGCGCCGCCTCCGGCGGCGTCCCTGATGAGGGCCAGGAGTTGCGGTGCTGGGGCGCTCCGCGCCCCGGGGGCAGAGCAGGAGGAGCCGTCGAGCCTTCGAGGAAGGCGAGTGGAGGCAGCGGCAGTTGGCCTTTGGAGGCTCCCTCGTCGCCACGGCCGGACGCGGCTCGGAGACTCGGAGAACTGGTGCGTTTGGACCCCAGGTGGGGTCCAGGGACCGATCTCGAGCTGCCGTTGTCTAAGCCCGCCAGCAGCTCAGTGGAGCCTTGTATGTCCTCGGCGCTCCGTCTTTGGAGGGGGCAGTCGATGAGAAACAGCCGACTCAGCGTCGATTTAGCGTCGTCTAGCGTCCATTAGTGTCGGTTCGTGTCGATTCGCATGCCCAGCAAGATGACATGGGAGGCCCGCGTGAGTTGCCACAGAAGGGGGTGGAGGAGGAGGAGGTGGAGGAGGAGGAGGAGGAGGAAGCATCGAGAGAATTTCAGTCTGAGCAGGAGCAGGAGGAGGCATCGCCCACGGTTGTCTTTCTTCCAGGTGCCTCGTAAATGCAGTGGCTGTCGAGTCAGACGCAGTGCAGCTGGTTTCGGCCCCGCTGGGCGCCTACCTCGATGCCTCGGCGCCTGCGGCGCTGGGAGGCGCCGCGAAAACCAGCAGCTGTGCGAGCTGATTCCCCTTTGTCTCACCCCCCTTTCGAACCCCCCTTTCGAACCGCTTGCAGTAGCAACGCCAGGCCCTGCTGTGCTCTGCCGCGCCCGCAGCGTCTGCAGGTCGCTCCACGCTTCTGTGACTGTGTTCGCTCTGACTCTGAGCGCTTCTCTGACAGAAAGAGTTGTTGGACGATCGAAGTGTTTTTCTGACGTAAACAATGTACGAGACAGGCCCTTCCTGGAGGGAGCCGCCTCGTTGTCGTACCAGGAGGCTGGATACAAAAGGCGCGGCCGTCCTGGACGAGAGCTGGATACCAAATATATTGCCCAGGCAAGGCCTACCTAGGGTAGGCCTTGGGGTAAGCCCTGGGGTAGGCCTAGGGTAGGCCTAGGCGTAGGCCCTAGGATAGGCCTAGGGTAGGCCTAAGGCTACCCTATGGCCTATCCCTAGGCCTACCCCACGCCTAGGGCAGGGCCTACCCCCAGGTCTACCCCAAGGCCGATCCTAGGCCTACCCTAGAGCCTACCCCTAGGCCTACCCTAGGCCTACCCTAGAACCTACCCCTAGGTCTACCCTAGGCCTACCTCTAGGGCCTACCCCCAGGCCTACTGCAGGCTTTCCCCAGGGCCTACCGTTAGGCCTATTTCTATAGGCCTACCTCTAAACTTGCTCATGGGCCGATCCCTCGGGCCAAACCCAGGTTTACCCACAGGGCCTCTCTAGGCCTACCCCAGGGCCTAGCCCTAGGGCTGCCCTACGCGTTGCCCCAGGGCTCTAGGGCTGCCCTTGGCCTTGCCTTTAGCCCCGCGGAGGTTGGGCCCTTGGGTAGGCCCTACCCTTGCCCTACCCCAGGCTCTTGAATAGGGCCTACCCTTGCCCTTCCCTAGGCCCTTGGGCAGGGCCTACCCTAGGCTGCCGTAGGCCCTTGGGTAGGGCCCAGGGTAGCCTTCCGCCTGGGCGATGTGTATCCTGGATACACGTGTGCCCAGATGTCTTTCCAGCCTTCTGGCCTTTCGGTGGCCGGGCAAGCAGGGTTTCTGCATGAACATGCAGCGCACGTGCGCATGTTCCACATGAGTCCGGCCATTTGTGTGTGTGGTTGTGTGTGTGCGTGTGTGTGAATGTGTGTGTTTTTGTGTGTGTGTGGTTGTATGTCTGTGTATGCGTGCGTGCGTGTGTGTGCGCGCGTGTGTTTTTTGTGTATGGTGTGTGTTTGTGTGTGTGTTGTGTGTGTGTTGCGTGTATGTTTGTTGTGTGTGAGTGCGAGTGTGTATGTGTTGTGTCTGTGTGTTGTGTGTAAGTCTGAGTGTGAGTGTGTGTGCGTGTGTGTGCGTGTGTGTAAGGATGTGTGTTCGTGTATTCGTGTGTGTGTCGGTGTGCGTCTGCGCGTGTGTGTGTGTGGGTGGAGTGGATGGGTGGGTGGGTTGGTGGGTTGGTGGGTTGGTGGGTGGGTGTGTGGGTGTGTGTGTGTGTGGGTGGGTTGATGGGTGGATGTGTGGGTGTGTGTGTGTGTGTGCGTGTGCGGGTGCGGGTGCGGGTGCGTGTGTTGTGTGTTGTGGTGTGCTGTGCTGTGCTGTGTTGTGTTGTGTTGTGTCTGTGTTGTGTTGTGTTGTGTTGCGCGGTATTGTGTTGTGTTGTGATGTGTTGTGTTGTATTGTGTTGTGTGCGTGTGTGTGTGTGTGTCTGTGCAGGCGTGTGTTCGTGTGTGTAGGTGAGAGTGTGTGAGTGTGTATACGTGAGTTTGAATGTGTGTTTGTGTTTGTGTGTGTTTGTGTTCGTGTTTGTGTTTGTGTTTGTGTGTGTGCGTGTGTCTGTATGTGTGTGCGTGTGTGTGCGTGAGCATGAGCGTGTGCGTGTGCGTGTGCGTGTGCGTGTGTGTGTGTGTGTGAGTCTGTGTGTGTCTGAATGTGTCTGTGTGTGTCTGTGTGTGTGTCTGTGTGTGTGTCTGTGTGTGTCTGTGTGTGTGTCTGTGTGTGTGTCTGTGTGTGTGTCTCTGTGTGTCTATGTGTGTCTGTGTGTGTCTGCGTGTGTCTGTGTATAACTGTGTATGCCCGTGGGTGTCTGTGTGTGTCTGTGTCTGTCTGTGTCTGTGTGTGTGTGTCTGTGTGTGTCTCTGTGTGTCTGTGTGTGTCTGTGTGTGTCTGTGTGTGTCTGTGTGTGTGTCTGTGTGTCTCTGTGTGTCTCTGTGTGTGTGTGTCTGTGTGTGTCTGTGTGTCTCTGTGTGTCTGTGTGTGTATGTTTTCGTCTGTGTGTGTGTGTGTGTCTGTGTGTGTCTCTGTGTGTCTCTGTGTGTCTCTGTGTGTCTCTGTGTGTGTGCCTGTGTGTGTCTGTGTGTGTGTGTCTGTGTGTGTTTGTGTGTGTGTCTCTGTGTGCCTGTGTGTGTTTCTGTGTGTGTCTCTGTGTGTGTCTCTGTGTGTGTCTCTTTGTGTGCCTCGGTGTGAGTGTCTTTGTGTGTGTCCCTGTGTGTGTCTCTGTGTGTGTCTCTGTGTGTATCTGTGGGTGTATCTGTGTGTGTCTGTGTCTGTGTGTGTCTGTGTTTGTGTGTTTCTGTGGTATCTGTGGGTTCGGTGGTGACTGTGTGTGCCTGTGGTGTGTGGTGTGTGGTGTGTGGCGGTGCGTGATGGTGTGTTGTGGTGTGCTGTGGTGTGTGCCTGTGTGTTGTGGTGTGTTGTGGAATGTTGTGGTGGGTTGTGGTGGGTTGTGGTGTGTTGTGGTGTGTTGTGGTGTGTTGTGGTGTGTTGTGGTGTGCTGTGGCGTGTTGTGGTGTCTTGTGGTGTGCTGTGATGTGTTGTGGTGTGTTGTGCTGTGTTGTAGTGTGTTGTGGTGTGTTGTGGTGTGGTGTGGTGTGGTGTGGTGTGTTGTGGTGTGTTGTGGTGAGGTGTGGTGTGTTGTGGTGTGTTGTGGTGTGTTGTGGTGTATTGTGGTGTGTTATGGTGTGTTGTGGTGTGTTGCTGTGTGTGTGGTGTGTTGTGGTGTGGTGGGGTGTGTTGTGGTGTGTTGCGGTGTGTGTGTGTGCTGTGGAGTGTGTGGTGTGTTGTGGTGTTTTGTGGTGTGTGTGGTGTGTTTGTGGTGTGTTGTGGTGTGTTGCTGTGTGTTGTGTGTGTTTGTGGTGTGTTTGTGGTGTTTTGTGGTTGTGTGGTTGTGGTGTGTTGTGGTATTGTTGTGGTGTGGTGTGGTGTGGTTTGGTGTGGTGTGGTTCGGTGTGGTGTGGTGTGGTGTGGTGAGGTGTGGTGTGTGGTGTGGTGTGTGTGTGTGTGGTGTGGTGGGTTTGTTGTGGTGTGGTGTGGTGTGGTTCGGTGTGGTGTGGTGTGGTGTGGTGTGGTGTGGTGTGGTGTGGTGTGTGGTGTGGTGTGGTGTGGTGTGGTGTGTTGTGCTGTGTTGTGGTGTGGTGTGGTGTGGTGTTGTGTGGTGTGGTGTGTTGTGGTTTGTTGTGGTGTGTGGTGTGGTGTGTTGTGGTGTGTTGTGGTGTGTTGTGGTGTTTTGTGGTGTGGTGTGGTGTGGTGTGGTGTGTGTTGTGGTGGGTTGTGGTGGGTTGTGGTGGGTTGTGGTATTGTTGTGGTGTCGTGTGGTGTGGTTTGGTGTGGTGTGTTTCGGTGTGGTTCGGTGTGTTGTGGTGTGGTGTGTTGTGGTGTGGTGTGGTGTGTGGTGTGGTGTGGTGTTGTGTGGTGTGGTGTGTTGTGGTGTGTTGTGGTGTGTTGTGCTGTGTTGTGGTGTGTTGTGGTGTGTTGTGGTGTTGTTGTGGTTTCGTGTGGTGTGGTTTGGTGTGGTGTGGTTCGGTGTGGTGTGGTGTGGTGTGGTGTGGTGTGGTGTGGTGTGGTGTTTGTTGTGCTGTGTTGTGGTGTGTTGTGGTGTGGTGTGGTGTGTGTGTGGTTTGTGTGTGGTGTGTGTGTGTGGTTTGTGTGTGGTGTGTTGTGGTGTGTGTGGTATGTGTGTGGTGTGTGCGGTGTGTGTGGTGTTTGTGGTGTGTGTCTCTGTGTGTGTCTCTGTGTGTGTTACTGTGTGTACCACAGTGTGTGCCACTGTGTGTGTCACTGTGTGTGTTGTGTGTGTGGTGTGTGTGTGGTGTGTGTGGTGTGTGTGGTGTGTGTGGCGTGTGTGGCGTGTGTGGCGTGTGTGGCGTGTGTGGCGTGTGCGGCGTGTGCGGCGTGTGTGGGGTGTGTGGGGTGTGTGGGGTGTGTGGGGTGTGTGGGGTGTGTGGGGTGTGTTGGGTGTGTGGGATGTGTGGTGTGTGTGTGTGGTGTGTGTGTGGTGTGTGTGGTGTGTGGTTTGTGTGGGGTGTGTGGGGGTGTGTGGGTGTGTGTGGTGTGTGGGGTGTGGGTGGTGTGTGTGGTGTGTGGTTTGTGCGGTGGGTGTGTGTGTGTGTGTGTGGTGTGTGTGGTGGTGTGTGTGTGTGTGTCCTGTGTGTGTCTGTGTGTGTCTGTGTGTTTCTGTGTGTGGTGTGTGTGGGGGGGAGGGGGCGTGTTCGTGTGCGTGTGCGTGTGTGCGCGTGTGTTCTCCAATCTGCCGGAGCAGTTGCCACCCTCTGCCGTGTGCGTGTGCGTGTGCTTGCGTGTGTTCTCCAATATGCCGGAGCAGCCTTCCCTCTGTCCAGCCGCCGACGCAAAAAGTGTGTGTGTGTTTGTGATTGTGGTTGTGTTTTTGTTTTGTTGGTGTATGTGCAAGTGTTTGTGTGTGTGTGCGTGTGCGTGTGCGTGTGCGTGTGTGTGCGTGCGTGTGTGCGTGCGTCCGTGAGTGCGTGTGCGTGTCTGTGCGTGTGAGTGTGTGTGTGCGTGTGTGTGTGTGCGTGTGTGTGTGTGTGCGGGTGTGTGTGTGTGCGGGTGTGTGTGTGTGTGTGTGCGTGTGTGTGCGTGTGTGTGTGTGTGCGTGCGTTCGTGTGCGCGTGTGCGCGTGTGTGCGTGTGTGTGTATGTGTGCGTGAGTGCGTGTGTGCGTGTGTGCGTGTGTGCGTGTGTACGAGTATGCGTACGTGTACGTGTGTGTGTGTGTGGGTTTGGGTGCGGGTGTGTGTGTGTGTTCTTGTTGCCTGGTGGATCCCTGCAGGTGCTCCAGCGTCGGGCTGCTTTGCAGCAGCTGCGCCTCGCCAGTGGCGCTCTGGGGGTGCTCGACTCGTCCTGAACGGCCACCGGAGGCCGAGTCGCTGGCAGGAAAGCCTGCCTTCCTCGCGTCGTGTGGCGGCCCCCCGCTGGAGCGCACTGGGGCGCCGAGCTGTGCGTCGTTCCTGGCCGACACGCCGCAGGCGCTCCCCACGAACGAGATGGAGGCGTTCGGCGATGACGTCGAGGACGCCACGAGGTGGGTCGAGGAGACCGTCCCTCCTGCCTGCCTCCTCCACAGGCCTCCAGAGGCCCTCATCGAGCCCGCGGTGGCTGCAGCATCTTCTTCGGCCTTCGGTGGCCTTGCTTCTGGCCCAGAGGCCATCAAAAGCGACGCAGGATGAACATTCATATATATATATATATATATATATATATATACATACATACATACATACATACATACATACATACATACATACATACATACATACATACATACATTACATATATTACATATATTACATATATATATATATACACGTAGATGTGTGTACGCTTCCCAGACAGTGCTTGCTCTTAGGGGTTCCTGTTTGTCTTCTGAGGGACCTGGGTCTGCGGGCCGCTCTGGCCGCCATGAGCCCGCAGTCGCCGCCTCTTCTCCGCCCGCCGCCACCCGTCGCCTGAGCCTGCGGGCTGCTCGGGCTGGCATGTGGCCGCCCCCGCCTCGTCGCCGCCCGTCGCCTGGGCATGCGAGCACCCAGGGCGGACGAGAGGGGGAGGAGGAGGAGGAGGAGGAGGAGGAGGAGGAGGAGGAGGAGGAGGAGGAGGAGGAGGAGCCGCTCTGGCCACCAGTGGCCGCCGTCGCCGCCTCGTCGCCGCCCGTCGCCTCGTCGCCGCCCGCTTTCCGTTGCTTCGTCGGAGGTTGGGGGGTGAGTCCGACGTGGAACGGAGACCCCCCCTACCGGGAAATCGATTTCGATTTCGGGTTCGTGTCGTGCGTGCCGTGCGTGCGTGCGGGCGAGGCGAAGCTGCGTGGGCGGGCGAGAGGAAATCCTCCTGTGGCTGGGCCGCGGCCGGACCAAATGATTCCCCCAGGCGGCCGGTGGCCCGCGGTGTCCCGCCAGTGTCCCGCTGGTGTCCCGAAATCCTCCTGTGGCTGGGCCGCGGCTGGACCAAATGTTCCTCCTCCGGCGGCCGGTGGCCCGCGGTGTCCCGCCGGTGTCCCGTAGTGTCTTGTGGTGGCCCGTGGTGTCCCGTTGAATGAGATCGATAGTCAGATCGATAGTGAGGTCGATACTGAGATCGATTTGGTGCCCCGAGGTGTCCCGTGGTGTCCCGTGGTGTCCCGTTGAGTGAGATCGATAGTGAGATCGACAGGTATCCCGTGGTGTCCCGTGGTGTCCCGTTGAGTGAGATCGATTGTGAGATCGATAGTGAGACCGATAGTGAGATCGAGAGGTGTCCCGCGGTGTCCCGTGGTGTCCCGTGGTGGCCCGTGGTGTCCCGTTGAATGAGATCGATAGTCAGATCGATAGTGAGATCGACGAGTGTCCCGTGGTGTCCCATGGTGTCCCGTGGTGTCCCGTTGAGTGAGATCGATAGAGAGATCGATTGAGTCAGATGTTGGTTCCCCCCCTCCCCCCCACCTCCTTATCACCCGAAGGGTGTGCGTATAGGTATTTCTCTGCGTTGCTTTGCGTTGGGATTGCAATGACGTGCGTTGCTCTGCATCGCAGTGCATTGCGTTGCTTTGCATTGCTGTGCATTGCTTTGCATTGCTGTGCATTGCGATGCGTTGCGATGCGTTGCTGTGATGTGCATTGCTTTGCATAGCTTCACATTGACTTGCATTGGCTTGTGTTGCATTGCTTGGCGGTGCTTTGCATTGCATTGCTTTTCACTGTTTTGCACTGTTGGGCATTGACTTGCGCTACGTTTTGCCGCATAAGCTGCACCACATTGATTGCACCACCTGGATCGCACTGCACAGACTGCAAGACATCACTGCTTGGGGTCCACGCTGGCTAACTAACATACATCTATATGTATGGTGTATACATATATTTATATATACACCTGATTGAAAAAAACGAGCCGCAATGGAGACTACGACAGCGATAAGACAATGAACAAGCAGATCCGGCACTCGGGGAGAACGACCGCAGATTTTGGTTTTGAGCAGCAGGTTTCCTCTGGACGTTGGGACGCCGTGCGCCGATCGAGGACCCCGAGAGTCGTAAAACATGCAGCGCTTCAGCGTCGGACGGTTCGCTCACGGACACAGTTGATCGGGCCGACGTTTTGGCCGATTATTTCGAAGTCTTCAGTGACAGTATTCTTGTTCTGAACGACTATCCAGTGAATCAGACGCCCCTCGGCGACACACTCTCGATCGAGATGGGCATGTTCACTGATCAAGAATTGCAGGGCGCGCTACGCAAACTGACAGCAGCCAAAGCCGCGGGCCCAGATGGAGTACCGCGAGCCAGATGGTGGCGTTCGGTAACAGTGTATAGCACCGCATCGCATGGCACCTCACATCATCACTATCTGGATGCAGCAGCCACATCATTCACATAAAATGAGACGACGTGCCCTAGCACAGCATCGCAGTTGAACTGCTTGGCACAAAGCTGCAGGGCACACCACGGCGTCGGCACTCGCACAAAGCAGCCTCGAGCAGTAGAGCGTTGCACTGCACATCACGGCAGCGCAGAGCAGGGCAGAGGAGTCGATTGACCCAAGAGCCGCGGGGATTCGGCCACACCCTGCCAGGGCCACAGGATGTGCAGAGGACCCCTGAGGTGATCGAAGGAGGCCGGTCGAGACAACGGCGGCCCTCCTGGGTGTTTTGCGTCCTCATCGTGCCCCCTGGAGGATTGTCGTCTCCACGGCTAGATCCGCTTCGGGAAGAAAGGTCAGGATGGACCCAGAGAGGGGTCCTGGGACAGATGTTGACCGGAAGTGGGCCAGGAGGGAGAGTTGCCGCTGTCTCAACTGGCCCTCGTTCGAGGGAAAGTTCAGTTTCCTCCTCCTCTGCAAATTTCCGCCCATCCCCACCAGGACGTGATGAAGATCCGCGGTCCAGCGAGGAGGAGGCTGTGTTGTGCGAAGTGGGCCCCCACCAAGCTGCTCGCCGCGCGCTCTCTTGCCAGGTAGATATCCAGGGGGGGCTGCAGAGGAAGGAGAGGCTGGAGCAGGGGAGGGAGGCGAACAGGAGGCAGGAGGAGGAGGAGGAGGAGGAGGAGGAGGAGGAGGAGGAGGAGCAGGCAATGAGGAGGAGGAGGAGGAGGAGGAGCAGGAGGCAGGAGGAGGCAGGAGGAGGAGGAGGAGGAGGAGGAGGCGAGGGGAAGTGGAAGGGGGTTGGGGGCAAGGGAGGCGTGCGGCTTTGGACAGGAGGACGGGCGGGGGGGGCGGGCAGGACGGATCTCGGGGCCCTGTTTCCCCATACGTGTGCGGCTCCCTTTGTGCAGCTTCACGCGGCGGGTGTTCCCCGTGTGCGTCTTTCGCCGCCGCTGCTGCTGCATTGCCTGCTGTACTGTCGCCGTTCCTCCTGGTCCTGGTTATGCTCTGCTTGTTGTCGCTCCGTCTCGCTCTTCCGCCGGCACCTCCGTACCATTCCTCGCCCGTTCTCGCTCCTCCTCGCATTCCTCGCCCGTTCTCGCTCCTCCCCGCTTATCGGCCTCCTTATCCTTCTTATCCTCTTTCTCATCCTCAGCTTGTTTGATGAAGTATACCTAAAATCCCTCGGTATTGGGCGGGTCCGAGATGCGACGCGCGCTCTAAGATACTCTCCTCCTGACTGCTTGGCCCATGTCTTACGTTGCATGCTCTTGCGACGCTAAGATCGCGCTGGCCATGGTGCCGCGGGATGAAGGCATTTCCCTGAAAAGATATTAGCATGAAAAAACTGGAGTCGACGTTCCCTTCCTCTCCTTTCTTCTGTACGTTTCGTGACCTGTTCGTGCTCCTTCTAGTGTTCCCTCCTCCTCCTCCCTCCTCCAGAGGCGGGTCGTCGAGAAGCTCTGCTCGCTCCTCGACGCCGACATGAAGAGCACGACCGAGCAGGAGCCGGGCTCGGGCCTCGCCGCGGCCGCCGCCGCAGCCTCTTCATGCAGTCTCCTCTGCATCACCCCCCCCGACTGGAGCAAACAGCCAGGACGCTGGAACGAGGACCACTTTGGGGGGGGGGTCGAGGAGGAGGAGGAGGAGGAGGAGGAGGAGGAGGAGGAGGAGGGGGGGGGGGTCCGGAGCGGCTCCGGTCTTCGGGCCTTCCCGCAGGTCCAGGCCGGGGAGCCTCTTCGTGGCCGAGGCTCGCCTTGGCCAGCACGAGGGCTGGTACGGTAGGTTCGTGTCGTGTCGACCGGCGGCGACCCCGCCAGCGGCGTTCAACCTTGAACGCCGCGGGCGACCCAGAATCGTTCGATGTGGAACGATTTCGACGTTTCGGAAACGGCCGATCGTTCAAGGTTGAACGATCCCCGCGGTGTCAGAAACCAACGCTGGGGTCGACACGACGCGAACCTGCCGTATGCTCACCGATCTGCTTCGCGCAGGCGAGTCTTGGGGGGGGGGGGGGGTGGGGGGGGGGGGGGGGGGGGGGGGGCGCACCTATCCTGCGCAGCTGGCTCCGCAAGGAGCCTCCCCGTCGAGGCCGGCGAGGGGGCCGAGCGCTCCTGCCCCTCGGCGGAGGCCCGCGAGAGGTCCGCGGCAGCCGTCGGAAGTGGAGCGAGCCGCGGAGCCCTCGGCGCGCCGCCAGGGGGGTGTCCGGACGGGGCCAGGGCGGGGATCAATCCGTTCCAGAGCGTCCCGGCACATTCTCAGAGCGTTCCGGGGCGCTCTGAGACGGCCGCGCGCGCCCGAGGCGTGCTCCAGAGCCGTTGGTTCTCAGAGATTCCTGGCGTATCCTCACCCGACGTTACCTTCGTCCCGGCTTCGTCTTTGGGAGGGGGGCAGCGCGTATCGCGGCCTCGGGTGCGGTGCCACGGTCGGCGGCAGGGGGTCCATGGCGAGGCTCGGGCTCCTCCAGCGCCTCCGCCACCCCGCGGAGGCCCTCCGCAGTGGTCAGCAGCCGAACGGCCGCCGAGACCCCGGGACTTCGCTGGCGGCCTCCCTCCTCCTCCACCCTCCTCACTCCTCCTCCACCTCCTCCCCTCCATCCTCCTCCTCCTTCCTCCTCCTCCTCCTCCTCCTTTCTCAATTCCGAGAAGAGAGAGAGGGAGGGGAGAGAGAGGCCTCGAGCGATCCTCCTCCTCCTCCTCCTCCTCCTCCTCCTCCTCCTCCTCCTCCTCCTCCTCCTCCTCCTCCTCCTCCCCCTCGATCCTCATCCTCCTCGAGGGGCCTCGAGGGGGCCTCGGGCGATTCTCCGCGGCGCGAGAAGGGGCGCACGATGCAGTAAGGATCGCTCGTGTAGCTGAAAGTCCTGGCTCCGACCTCGATCGCCATCTTGCCGCGATGTGGCCCTCAGGCATTCGAGCATGATGCCGTTTGGACGCTGTGCGTCCGCTGCTTTTCCTCCTCCTTCTCCTCCTTCTCCGCCTCGTTGCCTCCTTCCCTTCAGATCCTCCCTCTTCCCTCTCACCCTTCCACGACGCGCGACGGCGAGGACGGCCCCCGGCGGCCTTCCTGCAGAGGTATCCTGAGGTCCCGGGAAGCCTCCACAGGCCCCCAGAGAGACCAAAAAAGCAACAGCAGCACCAACAACAAAAACGCCTCTGTTTCTTCGAGTGCGATAGGGACCACACGACGACGGACCCGACGACCGCGACGATGACGACAACCACGACGGCGACGACGGCCACGACCACGACCCCACGTCCCCACGACGACGACGACGACGACGACGACGACGACGACGACGACGACGACACGAACAGGGGCACTGGGTTATGGTGCCGCTCGTGTGGTCCACCTCTGCCGTTGGGAGTGGGCCGTTTGTCACGGCACAGCTTGCCTCGACGTCCCGACCAACGGTGTGGCGCCCCCATGCGGCCATCTTCGGCATTTTGTGGGTGCTGCCAAAATAGTGCCCCTGGCCCAAGGCGCCCCCTTGACCTCCAGGGGCTGACAGGCGGCCTCCGGAGCACCCTGCGCGACGCCCAGACGCCCATGATCTCCAGGGCAGGGGCCTCGCAGACGGCCTCCAGAGCACCCCTCGCGACGCCCAGAGGGCAAAGAGATACTTGTCCTCCTCCTCCTCCTTCTCCTCCTCCTCCTCGTCCTCCTCCTCCTCCTCGTCCTCCTACTCCTCATCCTCCTCCTCCTCCTCTCCCCTCCTCCTCCTCCTCCTCCTCCTGCTCCCTCCTTCCTCCTCCTCGTCATCCTCCTCTCTCTCCTCCTCACTCCCCTCCTCCTCACTCCCTCTTCCCTCCCCCTAATCCCTCCTCCTCCTCCTCCTCCTCCTCCTCCTCCTCCTCCTCCTCCTTCTCCTCTTCGCGCCGTGCCGACGCGGCGGCGACCCCGCCGCGGCCGTTCCAGGTTGATCGAACCGGGGAAAGCCGGGACCCCGGGCCAGGGGGCCTGGTCAGTAGCAGGGCCACGGAGCCCCTACATTGGCCAGAATTCGGGAGCTTTGAGACGGGGGTCAATGCAAACGGGGGTCAGCCAGGGCACCAGATCCTGCAGGATCCTGCGAAGACCCCCTCTGGCTGACCAGGGTTAGCGAGCCGCTCGTGGCCGCGAGGCGGCCGCGCATATTGGCTGACCCGGGTTTGCGAAGACCTGCGTTGCAGTTTTTTTTCCTGCATAGCAGTATTTGGGTTTCCTGCTGACCCGGGTCTGGATTGACCCCGGTCAGAAGATCCCCGAAGAATCGCTAAACCAGGTCTGCCGTAGCTGGTGTTTTTTCGGGTGACAGAAGATCCCCGAAGAATCACTAAACCAGGTCTGCCGCAGCTGGTGTTTTTTCGGGTGACGGCGGTTCCGGTCAGTGGAAGGGGGCGGGGGGGGGGCCTCCCCCAGTACACATCACTAAACCAGGTCCCACTGAACCCAGTTCTGCCAACGCCCGATCGAAGCCAAAAAAAACGCCACATACATACACTGTTGGCGCGCCGCGCGGATTTCTTGGATCCGCGCTGGGCCCCCCCTGCGGCGCCTCCGCGCCGCCCCTGGCGCGCTCCGCGCGCCAGGGATGAGACAGTCCAGCGCAGATCCAAGAAATCCGCGCGGAGCGCCAAAAGTTTATGTTCATGCCGTTGTTACCTCCGATGATTGAAAACGCCGCCAGAGTCCCAGGCTCGGCCAGAATCGAAAGATCTGCGCTAGCGAAAAGCCGCCGGGCGTCCAAGGTTGAAGGATCCGCGCGGTGTCAGAAGCCAATGCCGGGGTCGCCGCGACACGAGCCTGCCCTGAAGTCAAGGCGCTGAAGCAAGGACCACCTGGGGCTCAGGAGGGGCTCCTGGTTACCCGGCCAGTCCTCAGATACCCAGGTCGGGGGACCTAGTCGTGGCCAAGGCTCGCCGTGGCCAGGAAAGCCCTTTTCGTTCCTGACCCAGCGTTCCTGATAGTACAGTCATCCCGCGCAGTAATTAAGGATGGGCGACTTCCCAAGGGTACCTTTTCATCCTCATCCTTCGGCCCATTCTTGGCCGCTTTCGCTGGCCGCGCCCCGCTCGCAAAGCGTCCACATGGCCTTCCAAGGCCCTTGCATCCTTATCGTGTGTCCTTATGTACGGGTTGACTGTGCTGGCGGTGGTCGGATTGGGAAAATCAGCGGCACTGGGATATGTAGTAGGATCCACCCTCGTTTGCAACAGAACGTGTAGCACATCTCGTAGTGAGAGCTGTGTG